GTATGTGACTCTTCACTCATCACTTCACTTCCACACACGGCATTTGCTACGCCCTGCATAAAACCAAGCCAAACACACCATCCATCACCTCCCCTCTTTGGCCCGGCAAACACCAACAAAATCGACGGGGACGCCGCCATCCCCGCCGCCTCGCAATCAAACCTCCATAGCTGCTTGCCTGCCTCACCCCCTAGCTTGCTCAATCCCCACACACAACAGCCATGGCTTCGAGCCAACATGGCGCCGGCTCGTCAGGGCAGCAGCAGCAACAGCGCTCGGCGGCGGCGGCGACGACAACACAAACGATGACGGAGATGGTACCCACACCGCCGTCGGCCGCGACGCCTATCCTGCGCCTGCGCGGCGCCCCCACCTCGACGGGCCGGTCGGTGCAGTGGGCCGAGGGCGTGGTCGACAACGAGGGGCTGGGGCGCAAGTCGTCCAAGGGTATGTTTGTTTGTTTACTTGCCTAACCTGTCTCCCCCCTCTACCCACTGTTTTCCTGAGTGTAGCTGACAAAATACGCCTCCTCCCTCCCAAAACAAAAAGTCTGCTGCATCTACCACGGCCCCCGCGGCGTCGACTCGTCCAGCGACGAGTCCTCGTCGGACTCCGACTCCGACTCGGACACCGACTCGGACGACTCAACGCGCGGCAACAGGAGCCAGGCAGTCGGCGGCGGCGGCGGCGGCGGTGGGAAGGGGAAGAAGAAGAAGCCGACGCGCCGCCACGCCCACAGGCACACGGACGACTGCGGCCACGGCCGCGGGAGGGACGACGGCGACGGGGGCGGCCAGGCGCGCCGCCCCCACAGGAAGCCCAGCCCTAACGCCTACGAGAAGGTGCCCAAGCCAAGGCCGCGCGCTGATGGCGGCGGTGGCGGTGGCGGTGGCGGTGGCCCAGCGCCTGCGAGGACATGAGAGAGGACTGGAAGCGTGCGGGCGGGCGGCGGATCATGTGCAGCCCAACGCATTCCCATCTTCCCCATCTGATGCCGCCCGCGTGGCAGCCATCGTTCATGTTGGTTTCCGCGGCGGTTCTCCAAGGTGCGCGGTTTGGAGGCATGGAGTTTCCCTGTACCACCCTTTGTATCACGAGACACGGCCCAGTAGATAGATATACCCCTGTTTTTGTTTCTTCCTTCTTCTTCGCCTTGACCCTATCATTCTTCTTCTCTCTCTTCTGCTTCTTTTTGGAAGCAACCAGAGGAAAACCCGCCCAGCCAAACAGAGCGACGCATCGGCGGCCAAGACAGCATGTAAGGACACTGTTGAGAGTATGATGCCTACATCTGAAATGCAACATCACTCTTGCCGATAGTGACGCAGCAGCCAGAGGAAAATATGCATTGATTGTTTTAGTCTAGAGAGAGAAGAAAAAACACTAGATCCGGGCCGCCCGTTTGTTCATACCTCTGCCAATGTCCATGCTCATCCAATGTGGCGGGAAGGCGTTTATGATGCTAATATGATGATCTCCCTCCCTCCATTTACTCCGGAAAAGAACCCCCTCCATTTTCCCTTGCCTTTACATGATGTGCCATCTGTAACAACCTGACTTATTACACTCGAGGGATGGAGAGCGTATGGCCTGACAACTAGGTGGCCACAAGCACCTCCGAGAATGGCGCGTGGCTGCGTACCTGTTGGCCACATGTCCCTCTCCCATGTTCTATCACCATCACCCACCGCCGTCGTCACTTCCCTTTATGTGCATCTCGGCCATTAAACAAAGCCACAAGGGCAGTGGATTGCCTCTTTCACAACAGCCTGGAGGGATGACAATTGGGGGGTTCACTATAACCAAAAAAAAAAAAAAAAAAGAACTTTCCAACATTAAGAGCAGGGTGATTGCGGACCAGGCCATGGCGATTTGGGAAAAGTGTGAAGACGAGGAAAGCAAAGGCAAAAGCATTCAGGCAGAAAACAAATGACCTTGGCTTCAACTTCAACAAACAACAAGACTAGCCAGGGCTCTGGGGAGTCGCGCTCAATGTGCTGGGGACTTGTTTCCGGATCAAACCCCGACTGCCACGCTGCTCTGACCTCGGCACACCCTGGATGGCCCGTGGTTCCTTCATCAGCGAAGGGTCGAGCCTCGTGGGGATCCGGGTGACGACGGATCGGTAGTCGCCGGGAAACTTGGCAATGGGCAGCGGCACCGACGCCGTCCGCCAGATATGGTCTGTCGTGTCTCCCAGATAGCCTATGGAAATCCTGGGTGCCCCAAGAAGGTGGCCCGCGCCAGACGCCACATGGGACGCCCGAATCATGGACAGGCGCGAGAGCGAGCCGAGAGCCGGACGGCCGCGCGCCTTCTTTGCAAGTATGATCTCGTCAAAGAGCCTGATCTCAGGATTGCTGGGAGGTATGCGCTCCCGCTCGTGGATGAACTCGTTGAACGCTACAGGAACGGAGGATATCCAATGTCAGCCGACGAACCATAACGTCGCCACACAAGCACGAGCTTGAGACTTACCTTGAGTTTCCCTCATCATCACTATGTACTCCTGTTGCTCGTGTGGCAGGCTCCTGATGAAACCCTGCATGTCAAAGGCGGACAGCTGGCCGTTGGCCTTCTGTTCCCTGCTCGGCCGGAGGAGATACTTGCGGTACGTATACAGCAGGCTGGCCTGACACCTGACGAAGGCGGCGCGCACCCGGTCGGCGTCGAAGGCGGCAGGGCAGACTAGACAGGCCACCGAAAGGCAGCGGCCGTGCGAGACACAGTTGCAACCCGCGCACTTGAACAGATCCTCGCCCTCGCAGCGGTCCTCGCAAATGTCACACGTCGGGCTCGCCTCACTGGGGGCCCAGTTGAAGCAGTGGCCCTCAACCCAGATGGTGGTATCGGTGCTATGCACAGGCTGCATGAGCATCTGCGGCATGACCGTCGACGCCGCCAACGTCGACTGTGCGTACGTGGACGGCGCATACCCACCATACGACGACTGCGAGTCTATCGAGATGGCCGAGATGGAAAGGCTCTGAGCGTGTCCGTTGAGTATGGGGAGGCTGGGCTTGTGCAGCGGGCCGCGCCCGAGGTCCACGCCGAACGAGGAGCTGCGCCGCGACTTCTCGTCAAAGTGCGTCGACCGCTTCTCGCGCAGCACCGCCGAGCCGGCAAACCCGGAGTCGCTCCTCGACACAGGCGTCGTGGGCATGGGCGGGAAGTGTGTCGACACGGGAGAGAGCGACGATGGCGGACTGTTTTTGCTGGATCTGGCCGTTCCCGGCGGCTCCGCCTTGGACAGCTCGTTCTTGGAATGCACAAACGCGTTGAACAGCGGTGGCCGGTGCGGCGACAACGGGTCGGCGTCGCCAAACGCTGCCGAGTTTTGAGACACACATTTGTTGAGGCTGGATTTGGGCGGAGTCGAGTTGAAGAGCGAGGGGTTCTCGGCCGAGAATCCGTCGTACGGAAACGACTCGACGGCATAAGGCGGAGGCCCCTGGTTCACGCCGTACCTCAACGCGTGCGGAGCGGCGGCTTGGAGCAGCGACATGAGCTTGCGGCGGTTCTGTCGCGGCAAGCGGATCGGCTGCGCCGTGGCATCGACCGTGTCCCTGTCCAGGTCGACCAGGACGTAGTCATCGTCAGGAAGGACGATGTTCTCGTACCTCTTTTCTATCCCGATAATGTAGGGGCAGGGCGCGTCGAGAGCCTGCAGCAGGCGGGCCGGGAGGACGGGGATGAAGACGCTGGCCCACTTGAGCGGGTAGAGAAGGTTGGCGATGGCGTGGCAGGCGAGGTGGAGCATGGCCGTGTGGGAGGAGATGAAGATGATGCGCGACTCGGACATGGCATACTCGAACACGGCCACGACGTTCTCGAGCGAGAGGCAACGGAAGAGAGCATACAGGTCTGTGCTCCGCGAGCCCGGCAGCTCGTTTATGGCCTCGTTGCGGGCAAACATGCGGAGCTCCCGCACCCCCAGCTCGACCTGCGTCTTGGAGCTGGTGGGGCTGAAGGCCTCAGTGCATAGGTTGACCACGTAACGCTCCAATGGCTGCCAGCGCCCGACGCGGGGGGAGCTTGGTGGCACCCGCAACAGCGCACCGTCCGTCATGGGCACAATGATGGCCCGCAACCACTCCTTCCAGAAGCCCATCTTGGTTACGTCACGGCCCAGGATGCCGTACGCCCGAGGCGTCCACAGCCCGCTCTCTCCGGCCGTGAGCCCATCGATCTTGGAGGCGGCGCCGTGTCTCAAAGGCCGCAACATCTCCGCCATCAGCGCGATCTTTTCCTCGACCACGCTGATCTCCTCATCCAGAGACTCACGATCCGAAGACCCCGACGGCGCGCCGGGCAGCTCGGCGAGAAGCTGCGAAAGATGCGCACGCTCCGCGGCCAGTCGGTTGCCCAGGCTCGCCGCCAACTCGCGCTCCTCGTTGGACATGTGGCTCCGCCGCCACTGTTCGCACTTTTTCTCGATCTGCTCGGCAATGTCGACCTTGACCGCGGTCCAAACGATGATGGAAATGCCGTAGATTTTGCTGTTGTCCTCAGCCGTCATGGTGAAGCCGTGCCATGTGGACCGTGGGCGCTCGTCCGAAGACACGACTTGGATGTCGTTGGGGAAGGCGAACATGGGGACGTAGTCTGGGAAGCGGCCCCTGCGTACCACCTCGTCGGACGCGTCCTTGGGCGGGTACCTGTCCAGCAACGTCGGCTCAAATCGGCGCTTCAGGGGGTGCATGTCTGGGTCGGTGTTGAGAGGCTCGGGTGGCGGGATGACCGAGTTGTAGTTGCTGAGACGCTTTGCTGTGCGGATCGATGCGGCTGTTGGGTTTCGAGTTGGCTTGTCAGCTCCCAGTTGCGTCCGTTTCGCTTCTTTCGATCCCTGTCCAGTTGCTGCTTACCTTGAGGCCTCGGCGTGAGAGACTGCTTCCTCACACTGTTCATGTCCCTAAAACTCATTTTGCGTCGGATACTACCCTTGATGCTCTTGAGTGGGCTCATTTTCCCGCTTTCTATGGCGTCCTCGGCCTTGATCCGCTCGGCCCGCGTGTTCACCATGGGTGGCCGCGTCTGCAGCTTGGCTCCGGCGCTGAAGCTCAAGTCATCGAGAAAGTTCTCGCGCTCTGAGGCGAACTTGAACAGGGCCTTGTCGAAGTCGAAGTCGTACCCGGAGTTGCGGCGTTCTCCTGGCGGAGAAAAAAGCCCGACACCATTGCCGTTGGAGGTGCCGTTGAGATTGGGGGTTGTGTTGGAGCTAGGGGCGGCGTTGCCATTGCCGTTGCTGTTGCTCTCCGTGTTCCTGCTGCCGTTGCTGCTGTTCCCGATACCGTTGCTAGTGCCGAAGCTAAGGCTCAGGTTGAATGTGGGCGACAAAGGGCTGCCGGCTACAGGGCGGATAGTCGCGCTGCTTCTGTTGCTTTTTGTGAAGCCGGCGTCGTTGTTGTCGTCTAGGGGCGAGAACTCCATGGCGAAGCAATCGAACATGCTCTTGGAGAGCCTGGTGCCGCCCGAGTTCTGGCGCGAGTGGCGGGCGGCGGCGGGCCGGCTCGTCGTGGGCGGATTCGCCGCCTCGCTGGCCGACTCGGCCTCGCCATCCTCGGTTATGGTCTCATCGACGGTGGGCGGCTGGATCGTGGCCTGGGGGGCCGGGGCATCGCCGTAGGAGATGGACTCGATGCCGGCGATCCAGAAGTAGTCGGCGAGAGGGGTTGACGAGCCCTCCATGTCAACGCATCTGGCCCGTTGCCCGTCCCTTTTATCGGTGGCCCGCGGCGGGAAGGAGCAGAGGCAGAAAAGAAGGCGGGTGTCGGGTGCCTCTCGCTCTCAGAGGGCGCGCTGTTGCCCCCTCCGGCGTTGAATCGGAGCCGTGGTGGTGACCCTCCACTGCCGGAGAGCTTTCGTCGTTTCTTTTCGTCCAGATGTGGAGGTAGGTCTCAGGCCAGGCACCGTGGTTGGCTGGCGGCTGGTCAGTGTTGTCTGTCGCTTATCCCCGCGCCCCTTTTTTCCTGCTTCCTTCTTTCTTCGATTTGGCCACTGAGCAGCGTGTTTGTCTTGCTTGCTTTTTTATTCGCGTTCGAGTCGAGACTGGCCGCCCTGTGCCGTCCCTAGTCGAGGAAATGCCCAATTCTGATTCGCAGTGGCTGGGGGTGGTTGTTTTTTTCTCCCTCCTTCTTCGGCTGGTGTTGCAGCGGGAAGAGGATGGAGGGTCGAGGCGTGACTCCCACCTTGGATCTCTCGTCGTTTTCTGAAGCCGTTACGGCGCAGCCAAGTGGCGAGGGGAAGGAGGCGACAAATGGGAGTTTCCGCGGCGGCGCTGGTCGAGAGATGGTTTGACTAGGTCAGGGCGAGCGGCTAACCAAGTCAGCTGCAGGACTAGCTCGACAGGACGAGATAGCAGCGTCTGTGGAGATGGCAGTACTAGTGTGCAAAATCCGGGCTGGACGTTCTGGTTTCCCAGGCCTTGTGACGGAGAGGTACCGAGCTGGCAAGCATCGGCGGTGGAGGGGAAAAGACAGGGCAGGGGTGGCCCAACACGAGGCGGGCGGGCACAAGAAGAAGTGGAGGCTAAGTGACAAGTGACAGACGCGGGTGCTGGGAGTGGACAATACTAGGAATCGCGTCTTGCATACATATGACAGGCACACGGTCTAGCTGCCCTGCAGGAGACGCAGGAGACAGCGCTGGCAATCTAATGGATTGACGTGCGCTCGTGGATAGGCCCTCGATAGGTCCTCAATAGGCCGTCAATGCTACCTGGGTACGTACCTCTACCGCCCTGAGGATACAACCACAATTCTCGCTGGCCTGTGAAAAAGGTGACTGACGTGACTCTCAATCGTGTCGTCACGTCTTTTGCGACTAGCGTGCGTTTTGTTGCAGCAAACCGATGATGCATAGATAGGTATTTGCAGGCACATACCCACATAGATACATTTGTGTGCGAACGACTTATCCTGTGCAAAATTGCCCCCTGACGCCAGTGATATCAGACCATGGGCAAGCATGGGATGACAAGCAAAGGGACTCGCGGTGGCGGTGAGCCTAAAACAGGCACGCTGGGCGGCCGGCCTACACATAAATCTCCCGCTGCATGCGCGTAGGCCGCAATGCTGTCTGTGCCCCGGCCGGTCAAGGTTGGGCGTCTGTCTTCGAAACCACGGGCCAGGCGGGCAAACGGTCTTCTCCGGTCTCAAGGCATCCATGTCCCGCATGAGGTACCTGGCCAGCCTGGCTGGTGATGGCTCTCTGTGCAATCAGAAATAGGGGCCGGCCAGCACCAGCCAGCACTGGCACACGCTAACTTCTGCGCCCTAGGGCGTGCCTAGATGCACGCGGCAGGGATGGGCTGCCGCCCACAGGTCCCAGAAAACCAGAGCGAGACTGTCCCGAAAACAGTCTAGCCGTGGTGCCGTGGCAGCATGATAGACGATCCCTCTAGACGATCAAGCCAACAGACCCGGCTCGTATCTGGCTGTGCACATCCGTGAGCATAGCCGGGCCTATCCCTCAAAATTAAGGGCGGGCCAGATTGGCCGCCGATTCAGTGCGATTCTCCTCGATAGGTTCCTGGCCCATCCCCAGATCGCAGGTCCATGTCACATTCACACACATCCAACTCACTCACTCTTCCACTCACCCACACCAGACTCAATCAGATGTCTCTCCGCTTTCCATCTCTAAATTCGAGATTGGTTTGGCGGCAAAGTGCGTTTGCCACCGTCGCGTCAGGTTTGGGGTCCTCTCTCCCCCAGGGTCGATGCCTGTGCTGTGCCCCAGCCCGTGCACCCGCCCAACGTATTGTTCCGAAAATGCAACAGCGCAAGGATGGCCAAGGGGCAGAATTGTGTCCTTGGTTGGGGCCAGGGGCTGGCCGAGAACACCGTCCATCACATGTACGAACGGGTTGGGTGGCTGGGAAAACGGCAAACGGTAAAACGGCAAAACAACAAGACTGAAGAAAAAAAAGATTGCAATGAGAAATCTCGCCCGGGTAGGCGAAGCCGTTGGTCTCCATGCTACAGAGTAGACTGCTGCAGTGCCACCCCATGTGCAGTTGGCCTTTGTTTCCACGTCCCAACAGAAAGCACTGGACAGGAGGCGCACTCTTGTTTCCCTCTGGCACATAGCCGACGGGCGGCTGCGCTTCCTATTCGGCTGCGGGCATTTCTCTCTCACAATCGGGCTTGTCGGCGCGGCAAACAACCGGACCTTTGTTTCCGTCCAGCTCGTATCCCCTATGCCATGCCTACACGAGACCCCCCTCTTCTTAGATCGGAAGGTGGCAGGGCTCCGTCCGGGGTCGCGTCCCCGCCGAAGCCCGCCTCCCCCAGCGGCCCTTCCCAAGTGGACGCCGACGCCGGGCCGTTTTGGTGCGACTCGGGGCAAGAAGCAGCATGTAAATCGTCTGGATGGAGAGCAGGTAGCCGGCCCATCCATGCATCTTGCGAGTTGGCCTCTCGCTTTTGTGTCGCTCCAGCAAAGAGTTCATTAAGTAATACGGCTTGTGCAGAGATGCGCCATGTCAAAGAATTGGCCAGAGGGGAGAAGCTATGACGCCATAATATACAACCCCAATCTTTTTCCACACCAGCCGGGACGTCCAGGCCGTCGTCCCGGGCGGAATATGCCCGTGGGTGAACATGGAGGTGTGACCCACCAACGTGCGTGTGGATAAGGGAGGAGGGAAGAGCTGTCATTAAAACTCACGTTGCGACAGCGTGGAACCGCAGCTCAGTCAAAGAGCCCACCGACTTCGGCGCCGCCTGGGTGCTCGGTGAACGAGGCAAAGAAACCAACAACGAGGGTTGTTCTCTTGAGTGTTCACAGTACGAAGAGCTCCCCAAGCTCGGGCTATTCCTCACAGCATCTAGTAGATGCTCCACGGCATCTCGGTCACCCCGAGCTGAATATAGAGCTAACAGGTCGCCAAAAATCGTAACTGCGTTGGCCAGTCTGTCCATGAATTCAGGAGGAGGCCTCGGGTCACTCCCATGAACCTATCCCGGTGGCGAGCCGGACGGTAACGGCGAAGCGCAGAGCTAACACAGCTGCATCGCTGGTGCGAACGGTACCTCCCTCACCTTATCTATAGCCCCGCCCGCTCGCTCATTCGGTTCTGTTCGTCGGCCGTGTCGTAGACTGATCCAGCACATCAACGTCGCGCTTGCAGGATGTTGAAACATATCCCCAAGGCCCAGGCATGGGCCAGTATCCTCTCACGCGCGATAAGCGATAAAGATACATGTAATAACAAGCTGGTGCTTACCAGCTGTATATAACTTCCATCTCACGCTTGCAAATATAACTGGCAGTATTTCCACAAAGTACAGAGATACTCTACCTGGCTTGGATATAGGCAAAGCCATAGCTAGCCAGAGCTTACTGCGTCTGGATTTTTGCTACTTGTTACGCCCCCATACAGCCCCTTTCGACGCCCCCGGGTGTGGGTCCCTTCTTGCTGGCGCCTCTCACAAACCTCGGAGCACCAACCTTCCTAAGCTCTAAGAATCCAGAAGAATTTTGCTCACACATGTACTATGCTTCTGTTCATATTCCATTCCAGACATGAGGACAAGATCTACCCATCAACGCCCTCTGTCCGGGTATACAGACCTTGACCCAAGCAGCACCACTGGTTCGACAATATCGCACCTGGCGCCTCGCTTGCCGCTCAACGGTCATGTCTTGTAGTGCATTCGAGCGAGCCAAGCCAGAGTACAATGAAACCATTGGCCACGCCCAGAAAACTATGGTTAGCCACCCGAGTGCGAAGCTGAGCAAGGCAACCAATCGGCCTTTGATAGTCTTGTTGAGTGTAAGACTGGCAGCAAAGCCGGGCGTACATGGCTGCACAGGGCATTTGCTACGGCTTTTTTCTTAAATGGCTCCTTTCCTGCTCGCTCGGTTTCCTGCTTGTCTGCGATCCCTTGATCCAATTCCTTCCCCCAAAAGAGAAACATCCCCTGGCTATCTATGTAGACTCCCCTTCCCATAATCGACCAGGAACCCGCCGAGTACATATCAGAAACAACAACCGGCTGCAATAATGTCTCACGGCACCGTAGGCTACTTTCACTGCGCCTACACGTACGAGGCCCCGTATACCGACCAGTCCGGGAAGCGCGTTTTGCTGCCAAGCCCGACCTACCGCAGCGCCTTTTACTCTCCGGCCAAGAAGGATCACCAGGGGCAGAACGAGTGGTTCAAGGACAAGTTCCTGCCGGCCGCGGAGGCGCACATCAAGAAGAACTACTATGGCGACGTGGACAGGAACAACAAGGGGCGAACCTACGAGCGGTACAACCAGAAGTACATGGTCCACGAGCTCAAGTTCTGCGAGAAGCTGCCGGTTCACCACGAAGGAAGGTTCAAGGGTCAGCCGTACGGGACGCAGATCTGAACGCCGTCTGGGGGGAGCAGGTCAGTCACGGAAAAAATGCCATGTATAGCAAAAGTGAGTCCCAGCACTTGAGCTCTGCCAATGGCGGCAGCCATAGGTGCAGCTACGGGTCGAAGCAGATTCAGTAACGAAACGAGTATCCCTAGATCACCCGAACTGAAATGAGCCTATCTGTATTCTCGGCAACATGGTAGCATTTCCTGATCTGAACAGATAATCCCAAAGATTTTCTCAACCCCTTCTTCTCCTCCACACGTATGGCTTCCACTTGGTCTCGCACCGCTCCAACAGCTGTTTTCCGCAGCCCAGCCCACACTCGCCCTTAGGCGCGAGACCTTCGTTATGTCCTTGCCGACGACCTTGTCGTCGGGTAGGGTCCTCCCCCAGGGGATTACGTAGGCGCCTGAATCGGCCAGGGTCAAGCCGGGCGACAGGTCCGCGTATAGCTCCGTGTAGTCGTCGTAGACGGGACTCGTACAGTGCCATCCTGCCCGCGGGCTGCCCGGGTCGAGGGCGAAGAAGGCGGCGGCTGTGGGGATGCCTTGCCGCCGATCTCGGCTTTTTCTTTGGAGCACGGCGCCATATAGGCGACGGCGCCGGTGTCATATAGGATCCTGCATAGCTCAAAGCCGGCGCCCGAGTTGCCGACCGTGATGATGCGGACTCGGCCCGTCTAGGAACCAGGAGGAGCCTGGGCCGCGGTGAACACGGGTTTTGGCGGGCACGTGAGTGAGCGTGTGGCAGAGGCCCAGCCGTTTGAATGGTACCTTGGTGGCGTATTCTTTTCCCGCGCATGTGGTGCGGTGGCGGAACACGTCTAAGGGAGCTCCAGGGAAAGCTGACAACACCCAGGTAAAGGAGAAGGGGAAGGATGCGGCTAGGAGCATGATGGCAGACAAAAAAACGACGCCAAGGCGGAATCTAGCAGCATCTTCATGGTCCTAGATTCTGTGTGCCTTTGAAATCTCTGATTGGCCATCCATATATGTTACAGCTCGCCATCCAGGAGCAGAGGCCTTTTTGCAACTTCGGCTGTCGTGCAAGGACAGCAGCTCGAGCAGCCTTTGTATCTGACAGTCGTTATCAAAGAGCTGGTGTTTTAACCCTTTCTTTCTGTGCTTTCCATCACTCCCAGTATACCTTTTTAACCTTCCTCACTTCATCCTGGCCGACGTGGAAAAGAGCCCTTGGTGAGATGAGCAAACCGTTCTCCGACATCATGCAATGGGCAGTAATGCTGCGGACAAGTGACCTTCTCACCGCATAACCACGATCTTTCTTGTAATCCTACTCGAACCCGCCACCAGGACCTGTTGTTCGACTTCAAGACGGGCTACTTTGCGGCCTACCGCGGCAGCCTCGGCTGACCTGCTGCGCAAAGTCTTGGGCGCCTACACACAACAGCATCAGACAGGAGCAACAGCAGCGGGCGGCAGCGGCAGCCAGCAGCAGGAATGGGTATCTCTGCTGGCATCCGGCCCCAATAACGAAGCAACACGAAGGCAAGAGGCTTCGGCTTGGAACCGCCTGGCACATCATCTTCAAGCAACAAATGAGTGTCGAGCTTGTTGCGCCTACAACTATGCAAACGACTGTGTTTGAGTGCAAATGAAGGATAAACATCTTATGCGTACCGCCTGGTTTCCATTTGTGATTCCATCATTCTTTTTTTTCATCGACGTTCACTTGACCCCGCTTCCTTTTTCGTATGTATCTGCCCAGCCGCCGTGCTGCAGCGGCGATCCCTTTTTGACGGCCCGTCTGGCCCTCTTGGCTTCCGCCAGGATCATGGGGCGGCAGCACCCGGTCGCCAGAACTCCTGGGACGTGCATATCGCCCGTCATTTCTTCATCTCGGGTAATTATCTGAAATGTTTTGTGTTTGCACCTCCCCGACGAACAGATGTATAGTGTACATAGGGGATAGCTGGTGGGACACGAGACGGCTCATTGCATGCCATCTGTGTGTTTAGGGGCTAGACGATGAACCTGGTGCCCAGCTTTCCCGTCGATAGGAACCCCCTGTTTCCCATCTCGCCCCTCCACCCGACCCCCAGGATCCCGAATATCACCTTCCCGTCGACCAGGCTGGCCGGTGTCGGGGTCCCGTGGACCACGAAGCAGATTTGCTCAATCTCGGACGGGTGGAGCACGGGCTTTTGGCCCCCGGCCGCCTCCCAGTTGCAGTCGGTGTAGGTCAGCCCGGGTTCGAGGTCCAGCACGGCGCGCTCCAGCTGGATCGGGTCCTCGCCGCAGTTCTCCAGCTGCGCCTCGAGCACCCACCGGCGCGCGGGGGTGGTGAGCTCCTTCTCCGTGGCGGCGGCGACGGCACCGGTCGGCAGCGCGCTGACCTTGGTGCGCACAATCAACGACGGCTTGCAGACGAACTGGTACAGCTTCCGGAACGTGCGGGTGCGCCCGCTCGTGTCGGTGGCCTCGTAGTAGCTGACAGTGACGGCGAGCACGTGGTTGCCCTCGTCCTTGAGGTCGAAGCTCACCACCTTCTGGAGCGTCCCGCCGGGCTCCAGGTCGACCCCTCCGGCCCCGCCCGTGCCCGTCCTCCCGCCCGCGTGGTCCGGGCCGAGGTCGAGTTTGGTCACGTTTGCCGACGCGGGCGTCTTCATCTCGGCCTCGATGCGCACATCGCGCACCTGCTTCGCCCTGGCCGGCGGAGCCCCCGGCGGCGCCACGGGGGCGTCATGGTTCGCACACAGGGTGCAGCTGAACGTCTCTCCAACGTAGGCGGACCCGAACGATGGCGGCAGATTCAGGATGGGGCTCAAGATGAAGGGGTCCGAGTTGGTGCCGTCCTCTGAGCTGTAAGCCAGGGACGCCGGCGCCGAGGCCTCGCCCGCCGTCTGGGCCCCGAGGGGAGACTTCACTGGATACTGGGGAACGAGAGATGGGCGGGATAAGCTAGCATGCCGTGTAAGTATCCTGTACCTTGATAGCCGTGGACGCGAGCACATGTGGAGCGCAGCGGTCCGACATACCGGAGCACTTTTAGCGATATAGAATGCGGCTCCTTGACAGCATCTGAGGGATATCGTTGGTGGCTCATCACGACACTCGAGGCACTAGAATCCCTGAAACCTCTTGCTCAGAGCCCTCCGGAGGGAACGGGGCGGATATTGGCCAGGGCAGGTTAACTGTGTTTCTCCCCGAACATTAACTGTTAGCCCAAGCTAAACAACGTGGGCCACATTCCGTGCGTGCGGCGGCGGACGAGGGGTAGGTTCTTTGGCCTGTGATTCCCACCTGGCACTACAAATAGCCTCTTGGAACACGGTCGCGGGGTCAGTAAATCACGCTGCCCGCCTCTGTCTTCGCGTGCGCCCTTTGCCAAGTCAAATTGGGTTGTGTTTACTGCTGGTATGGGTTGAGGCTGGGCTGCCGTTGATTGAGGAGAAAGGTGAATTTCCACGCTGCCCACAGCACTAGAGGTTCAATGCGCGAGGGTTTCGCTGTCTACAGCGGGTCAGCTTCAGTTGGGCTCCAATGCCTAGGGTGGCGCACGAGGCCAGCCAGACTTAAATATTGAGCAAACATTACCTCAACTGCATGGTTCACGTAAAACAACAATCAAGAAAAAAAATATGGAACACCGAGGATTCCCCAATGGTCACTACTAGTTCGGCCCTCATATATTTTAGTACTGGGAGATTTTAAGAGCAAATGGGATCCAGGCCTCCAGAAACGGAGGGTTTCACCTCCAAAAACGGATGCCTTTGCTTCCCTTTTAGCCAAGCGTTCCCTTACCGTTTATTTTCGCATTTGCACCGAATCGTGCGCATTCCGCCACCGTAGCTAAGCTGCTAAAGGCGGCGCAATTGGCCCTGGTGCCTGCGGAAACCTGATTTGATACTACGCAGCCTTTGGGAAATATCCGCGGTAAAGGCGGTAGCTTGTCGTCGAGACAAATTGCAGTTTTTTTTTTTTTTGAAAAGGCAGCACTGAAATTCTACACCCCGGCTCGGGAAGGCAGGCAGCTAATTTTAGCTTTTATAGTACACGCGGGAATGGTAACGGGCCCCGGAGCGTAATTTTTTTTGCTGCTTTACGGTTTTTCGACAAGCAATGCGTATTTCAAATCGGTTAAAAGCGTACATCGATAAACCCCGGAAGCTCGACGCCGCCGTTACCCGAAAAACGGGGATGCTGTTAACTTTCCATTTGTTATAGCGTGGCGTGCTTTTGCGTGCATTGCAGCCTTATTTCGATCGCAGCGTTGGGCATAAAAAATCCATAAGCGATCCAAACCGTTGGTTTGGATTGTTTTCGCTTTTGGTTTATATGCAAGTTTTTAATATACCGTAACATTATCGTTTGCGTGTTCGGTAATTTTATGCCGAAAAATAACTTGTTTGCAATGCAAATTGGGGAACGTAAAGTTAGCGTATTTGCAAATTAGCAACGAATATAATTAATATTAATTAACATAAAACGGATATAAAGCGGGCAAATTACAAGCCGTACAATAAATATCCAACATAAACATTTTTAATAATTTTTTTGCATGCTTCCGCTTAATATCCTTTTTATGCCGTTTTTATAGCTTATTCGATGTTATTTTTACATTTTCTTTTATATTGCCCTTTATGCCTTTTCTATGCTCCTTTCCATGCTTTTTATTGTTACGGTGGTTGGATAAAAGGAAACCCTTCCTAAACCACAATGCTAAAATAACCAAAACTGCCACTTAATTTTTAAAAAGGTTATTATACGTTTAACGCACACAAAAGTTTAAGTTACAAATTTACGGAAAGCACGCCCCGCATTGCGCGTATATCATTTAGGCTTTTTCGTTTTGCTATTGTAACGTTAGCTATATAATCCAATTTGTATTATTAAAATTATCCAAATTAAAAATATATCCCGTATAAATGTATATGCTAAATATGCATATTAATTAAAAGAATAAATGTACCGCTTAAAATGGTGCTGGTTAAAGGCTTGGATACATTTTTTGGTAATATACAAATTCCAAAATAAATAGCCTTTTTCGCCGCATAAAATGGGCTAAATGGATGGGTTAATAAGCTTAAAGCTTTTGGCCCATTGTTATATTACTTGGCGCAATTTTCCATGGCTATTTTATCGGCTTGCTAAATGCCGTGCTGCTATTTGGGCCTTGGATTGAAATTGTGCCGAGCCGCGGCCGGCAGGGCGGTGGCGGCTGCGGCATTGGCAGCCGCTTTGGCGGTTGCTGCTTCCAACCCTTAAATTGCAATTACGTCGTTGTAACGGTAGCGTTTGGAAATGGAAGCGTATCGAGCAGTCGTGGCTTGTCGTATCGTTTGTTAATTTAACGCTGCGAAAAGTGCAATTTCGCCACGAAAAGTATTAATTTGTTAATTACATAACGGATTTCAATTTTATATCCTTAATTGGCGGTTAATAAATAGCATTGGGCAAAGCAACCAAGTATGTATCGCGGAAGCTTTTAACGCGGCGTCCGTTTTTTCGCCCGATTTAAAAGTTTTAAGCGCCGAAACGTGCGCACCCCAGCCCAATCCTTAAAAGGGCTTGGTTGGGCTAGCCGGACCGGCGGCAGCCAACGAAACAGGCCGTACCGGATGGGCATATAAAAAATACCGCGAACCATCCTCTTCGAGCCAACACCCCAACAACGCCCTTTACAACGGCGAGCAGTCGATCCATCGTTTTTTTTAACCAGACGGCCGTTATAAACGACGGCTTTATCGCGGTTAACGTTGTTTTTGGAGCCTTGTATTGCGCCGTTTGGAACTTCAGCTTTCCAACCAAAATTAAACGGTTGCTTTAGCACGTTTCGAAATTCCCCCGGCCGGTTTCGCGCACTTTTAATAGCTTATTCGGTTGCTTAGCGTTTTTGTTTGCGGCCGCTTCCGCGCCGTAATTTTTTGGTAATTTATTAAAATTGTTTTTGCATTAACATTTGTATTGTTTAGGATGGTTTTAATCGTAAAAAAATTTCCGTTATTATTTTAATTGCCGCCGTTTGCTTTTATTAAAGCTTAAACAAAATACGTGCTATATATGTTATGGAATGTTTAATTGTGTAAATTGGGCGCGATTAGCTATTTTTTAATTAAAAAAAACCAATAACAAATGGAATTACAAGCATCCAAAAACGAACGTTTTTGCTGCTGTACCGAAAGGATTAGGGATTTTTTAATACATTAAGCTTATAAGCTCCATGTCTGGATAAATGTTAAATTGCCAGTTCGTATATTAAAAATTGTCGAAAACTCGCTAGCGGCGTAAATTCGAACGGAAATGGATTAAATTAAACCTAATTTAAGCGCTATACGCAACAATTTTTTTTTTTTTGTTATCCCCATTTTCCCTTTTTTGCCGTTATTATTACCCCGATCCCTTTTAAGCCCGGTAACGCAACCCCAATAAACGTCGAACGGGTTATTTACAAAATCCATGTGCCCGTTACGGTAATTAACCCAATAAAATTCCTTTTCCGGGTATTTAGCTTTAAGCTTTGCGCTTGCGCCCGTTTCCCGCCGGCGCTTTACAATTTACGGTAGCAAAATATTTTTTTTATCCATTCGGCCCGGTTAGGAAGGTTTTTTTAGCCGCCGCGGTAAACGAGTACTTCGCTTTTGCGGCTTTAGCGGCTTGCTTCTATAGCAACAAAGCGCTAATGGCTGGTTTTGCCCGTATGGCTGTTTTCGTACCGGCAAGCCCGGTCGCTTTTTTCCGCATTAAGCTTGCAAATTTAAAGCGCCGGGCACGGGGTAAGTTTTAGCGTCGAAATTGTCCGTTTGGAAAAAAGGTTTGCCAAAGCCGTTAGCAATAGTAGCAATAAAACCGGCGTTTTAAAATTGCGCAAGCTTAATAAAGTAAAACCACGCTACAATTTCGGTAAAATTATTTTAAAAGCAAAAGTAACCGTACTCGGTAACCTTGCGGGAATAAAAGTAAAAAAGCGGCATTTTTTCGTTGGAACGGTTTGCAATAGCGGAAATTTAAATATAGGATTTAATTTTGTCCATGTTTGTATTGCGCGAACAATGTATTTGCTATTTTTTTTTTTAAACCTGGGTATTGCGAAAAAATTATAAATACAGCAAATTAATATTGCAACGCAAACACCTTTACGTGCGGCAACTCTGCGTAAATCCCATTTCCCGGATTATCCAAGCAAACTTCGTTTAAACATCGTTTATACCAACGCGTGCTTTTCCCCAAACCCAAAGAAGATTGCGCGGATGGCAAGTGTAGCACGGGCGCGGAATACTGCGGTTACAACGTATACCAGCTCGGAAATTGCACGATTCCGTTAACGCTTTCGGGCCCGCTTTCGTAGCTAAATGGAAACATTATAAACGGCATTTGTAGCGGCGCTAAAAATTACATTTGCAATATAATATTTAAAAATTGCTGCAACAAAAATAACGTATGCGGTTCGCTGCCGTCGAATTGTAAAACAAAATGGTAAGTTTTGGAGCATTTTTTTTTAATATTTCTTTTAATTTGCTTTTTCCGCAAACCGTTCCAATTATAAAGCGCATAAAATGCTAAGCTAATTTGCTATGCAACCAACCTTTGTATAAAAATTGTACTTTATCCTTTTTCACTTTTAAAGCAACCTTTATAGTTACGACCTAATTTACAGCCATAGCCGCAACCACCATTATTCCAAGCATTGCGGCAATCCCCGATGTATCCAGCCTGCCCGCGTGCGGCCAAACCTGCTTTGGCAATATATTTGCGCAGTACTCGGGCTTCGGCTGCGCCAGCCCCCAGGATTCGTACTGCTTTTGCAACAAAGCCAATTTTAGCAACGGCTTGCGCAATTGCTCCAACGGCGCCTGCGGGTCCGACGCCGCGGCGGCCAGCAGCGCCATCGCCTTTGGCAGCGCATACTGCGCCAACGCGTTTGCCACGCATACGGCCACGGGGCTGGCCGCCCTGCCGTCGTGCGGGCAAACGTGTTTCAACAACATGGTCGCGCAATATTCGGCGCTGAGGTGCGCCAGCTCCGTGCTGCCTTTGTAAGAGTGCAAACTTTGGGTTCGGGCTGCGTGACTGCGCCAACGGGGCGTGCGGCACGGCGGTGGCGCCGACGGTCATTGCGTATGGGAGCTCGTACTGCGCGTCTGTTACGGCGGCTCCGTGGTTAGGGTAATGGGGTGGTTGGTTAGTGCATCGGTTATTATATAATATGCAAAGTATCTATTCCGTCGTCCATTGAGGGCTAGTTGGTGAATGTATGTTTTGCGTCGGGCACGGTAATGGACCGAATTATTGGTAAATAACAAAAGATGGACACGAAAATCACCTGTTTCGATTCGCGCGTATCCTTGCGAGAATCGTGGCAGTCGAGGCAGGGATAGCTAAAGTGGTGTCGGGAGTCTGGATGACCTCCCATTCTAAATCCACACCCTGTACATCGGTGTACAGGTAATTTATACGTGTGCACGGTGTTGAACCGTGTTGGGGCTGTGCCCTAGGGATGCTGGGGTCCTGGCCTTGAGACGCGCCAATAGCGCTTGGGCCGGGACCCTCATGCTTCCCCTCCACCTTGTGCTCCGGCCCCTTGTCCACCATCCACGCCGACCCAGGATAGGGCTGAGGCTTGGCAACCGTTTTGGCAAGCAAGATGTTAGCCGCAGGCCCATAAGCCAGGGATGCACAGCTGTCAATTTTCCATTCGTTAGCCAAAGCACGCTTCGATTTGACTTTTGCAAAAGCTCCAGCTCACCGCTAACGTAGGCATGCCGCGCCATAACATAGCTTACCGTAACGAGGTTTACTGTAGCGCCCTTAAGCCCATTTCAAGCGCACCCCTCGGGACCGTAATAAATAAAATGTAGCAGCTGGACGGCCAATTTCGTAAGGGATAGGAAAAAAATAAAATAAAACATACAACACCGAGGATTCCCCAGTGGTTACCCACCTGAGTACTCGCGTCTCGAGGTCCCCCGTATCAGAAATCGGGCTGCTTGTATTGAACGGCAGCAGCCAGTAGAGATGGACGGCCCCCAAATAAGTCTAATATTACCGCCCGCGGCCCGCTCAGATGCAACCCTAGGTGAATTTGCGGTTGAATAGCGATAACACCGCGAATGGGGTCTCATTGGTCGCCTTCTCCTCAAGCCACCGAGGCTCTCTGGCCAAGTGGTGGACAAATGACAAAAGTGTGGAACGGGCCTTACCGGCCACTATTCCCGGCTCTTATCACCGCCTGATACAGCCCGCCCCCGAGATGAGGACCCGCATCCGCGCCCCGTCCCGACGCAGGGGGATCGACAGAGGGTGTGGTGTCCGGGGCACGGCTGCGTCAATATAACATGCTGGCGACTAGCGCCCATGGCGTTTGCTGCTTAGCTTGCTTTTAACATTGAGATCACAGTAGCTTTCAGCTCGCGGCTCGTGCTAGATTGGTCGGCTTTCCTTTTTTTGATCCGGGATCGTATTAGGAATTTGACAGACAGTAGCCCTAGACTCTGGTGTCGACGCCCTCTGAGAAGTCCTCTTTCCCACACACACATACACTCTCTCTTTATCTCTCCACCAGAAAATGAGTGACGCCAACGGGCCTCAAGCCCTCTACAGCTCCGGGCCGGAACCGGTCAAGCACGACAGCGACTACCCCCAGCTTCACATAGTGACACCACAGCAGGGCCAGGGATGGCAAGGACAGCCTCACACTCCGGAGACGAGCTACGGGGCGACCTCCCCGCCACCGCCACAGCACCAGCAGATGCCAGCGATGACGACGGCTTGGCAAAACGGGCACCAGCAGGAGCAGCAGCAACACGAAAAGCACACCGGCGACGGCGGCAGGAGCCCGCGCCACCCCGACCGGCTGCTCGCCTCCGCCGCCTGCCTCCTCCTGGGCATCATCATCGGGGGCGCAGTCGTCGGCGGCGCCCTGGGTTCCATGCTGGCCGGCCGGCCGGCGGCGGGGACGGCAGCCGCTCCCACCGCCGCCGCAGAATGCAAAACGTCACCGGCATCAAACCAGAGCACCGCCTCATCAGCGCCACCAGCCGCGGGCACGTCAGGAACAGTCACGATGCTCACAAACTACGAGGCCGCCAGCTGGCGCAACGTCAGCACGCTCGCATTTCCCTGCCCCCGGCAGGAAGGGCTGACGGTCACGGCGTTCGAGGGTTCCCGGTTCAGGATAGAGTGCGGGATCGACTCGGCCGGCTTGGGCACGGAGGCTCCCGGCACCACGATGGAGGACCTGCAGTCCGCCATAGCGTACAGCTTCGAGGACTGCGTTTTCGCGTGCGCCAGCCTCAACAGGGAGTCCCCCAGGGTTCAGAAGCAGCAAGGGCTATCGAACCCGTCCGTGGTCTGCCGCACCGTGGTGTGGCGCGCGAGGATGGACGAGGATATTTTCAAATCCGCGGGCGGGAACTGTTTTCTGAAGAACGCGACGCGTGCTGCTGGGGGGGAAGGGAGGGCTTGTCCGCAGTGTATGTCAGGTACTTTGCTTTGAGGCGAGCGAGGTGTGCGGTTGTGGACCACCACCACCACTCGTCACCCTCCCTCTACCGAAACTTCCAGGTGCCGGGTTAAAATTAATAAGTTAGGTAAGGCTGTAGTCAAGACCAATAAAGATCCCCGTGGTGGCTCATGACCACCAAGGCTGCGGCCGGACGCGCCGGGCAAACCCCGCCAACTAACTGCCCGCCGTCGTGGAGGGAGAAAGGCGCGTCTTACTGGCTCGCCGCCCCCTGCGGGTGCAGGTGCCGCAGCGGCTGCTGTCCTCGGTGGCGTCGGTGTTCCTTCCAGCTTGATCCATTAAGCATCTGCTCCCCACTGGTTTGACTAGGGGAGAGCGGACGGGATCCCGTATATTCCAGTGTATGGTCGTATGTGGCTGTCATAGGGAGCTCTGTTGCTTATAGGGTGGTTTTCGTCCTCTCTCTCGGTGTTAATACGGTGCTCGCCCACGCGGAGGACTTAAAAAGCGAGAGTGATGGCGACTCCGATGACGACACATGGACAACGTCTCCACTGCTGTGCCAAAGGTCTCCTGAGGTCTGGATCAGAACCAGGTTGGAGTTTTGAGCTTCGCTCGTCAAGCCTGGATCGAGGTCTGGCCCACGCCAACAAAAAGGCCATCCGCAGCTGCATCTTGGCGGGCATCTTGGCCACTGGTAGCGTTGATCGGGACAGGGGTCCTGTGGGTTGTATGCGATATGCATCGACCAGAGCACGGTCAGGTAGAGGAACCACCAGGTTGGCCAGATGGACCTCTGGTCCACCACTGCGCGCGGAACAGGTCCTGATCTGGCTGTGGAGTAGCTACCAACGAGCTGTTGGACGCGGCCACTTGCCCTCGATGTCCGCGCCCGCCGCCGCCCTACAAGAAAACAACACTTTCGAAACTTGGAGCTAATGGGACGCACTGTGCGCTTACCAGCCTGAAGGTCCTCAAGACGACGTGGACCCCTAAAAAGCTTACACATTGCCGAGCTTGTTGCCGGCAAGAAAACCGTCCTTCCATTCCCGCGGCCGGCGCAGGAAGCGTTTCCACCACGTGCCTAGTAAAATCCTTTCACCTCGTTCGCTGACCGCTGCGCACTTGCAGTTGGTGTCGTGTGCTTGCATGCCAGCCCAAGCCTTAAGAAGTGCTTCCCAGAGGCGCCCGACGCAGCGTGTCGGCGTCTTCACTCTGTAAACCCTTATATCCGTTCTGTTCCGCCTCTTCGCCCTTCCCTTTGCGCTGCTGCTCGCCCACCGCCGATGTGCGGATAAAAACGGGCGGATAACCAGGCTTGCGGCGCAGATTATTTTTGACTTGGTCGTCCGTTTTGTCCGTAAACTTTACAACGTCCAAGTTTGGTGGCGCTTCCGCCACCACCTGCGCGACGGCGTGCCACGCGTTCCCCAAAAAGCTTATCCTGTTCGTGTTTAAGAAGGCGGCCGTGATCACGAGCATGATGACGAAGTGGGCGGCAAAGACCCCGCAAAAGGTTAAAAAGCCGGTCCATTTGTTCGGGATGATGACGTTTTGGGAGAAGAGCATTGTCGAGGTGAGCTCAACGTAGGAATCGTCCAGGAGGTCGTAATAAGCCATCTGCATAAGCGTGGTGAAAAGCGCTTGCAGCGCTAACGCCGCGTTGTTGCCCGTGTTCGCCATTATGTTTTGGAAAAGGCTCGCGTGGCTCCGGTGCGGCACGTTTATCCCATCAAAGCCAAAAGGTTTGGCGGTGTTTAAAGAAATGCTGGTGCCAAATTGGGGTCTTACCCACGATGACCAAGTGTTATAAAATGTCCTAGGCTGGACCGCCTCCTCGGCTTTGGACCTTGCTGCCGACCAGTTCCTTTGTGGGTGCAAGCGCAGTAGGCCGCGGTCTTCAGGGGTGCGGCGTTGCAGCGTGGCGCCGAGAAAGTCGCGCGCCGCTTCGCTGCCGTACTCGCCCGTTCTTGTATTCCACCACCGCGGCGACGGCTCCTGCCCGTCGCGGGTGCTGTTGGCGGTAATTTGGTAATTTCTATCGTCTGGATGAAAGAAGCACAAGGTGATGTCGATGCCGATGTTTGAACCGTCGAAGCGGAGGCTTTGCCATATCCCCGAAGAGTTCGACTCGGCGAACCCAGTTTGGTTAAGGAACCACTCGCCGGGCGTGCTATCCGGGGTCGTTGTGCGTTGCTTCCAAAGGTTTAAAGGCGCCGTTAAATTAAAAAGAAAGTATCCATCTGATCCTCGGTTTGTATAATCCCATTCGGGGCGCATTACACTCTTTATAAACCCCACTTCATCGCCGACGGGACACATAAAGATCGGCATCGGGGTTACCGGCGGCTGGGGATAGTTAAAGTCGGGTTTAACTGCGTCAACTATAACGCAGGAAAAGGGTACTGCGTCTGCAGTACGGCGAGCATTAATATCGTCAAGGTGAAAAAAGCGCTGCACGCCTTCGTGTTGGTCGGTCCACGAGATATTTCCTTTAAGAACCATGTGGTTAATGGTTAGGCTGCCACTGATTCCCGTTAACCGCGGGCGAACGCAGGCAACACGCGCGTCAAACGCCGACGTAACGCCGGCGTAACTGCGCATCGCTGTGCGCTGGCTGGAGCTGCCCAATGGAAGAAAGGCGCGAATGGTGGTGCCTGTGTCGTAATAATCTTCCCCTTGGATCGCCGAGCCCGGATCTTCGGCGAAGCGGAAGTAAGCAGGGGCTCGGCTCGCCCAATAGCTTTTCTTTTCGGTCCCCCAAAACGGCGAGCCTTGATGCTGTAAAGCAACATTGATGTTGGATTTGTTGTAGTTGCCGAAGACTTTAGCCGGGCCAAAATCGGCAACGAGGATTGTCGAGCTGAGTTGGGTCGCCCCCGAAACAATAAGGAGGAGAAAAAGCAAAACCCCAAAAACCCTGTTCGCTAGTCCACGCTGCCTCCATATGGCAAACGCTACCCCTCCGAAAGGCCCAGAGGTTTCGGCCCGCGTAAGAGAAAGCAGCGCGAGGTCCTCGAGCGAGCACCCGCCGCGCTCGAGCACGAAAGACGCCAGCATTTGGGTTACGACCCCGACCTGCAGGGCCGCCACGAAGCGGATTAGCACCGTGGATACGGTGATAACCTGGAGGAGCCGTCCCGAGTCGAGCAGGCGCTTCCAGACGGTGGCCGAGGGGGAGGGCGAAGTTTCGACGATCGCGTCGTTGGCGCTTTTCCAAATAAAGGCGAGAAACCCGACGACAGCGAAAATGGCTAGCGTGCCACCGACGAGTATTAGCATTTTCAGGACCCCCAGGCTCCTCCTCAGCTCCGGCCGTGGCCGGCTAGGCACGGGCGCGGCGTCGTCACGGGGCAGGAACGGGTTGTCGACATGTCCTTGGCGTGGTGATGGGCCAGGCGGCAGGAGTGCGGAGTGGCTGTTGCCGACGTTGCTGTCGGGACCTTGTGTCATTTTGGCGGAAGCTGGAAGGGCGCGAAGTATTGAGGGTTGTGCATGATGGGATACGAAAGCAATAAGAGGGTCGGGGTAGACCGCATCAGCTCCTTTTAAACGGCGCAACAGCATGCTCCCCACAACATCGTATGCATACTTCCCGGAGCCCCAAACGAAGACAACACAATATGGTCGATGTCGACGCCTCGGCGGCTTCTGGAGAGGCCACTAAGAATCAATAAAGAGGCACAGGCACCACCGCCATCCGCCATCGCGGTTACGAAGGGCGGCTATCTGATAATCGTATTCGACGGAAAGGCCGAAATGATGGATGCCGCTTCGCCCTCACGCTGCCCCAATAAGCGCGGGGCGTTCCAGCTGGCTGCGGCGCCCTTGTTAGGCAGCCTGACCTTGACCGAGCAATGCTTGGTTGATTTGGCACGATATTATTGGACTTCCAAGCGCTGCTGTACAGCTGCCATTTTTCCTCTTGTGGTCGAAAAAAATAGGTCTTGCCGAGCCTCTGTGCTCCAATGCCATGCGTCGGGCGCGTTAAGAGTGAATGCCGGTAAGCGCCCGCCGCTGCTTGCCGCGTAGGGCAGGCATCGAATGACAGGGCCGAAACGCATCGGAAGCTATCATCGGGGGAATTGGCCTCCCGCCACACCAACTGGCTGCTTTCCCCTTAGTTACTGGTTGGCAGGTTCGATCGAATGGCGTTGGCGGCTGTGAGGGAGGGAGGATGGTTGCGCCGGAATGGAGGTGGCGGTTGCACGTTCCAATTGTGAAACCCATGGCCAAACGCTGCTCTCTTGGGCTACTAAAAATGGACAAGACGCATTGTCACAAGGTCCATCCTCAGCCAGTCATTCAAATCTTATGAGGCCGATGGTGATGATTTCCTTTTTCCCACTCGTTGAAAAGAGCGACCCAACGGCCGTTTTTCATGCGTGCAAGCTCTCCATGGCGGGCGGCGGGACCAAGGGTAGTGAGGCGGGTGGTGGGCGGTCCTGTTGGCGGCGGCCAGGATCCTGCAAACAGAATCCCGTTTTCTGCGTTTTTAAGGAGGATAAACGTTGGCGAAATGGTCGCGATGTGGTGGAGCATGTAAAGCGTATGGAGGGTGGGGCGGCCAGGACGGGCGGCTATTGGCCAGTGGTCAAGGTCCCGGAAGCCAAATGGCTCCGTGAGTTCTAATCCAACCCTCACCGGTTTGACTAGGGGAGAGCGAACGGGATCCCGTATATTCCAGTGGGTATGGTCGTATGTGTCTGCTTACAGTCACTGCCCGACTCATGATCCAACCGTGGGTGGGCACGCACCCCAGCGTAAGATGCTATAGAACGCCAGTTTTGGGACTCCTGGCATTCCACGGCGCATTCATCTTCTCATGGCAGCAACGTTTTCCCGATGGTCCCTTTAAGTGAGCAGACTATGCCCGCCCCATCACTAGTAAATACGGAAAAGGGTTTGCTCATTTGTGCGGATCTTAGCCGAACTCGGGCCGACGGTCGATTGTACTGGTGAACTGTAATATGGCATGCATAGCATAGCTTGAGCTGGACAGTATTGTGCTCAATAAGTGAGCGTCATGTGTGCGCCCAATTTGGCGGAAGAATGTCGGGGTCATGCATAGGCGAGTAAACCACCAGCGGAACTGCCTACATCATAGATCACGGCGCTACATTGGTTGCCGGCTAACTTGAATAGGTACATGTCAACCAGATAAACACGCTGCACTTCCGCGCGAATTTATCCAGGAGGAAGCTGGCTCGCGTCGACAACATCGTCCGCCTCCTTGATGAGAGCCTCGTCCTCGGCTCCATACAGGGGAGACCTAGGAAGAGCCATAAGTCCGGTCCTGGCCGACTCCAGAATTCCAAACGGCTCGATGAGTTTCAGGAAGGACTGAATCCTGGAAGGCTTGGCGGAGCTGCTCACATGTGTCAGCAGACGAGGTTAGGAGTCCAGTACACGACAAGTCGTAGACTTACATTTCAACTATGCAGCTGTTGGTGCTGATGTCCAGAACCTTGCCTCCGAACTGGTGCGTGAAGTAGGTGATGCTCTTGAGGTGCTCGTGTTTATGCCTGAGCGCCTCGCTCGTCGCCAGCTTGCGGGGATGAAAGTCCCGTGCCAGCTCCGCCAACGTCTGCTCCGACGCATCCTGCACCCCGGTGATGTCGGGCTCGGCGGCGGTGATCTCGCGGTGATGGGCGAGGAGCTCCTCGAAGTACTCAGGGCCCAGGATGTTGATCTTGGCGAGCAGAAGCTCGCGCTGGACAAGCGCCGCATTGGTGTAGTCCAGAACGGCCCACACTGGGACTAGATCCTCCAGCTGCCGCCTCGCCTGCTCGACCACGCCGTCCTGGCCGGTGAGGACAATGGTCATGCGCGACAGGTCCTCGACCTCGGTGCTGCAAACGACGAGGGAGTCGATGTTGAAGCCGCGCGCGGCCAGGATGCCCGACACGCGCGAGAGCACTCCGGGTTCGTTCTGGACGAGGCAGTTGAGGACGTGCCTTTTCGGGGGCACCATGGACGGGGTCGGGGTCTCGTAGAGGATGTTGGACACGGCTGCCTGAGCTGACCATGACGGCGTGGCGTCGCTCACGGGGAGCGGGGCTTGGCGGCGGCGCAGGGCCTTGTAGGCAATGGCCGAGGTGGAGCTGCTGTATCTCGCCGCCGGCCTCAGGGCGGCGGTCGAGGCCGCGCGCCATGACGGCGAGAGAAGCAGGCCCCGGGAAGCCATCTGCTCCGCTTCGGCCAGAGATTCCCGTCGTTGGACGAGGACAGGCAAAGAAAAGAGGAATTCTAGATGTCTAAATCGTTAGTCTTGCTGCAATTGGTGTCGCCCGAAGTTGCTCTCCAAGGAAAATTAAGGATCAGTTTCTAGTGATTTACCGGTGAAGCTGTGAGGGCTGTGTGATTTGGAGAGTCGCGAGGAAAGTGTCAAAGGCTCACAGCAGACCGAAGATCGGAGGGGTTCCTCTGCGGGCGGATTCCTGGGCAAGCATGCAGGAACGGACGAATCACAGGCCCAGAATATGTGGGCTAGCTGCAAGCCATGGTCTCCACTAGAATACTCGAGCGTTAGCCTTGCAATCTACCCGGTCGAGGCTTCTACAAAAACATCCATCTCGACACTTCTACCGTCCAGCTTCCCTCCGCCTGCGCATTCCCGCGCGATCGCGACGAACTTAACGGCCACGATGAACGACAGCGAACCTCGGAAGCGCTCTCGCTTCGACCAAATCGAGCCCGACCCGCCGAGACGGTCGAGATTCGATCGCCGATCACGCTCTCCCCCCGCCCGGGGGTCTGAGCCTGCTCGCGACAGGAGCCCTTTGCCGCGCGCCGGATCCGAGTCAAAGGCGGGCGACGAGTCCGCGCCTGTCCTTGACCCGGCCGCAGCTGCAGGTCGGTTCACCGTCGCGTCAACCACAAATTTGCCAACCTGCTGACACACCCTCTAGCTGCCGCTGCCGCCAAGATCCAGGCACAACTCGAGGCGCGCAAGTCCAGCCAGCACGACAATGTCCATCCGAGCAGGACCGCCGCCATTAAGACTCCAGCCTCCAACACAGGAGCTACCATCAATGGCGAGATATATATCGCGGACGGCGACTACATCAAGGACATCGAAGTCAACGACCTCCGCAACCGATATCTTCTGACAAAAGGCGCGACCCAAAAGATGGTAAGGAACCGGTGTCTGCTTCTGAGCTGATAAATACAGTGCACGACTGCCGGGGAGGCCGAGTCCTCCCCGTGCCTTCTTTTTCCTGGTTGGGAACGACTGCTTACGCGAACATGCCACAGCTCGCGCGAGGCACAACCCTCTCTGGCATCTGCTGACCTTGTCTGCTCGAATATAGATCCAAGATGAGACTGGTGCTGGTACGCTCTCTCTCTGAGCCCCGAAACCTGTGTGCCTGTTCTGCGGAATGCTGATCGAACACTGATTTGTGTCTTTCAAAGATGTTACCACCCGGGGCAGCTATTGGCCGGATAAAAGCATGGCAACACCTGCGGTAAGTCGGCCATCGCGCCGCCGCTGAAACGACTCCTTCACTGACACGCGGCCTCTAGAACCCTCCCCTATACTTGCATGTCACCAGCACAACCAAGGAAGGGCTCGAGGCGGCCGTTGCCAAAATTGAGGAGCTCATGAAACAGGAACTTCCTCAGCTTGTCGATGAGCGTAGGTTTCGCCGCCGTGAAGAGCCGGTCGTCGAGCGTGACGAGCTTGGGCGGGTAAGTCGTGTCTTTGTTCCTTACACCTTGACACTGAATACATGTTGGCGGGCCCGAGCTCTGACTTTCAATAGCGCAAATGGCCCGAAGAGAAAATCCCAATCGGCCTCGAGCCCATCCCTGGCTTCAACCTGCGCGCACAGGTAGTTGGACATGGTGGCTCGTACGTCAAACACATTCAGCACGAAACAGGATGTCGAGTCCAGATAAAGGGCCGCGGCTCTGGTTTCATCGAGTCAGCCACCGGCCACGAGAGCGAGGAAGAGATGTTCCTGCACGTCGCGTAAGTCCCATTTATAATATCAGCGCACCTGTTCTTCAGCTGGCGAGTATCTTGTGTTGATTGCTAAAACACTATCCCCTCAGTGGTCCTGACCCTAAGATGGTCGAGAAGGGCAAAGAGATGTGCGAGGACCTTCTTAGCGCCGTCAAGGAGCAATACGAAGAGCACAAGAGCAAGCCGCCGCGCTTTGGAGGCGATCGCTTTGGTGATCGTGACAGGGGTGGCGGTGATCGCTATGGCGGCGGCGATCGTTATGGCGGCGACCGTTACGGCGGAAGGGGCTTCCGTGGGGGTGACCGCCACGGCGGCGGCTTTGATGATAGGCACCGGGACGATGGCCCAGGCCGCAACGGCGGACATCAGGGATACGGAGGCCATGGCGGGCACGGTCCCCCAACAGGTCCCCGCGGCGCGCCGCCAGGAGCTCCCTCCGGTCCTGCTAACCCGGGCGGCTCTGGCCACCATGAGCCGCACAACCTACAGGGCCAAAATGCCCAGGGCCAGTACAACTCACCCGCAGCTTCCGCGGCAGGCGCCCCGGCCACGACCCAGGCCACTCCTGACTATGCCCAGTTCGCCCAGTACTATGGTGGTGTTGATCCGTACGCAGCCTACGGCGGTTATGCTGCGTAAGTTGCAGTCCCGTTCATGACCAAGACACCTGAAGATGAGGTCAAAGTCCTGCTCAACGCAGAGCACCGCGCTAACTGTATTCCAGATACGTACAAATGTACCAGCAGTACTATGGGGCTGCGGCTGCTCAGGCTGGACAGCCGGCCGCGGCCGCTGCCCCCGCACCGCCGTCCACTTCGCCTCCGCCGCCACCTCCTGCGGCTGCGGCTCCACCCCCGCCTCCTCCACCTGGGTCGGCTCCTCCGCCGCCGCCGCCGGGTCCACCCGGCGCAGGTGGTGGATATAGTGCGGTGAGTTTCGGGGTTGTTTTCCCCCTTTAGCAGCCATTCGCTGACTTTTCTTTTTCAGGTCCCTCCTCCGCCCGGCCTGTAGGCGCATCTGTGTTTGTGGGACTTCTATAATCCGGCCATATCTGTGTGCATGATGGAAGACAGTCCGCAGGAGACATCCCTCGGATGCTGTAATGGCTCAGTTTGCGGTGGATGGCATAATAAAATCGGGGTCCTTCTCGCGCCTCGAGCGACTGCGTTGTGTTGACATGAGAGGGTAGGTAGTTTTGATCTGGAGGCAGCGTTGACTTGGTCCATGAATCTTGACAGTCTAAGCTCTGATGGTCATATTGAGCACTAAAAGGTCATTGTCTTTTCTGCCCTCATGGCTGAATCGCCTCGTGACGGTTTGCGAAGGTTTAGTTTCTGTCAGATACCTATCGTAGTTAGCTTCACAAAGAACACTGAGATTACTGTCGGCCTGCCATGGGAATTGAACGAATCTGCCAAGCTATCCCAATCTTCCGCATTCTGTTAAGCAACCCTTTTCCCACAGTCCAATTCATTTCTCCATCCGAGCTCCCCGGTCTCTGCGAGCCTGTTCTATCTGATTTTCGAAGAAGCCATGGAAGGTACCTGACGGCCGCCAAGGCGGGGCTGACACCTGTGCTCTCCCCAGCTTGTGGGTCACAAGGAGGCAAGGTACACACGCGTCCCTTGGCCCCTAGGCCCCCACGTCATCCATGTGTGCCATGATCAGCATAGCGCATTTGGTTCTCTTGTTACCACTCACCAGTTGAGGCCAAGGGCTAGACCACCCACGCCACCTGTCTCGCAGCATTCAACACAACAGGCCTCAGCTTGGCACAGCACAGCACAGCCTGGCTGTCCCACCACATCCCTCTACTACCTGATAATCGAGCTCGATCCCATCCATTTTTGTATCGCTTCCAGAAATGCCCGCATAGCCATCCGTCGCCCACGACTCAGAAGGCACCGAAATGTCCGACTCGGAGAGATCACCGCTGCTGTCTTCGACGGTGAGGTCGACAGTCACGGCGGCCACCTCCCCAGAGGCGACGCCACTACTGTCGAGCCCTGCCGCCGGGCTGCGCTACGATGGAGACGAAGATGCTGCCTCGGTCACTTCGACCAACGCGTCGCTGGCGACGTCCCTGAAATCGAAGCGCCGACGATGGCCGTCCATAATCGCCATCGGCACCCTCGCTCTCCTGGCAATTGCCATCATGATGCTCGCCTTTTTCGTCCCGACCGCTGTTGAGCAGTACGCCAAGGAGGCCGCCGTCCTCGAGCCCACCCACCTGTCGATCGAGTCCATTACTTCCGACGGCGTCCGGGCACGCATCCAGGCGAATTTCCGCCTCGACGGCTCGCGCGTAAAAGACGCTGGTGTTCGGCGCGTCGGGCGCCTGGCAACTTGGGCCGTGAGACAGCTAGGGACCGAGGCGACAAAAGTGGACGTGTATCTGCCCGAGTTCGACGGGTTTCTCCTCGGGTCCGCCGTGCTGCCGCCCCTGGTCCTGAACCTCGTGGACGGGCATACGACCTCGGTAGATATACTCGCCGATCTGACCCCAGGCGATGCCGAGGGCATCCGCACCATCGCCAACAAATGGCTGCGGGGGAAACTCGACACCATCCGCTTCCGCGGTGTTGCCGATGTCACCGTGAAGTCTGGGTTGGTCCCACTTGGCACGCACTCTGTCTCCGAGTCGCTCGTGATTGAAGGTCAATATCTCTACGATTCCTTTGCCTCTCTATATTTTGGGGAAAAGTCGCTGTTCTAGTTCAAGAAAAAAATCAAATCGCTTCAGCTCCCTCCTGCCCAGTGGTGCCTGTCTATCCCCTTTTCTGCCCTTCAACCCCCAGTTACCCGCCAACATGCCGCTAATGTGTGCTTCCTCAACAGCCAAAGAACTTCCGCAGGTTCCTGAGTACAACATCACCAAGCTCAATTTCAAGCAGACGCCCCTGCCGGATCGTGGAACAACGGCTATTGCTGCCGATGTTGCCATCAGCGCCTTCAACAGCCTTCCTGTAGAGTTCAACATCCCTGAACTCGGGTTTGATGTTCTGGTGCCAAACTGTGACCGGGCCGACCCCTACATCATTGTCGCTGCCGCGAGAACTCACCAAGTTACCGTGCGAGCTCGATCTGATGTGGTGGTTGAGGGTTGGGGAACTGTTGAGCATCTTCCCGACGCTCTCACGGCAGCCTGCCCTGGCTCTGGCTCCTCTCCCCTCGACCTCCTGCTTGATGATTACCTCTCGGGCGATTCGCCGACGGTCTATGTCAGGGGCGCGCAGAAGCCGCTACCTGGCACCCCCGACTGGATATCCGAGATTCTCGCCAGCGTCACCATCAAGGTCCCATTTCCAAGTGCAGGCTTCGACAACCTGATTCGAGATTTCTCGCTCGACAATGTTCACTTTACCATGCCTGACCCCATGGCCGAGCCTGATAGCCCGGACGCGAACCCCAAGGTCTCGGGGACGATTCTTGTCTCGGCAGGGTTGCCATCAGAGATGAATTTCGAGGTGAACGTCACAAGCATTCGGGCCAACGCAGACGTGTTTTACAAGGGCAACAAGCTTGGAGAGCTCAACCTAGAGGAGTGGCAACGAGCCAACTCTACTCAGGAGCCAGCTACCAAGCACCACGAGGCCACCCTCAGAATACAGTCTCGAGTCGACGACGCCCCGCTGAACGTCACGGATGGAGATGTCTTGACCGACGTTATCCAAGCTCTCTTTATGGGCAGCAAGCTTGTCGAGTTGGACATCAAGGCAGCTGTGTCGGTCAAAATCCGCACGGTTCTTGGAGATCTCACCTTGAAGGATGTTCCTGCGGAGGGAACTGTCCCAGTAAAACGTCCGTCCCTGTTCTGATAGTGTTAGTCACCTTGGGACTCGCCGTGCACCTCTTTCTCCATGCCGCGACCCTCGTTCCTTATTCTCTCTTCTCCTCTTCAAGATTGCTTGCTCTCGCGCAGCAATCAGCTACCTCTAGTGCTCACTGCGGAATCGGCTTGTTCCTCGGTCTAAAGTTGCAATGCTAACTGGAGAAACCATCAACAGCACTGCCAAAAGGCACATTCGGCAATTTGGATCCCAAGGTCAACAGCATTCGGATTACAGAGACATCATATACGTCAGTCTCTATAGAGGCACTGATCAACGTGACAAACCCTACAGAATACACTGCAGACATCCCTTTCGTCAATATTCATGTGATGAGCAATGGCTCTTTGGTCGCCGAGGCGACAGCCGAGGACCTGCGCATTTCTACTGGAGTCAACACCAACCTTCGGGTCACAGCCAGGTGGAAACCCTCTCTGGGCGGTGACCAGGGAGTGGTGGATGGACGCAATCTCATATCCTCGTATCTCTCCGGTTACAACACAACGCTTATGCTCAAGACACACAATGAGAGCTTCCCGTTCCAGCCGCTTCTGGGAGAGGCCCTCTCTCGAGTTGATCTGAATATATCAACACCCCGCCTCAAATTCCCCCCAGGCAAGGATGGAGACGAGTCTCAGCGATTCATTCGTGACGCTACCTTCCATGTCTTGTCGTCCACAGCAGTCTTCACACTACTCTCACCACTGGAGCGGAATACATTATATATCGACGGCGTCAACGCGACGGCTTTCTACAACCATACCGATCCGGTCGGCATGATCAACTACTCCTCTCCCTTTGCCGTCCCCTCGGGAAGCTCACAAACGCCTAGGCTGCCTGTGGGGTGGAGGCTGGGCTCGGATGGGTATGAGAAACTCAGGCAGGCGCTGGGAGGAAGGCTGAAATTGGACGCGCGAGCTGATGTTGCCGTCAGACTTGGCAACTGGAGGGAAACACTATGGTATGAGGGCCGAGGGATAGGCGCCGACATAAGGCTCTGATGCGTTAGAGCCATTGTTGGTGTCTGCTTCCCATCCATGGCGCAGGTTCTTTCCTTCTTTTTCTTTCCCCGGGCTGGGTTGGCGTTTTGGATAACTTTCTATGTGTCGCACATCGTCTATCGCACATAAACGACTATATAAGTAAATATGTTGACACTTTCATAATGTGTACATCCTCGAGATTGTAACACTCTTGGAGTCACTGAATATATAGGCCGATATTGCCTCTGTCAGGCTTGAGGTCTAAAACGTGATGTTCGTGATTGTATAGTGTTTCGAAGTTCGATTGAGGGTATGATTTGCTGACATGCCACCAGACGGGTACCTACATGTCTTCCCCGCCGCCCAATGTAGCGTGGCTGTGACCTTACAAACGAGCATGCGATGTATAAAAGTATCCTGCGCAACCAACTCTGAGCCCCATGTTCCAGTAGGGCCTGGACATGTCAACACTATCTCCTCCCGGATAACCGCCACACACTATGTCTTTTCAATAACTGATGCTTGCCCAGCCACTGATATGGATGCGTAGAACCACCTGACCTAGCCCTTTTTGGGTCGTCATATGTCGGGGTCAGGCCGTTTAAACGGTACCCAAGCGGCTGGCTGCCTGGGGGTGGCGCCCAATGAAACCGCGGGGGCTCTGCTGGGGTGTGTGTGAGCGAACCGCGCGACGGGATCTAGATACGTCAAGCAAAGGCTCCGCCCTTTTCCCAGCTGCCTCGTGTGTAGCACACACAGCCTGGTCCCTGATCCGCTGTTCGCGTGGGGCCCTTATGCCAAAATTTAGTAGGGAATAGTGAGGCGGACGAGACGTCGGGATACAAACGGGGGATGGGACAAAGGGGCGGAAGAAAGCAGGGCTCGACGTCAATGCCTGAGCACGGGATCAACTGGGGGTTGAAGACTCCGCGGAAAGATATCCTTTCGATCATGCGCCTGGGCAAGAATAGATGATAAAGGCGCACCCATGGCTGGTCCATGGTGCTGTCGACCCCTTTCCCGACTCTTCTCTTGGGAAATCTATATCGGCTCCTCGGGAACCACCAAACATTGCCGGAAAGCCGCTTGTGCTACTATGGAATTCCGTCGACTGCTGGTTCTCTGATGTTATCCTGCTTCCCATGCGCGCCGTCTCATTTCGACAGTCTGCTGCCTTCCATGACGAGCCAGAAGGGCCACATCATGGTCCCATCAATGGGGACGGGTGGTTCACCCCGTCCAACGCAGCTCACTCGCGCGCGATGGCTTGTCCTCGGCAGCTATATATTCCCTGGGCAGTCCGATGCCGCGGCCCAGACGGGCCCGCCACCGCCTTGCCTCACCCAAAAAGGTGTCACCTGCCACTTGTTCTCCGCGAAACCCCGAGCAGCTGTTGATACAAACAAGACACCGCCATGGCAGAGCGCTCCGGGCTGACACACCGGACGACCTGACTTTCTCCTCAGATTCCCGTCACATCCCAAAGCCACCCTGCTGGCAGGAATTCAAGCAAGACCCTGCGTTTATCTCATACTTTTCCCCGGACATCCATATAATACCCCTCCTCCAACGCACGCCCCCACAACCATCGGGGCAACCAATTTGAACACAACACTTGATTGTATCTCGCCTGCCAAGCACTGCGAGGTGCAATATTCCCCGGATTCTACCGATCCTCTTCTTGTGACCATCCCCTCCTTGAGTACACAAGCCCTTCCAATACCGTCTGCCTTTCAACGGGTTCTCCTGCCCAGAGGCTCCTTAAACCACGGTACCTCGAGCTGCTCTTTCCCCACCATCAGCTACAACCTCGAGGTATCGTCATCTACCACCTGGTAAGTTGTTCCTGGTTGTTTACAAAAGTACCTACGTCGCCTTGAGCATAAAGATGCGCATACTGGCCAAAGCTCTGGTTTCTCCCTCCTTCGATTCTAAATAGCATCGCCGTCGTGGGGCCGCAAGCCAAGGCCTTGATACCATAGCACGGATCAGGCCTCTCCCGCCCTGTGTCCTTCCACCCTCCCAGAGATACCCGTAGGTGCCTTTGCTGACATATTTCCTAAAACAGGAAGGCAGGACCCGGTGGCAGAAGCAACAGCTGGAGCTGGAGTGGCATACTCCCCACAGACTCTCAACTCATCTTCGCATCCTGGGAAGGAGCGCTTGACCACCTGCCTCGCCTTTAACGGTGCACTTTGAAGCCTACTGCCTGCCAATATGGTGCGCCCTTCGACTTCCTCGACGCACAAGCTGGCACAGGAGAGCAAGACCGGCCTGGGAGATGCCCCTCATCCAGGCCCCAGCTGCTCGCCTACGCCGGCAGTGCGGCCTCCTCGACTTCTTCCCTGCCATCTGCCCACCCGCGACACGTCCCCTGCCAACCTGGCCAAAATCCCCTCTACGTTGTCTCCTAGTGCTGGTGACGCTTCAGCGACCGATACACCACGGTCCAAGGACACAGCTGTCGGCCCAGACTTGCCGCCATCCCCTCCCCCGCCCCCTGAACCCGCCCCCGAGCCCGAGCCTGACGGACTGCCATCTCCGATGGCCCCCAAGAGCAGGCCGCCGGTCCCCAGGCGGCCGACAGATCTTACCGAACTGCTGACCTTGGATCAGATTAAGGAGCTCTTTTCTCTTGTTGTCACCATTACCAACATGATTCGAGACGAAGTCGATCGCGGCCTCGCACCCACTGAAGACCTTCTTGGCAACGATCTGAAATGGGTTGGCAATGAGGCCATGGCTATCCCGCCTAGCTATAACATGAGGGGCCTGGAGGTCGACTTCGGAGAGGGCAAGACTCTGCCCCTAGCAGACAATTCCAAGAGCGTCCATCGGGCCACCGACGACGACTCGTCTATCGCCAGTTATTCCACCGTTGTGCCTGCCTTCGAGTCGTTGAGGAAAGATGTGCTGGTGGCGCACCGCCGCTGGCAGACCAACATCCTTCGTAGGTTCAGCGAGGTCACCATAGCCAAGACCCCGGCCTTGAAGGAGAATGCCCCGCCAGGATCCGGCACTCGCGGAAGGGCACCCAGGGGTGGCGGTAGACCTGCCGGCAACAGCATCGTCCAGCAACCGGACGTAACAGAGGCCGGAAAACCCGTGCATAGCGGTAAGTGCTCGATAAAGTCCTGGCACCACTTCTTTGCGGCCACTTGCTAATGGATTTAGAGCCGCAACCATCGATGACTATGAGCGACAAAGTGCTCATTCAGCTTTACCGACCCGTCCCGAACGAGCTTGCGAAGCTACCTCTCGGGAAGCGGCGTCTGCTCCTACATTCAACCTTGCTCTTCCTACTGTCGCTCGAGAGCTACCCGCCATACTCGCGCTTGCTGATGCTCAACTTGGCCACATCTCTAGGGATATCTGCGCATATATTGGCCATTGACGAAGTTCGTGTGGTCAAGGGCTTGTCACGCATGGCTCAGGATATGTGCCCAGAGGAAGCCCCGACTACGAGGAAGGACGATGAGATCAAGTACCCTCGGCGCCACGTGGGCCCAACCAGCGTTGTTATCAACCTTCCGAATGCTCTCTCCGCCGTCGGCATCGGTTGGGTTCCCGACTGTGGCGGCGTGAGCTCCACGACTGCAGCTGCATTGCTGGGCTCTATCGTTGACAGCCGCATTGCAGTTGGAACAATCTTTGGACTCTATGGCGGCCGAGGCGTAGGCAAGATTGCGGAGACGTACAGTAAGGACGTGGCCGATTTTGCACTCTTGCCATTATATACGTCTGCCGGTGCCGAGTTTGCCAGTGTACGGGAGGTCGGGCCGGAAAACCGCAAACTGCGCGTCGTCATGGCTGTCAATGGGTGGCTGATGGAGGAAGATGACGCAGTGAAGGTCTGGTGCGCGCTTGGGTCTCAGGCAGAGGCCTATAGCGTCCGATGGGATGCAGAACAGCTCGACAGGCTGGGATGCGCCCTGGAGACTGTGGCCAGAAGCGCTTCCTGGTCGGAAGCGAAGAAGGTGATTGCTGATCGTCGCAAGCAGCACCACGACTTCACACCCCTGAACCTCCTGAGCGACCGAGCCGTGACAAGCATTCACGAGGGCCACTGGCCTCCCAGCCTGCTCAAGGTCAGCAAGATCGTCGACCATCCATGGAGCAGCTGCATGGCGCGTGCCGACAAGGCGGGCGCCACTCTCGCCGAGGCCATCATGCACCGTATCCACGGAGAACGCGGTATTACCCTGATCGGATACAGCCTTGGCGCGAGGGTCATATACACATGCCTCAGTATCCTGTCGGAGAGAAGGATCCTTGGCCTCGTCGAAAACGTTGTCATGATGGGTGTTCCCGCCCCTGCGGACCCCGTTTCGTGGTCCAACCTTCGGGGTGCCGTGGCCGGAAGGGTGATCAATGTCTATTCCGAGGTGGATTTCATGCTCGCCTTCCTCCATCGCCACAGCTGCACTCAGTTTGGCATCGCGGGTCTGCAGCGCATCGACAAGCTAGCTGGCGTCGAAAACGTCAATGCTAGTGCTCTCATTACGGACCACCTGAGGTACCACTACCTCGTGGGGACCATTCTTCAGGAGCTAGGATTCGAAGACGTCGACGCAGTTAAAGTCTCCGAGAGGGAAGTGGAGCTGAGAGCCGTCGAGGACCATCTGGACTACGACAAACGCTGCGGGCGCAATGCGACAGCTACAATCGTTGTTGAGGAGGAGCCCGATACAGCGTTACAAGCCGTAGGTGCATCGCAGATGAACGTTCGGGCTCCATCAGCCCCGGCTACGCGACCTAGGAGGTCGCGAGGCCGATCCAGAAACAAGAACAAAAAGTAGGCGGCCGACCTTGGAGATGCCAATCTCTTGGATGGTGCGCTGAAGAGCGGGAACTATCACCGGGTCCCGCTGTTCTCCCCAGTGGTGGTGCCTCAGCACACACCATTGGTTCCGGACAGGCCGATCTCCACCAGGGCGGGAATACTCTCACGAGTTTCTGGAGCAGCGGCCGCTCTTCTAAATCCACACTTCCCTAGCTCGCCAGGTAGGCCGCCTACCCTCCTGGGACACCCACATCCACAACCAAACCACTCTGCATCACCACCTCATACCGGCGATCCCTGGCTAGCGGCACTAGCAGTCAGATTCTCGAAGTCGAAATCGTCTTGTCGGCGTGGCAAATCCTAGCCTCCGTGGCGGCCAAGGCAGTCTCGAAACCGGCAAGGACGCGGCGCTGTGGCAGCCATGTATTTATATATTGGCGGACTTAGATCTTCTCTTTCCTTGTTTCTTGTTTGTTTTAGTATCCCCCTACAGCACTTACGAACAACACGAGCACCATGAATTTGGTGAGAGGGAAGAGGGCATGGCCTTTTCTGCGCGAACCACGCGGGGCCATATGCAGCAAATCCACCCACCACACATCACTCATCACCATCCCCTGGAAAATAATAAGGCGATGGCAGCAGTCAGGTTCATTCCGGTCGGATTCTACTAAATGATTATCCTTCACTACCATAGTAGGAAGGCAGAGGAGGACCAGCAACTACTCTACGCAGGCTTTGGTACCCAAGAAAGAGGTGGCATCCTTCGGTATTCGCTCATGGGGGGTTCAAAATATCTCAGGGCCGAAAGATGTATGGTTAGAATGATGTTCAAAGGAAGAAGTGGAATACGGGGATCGCACGTTGGCGACATCGTTGAGGGCACGATCGCCGGAGCCGCAAGACCAAGAATTCCCGACACGATGCAGTTGGGGGTCAAGCCGAAGCAACAGACAAGGCCTAACGTCATGGAGGCTGGCTCACCAACCCACCGTAGATAGGTACGTAGGTAGATATTAGCACTGCTTGCCAATTCCATCCGTCTCGTTTCTAGGTATGACCCGATTTGTACTCCTCGCGCATCTCAGACTTCCATATAGCACACTACATCGCTAGAGAGCCACTAGAGATTTGAAGTTTTGCCTTTCTAGCATCGGAACGGAACGTGGATGAACAATCTAGCGAAGGTTTGATTAGGGATCTACTAGGCCTCCTAGCGGCTTTTGACAATAAAGTAGTTGCCGGCCCTGCGCGGGGCCGTCTGCAGGACGTCCCAGGGCTCGTGCGTGGCGGCGGCGACCTGCGCCGTCCTCCTCCTCGGCCTCCCGCTGCGGCCAAAGGGGCGCTCTAGCTCCAGCTCGCCGCCTAGCTGCTCGAGCCCGATGGCCTGCTCCCGGCGGCCGGCGGCCGTCTCGTCGCGGATGGACCGCAGCGGGGCGACGCCGGCCGTGTCGACGGCCTGGACGTCGCGGACGAAGCGCAGCTGCGCGCGCAGCGTCCGGACCGTCTCGGCCTCGTCCTCGCCCGCGGCCGGGGCCGGGAGGGCGGAGAGGCGGAAGAGGTGGTGGAGCTGGGTCCGGGTTATCGCCGTGGCGTCGGAGGCGGCGGCGGCGGCGGCGGCGTCTGGTGGCGTTTCCGTTTCTGTCTCTGGCGACAGCAGGGACTTGACGGACCATGTCGGCCGGGACAGGATGTCGGCAAAGTTTGGGACTGCCTCGGCGGCATTGCTCGAGCTGCGGGCGAGGCACGTGGGTATTGCTGTCGCCGATAGGGGAACGGACGCCGCCGTGGCCCTCCGGAAGAGGGGGGCGCCGCGGCGGACGGGTCGGGACAGAGACCCCGTGGCCCAGAGTCTAGGGCTTGAAGTGCAGAGTGATGCCATGATTCTAAATCACAGCCGCCCGATCAGCTCGTAATAGGCGAGCCGGGGCGTCTGATATGGTGACTATCACGTGCTCATCAGTGATCCTATATGGCGTTGAGGTTGATGTTGTCGTGCGATACGCCAATCCGGTGGGGGGTTAATAACCCACATCCACGTTCTCAGTTGAAGAAGGACCTTGTGCGCTCCACTGTAGAAAGTCACAGAAGGCGTTAACAAGGAAGGGCTGATCGGCACGTAGATGATTAGGAACAATCAAAATCAGCCAAATCAGCATCAAACGCTAGCAGCTTGCCTTCTCTACGCACTCATAAGCCTCACACTGTTGTATTACATCATCAGCCAACGCCCGCTGACTCTTTGTTCAATTGGCCACCGACCCCTACGGCGGCTCCAAGTTACCCCACTGACGCAACGTCAGAAACGCCGCGGTTCCGACTCGCAAGGCAACCGGGTCCACCTCGACGAGACGTGTTGTCGACAGTGACCCCCGACGACCTGCGCAGACCTACGTTAACCACACAAACGTCAACTGCACCCCTCAGCTGCCATCTCGCATACCACCTCAGCATCGTCACCCGCAGATCGGCCAGCTAGCTTCTCAAGATGGAGGACCCCCGCGCTCTGCTGCAGAAGGTTGGCCCCGCCCTCCGCAGCCCACGCCGCGCGCCGTAGACGCTGTTGCTAAGCCGCGTCTCCTGCAGGCGGACAAAGCCCTCGCCGGCGCCTCCGGAGGCTGGAGCCTCTTTGGCGCAAAGGAGGACAAGCTCATGGGCGCCGTCGACATGTACATCGCCGCCGCCAATGCTTTCAGGATGCAGAAGGCCGGTGAGTATTCGGATACCCCCAAAATGAATGCCTTGACGTCACTCTTTTTTTGTTTTTTTGTTTCTTGGGATCCGCTAAACGCAAACATGCCACCCACGCGCGCGCAGACCGAGAGGCCGGCCAGACGTTCGAGAAGGCGGCGCAGATCCAGAACTCCAAGCTGAACGAGCCCGATGATGCCGCCAACACATACATGGACGCATTCAAGGCCTACACCAAGGCCAGCCCCGAAGACGCGGCCCGCTGCGCCGAGATCGCCATCCAACAATACTGCAAGAAGGGCAACTTCCGCAGGGCGGCGGGCCTCAAGGAGAAGCTTGGCGAACTGTACGAGATCGACCTCGGCGACCTGAAGCGTGCTGTGTCAGCATACGAGAATGGCGCCGAGTGGTATGAGGGAGACGGGGCTGCGGTGTAAGTCTCCTTCGATTGTGCTATCTGCATCTGGCTCCCGAGAGCGGGCGGACCCCCAGGGCTAACATATTAACCCCACGCAGGCTCGCCAACAAGCTGTGGCTCAAGGTGGCGGACATTGCCGCGGTTGACGCCGACTACTACAAGGCGATCGAGGCGTACGAGAAGGTGGCGCAGGCGTCCATCAACAACAACCTCATGAAGTACTCGGTCAAGGACTACCTCCTCAAGGCCGGACTCTGCCACCTGGCGACCAAGGATATGATCTCGGCCGCAAGGGCGCTCGAAAAGTACAGCGAGATGGACCCGACCTTCCCGAGCCAGCGCGAGTACAAGCTGCTGGCCGACATTTGCGAGGCCGTCTCGGACAACAACCGGGAAAAGTTCGAGGACGACCTGGCCACGTTCGACAGGATGACCAAGCTGGACAAGTGGAAGACGACGATCTTGCTGAGGATCAAGGACCAGATCGAGGAGGCCGACAACGAGTTCTCTTGAAATGTTCTTTTTTTTTCGGGTGTTTCTCTCGTTGCGCCGATTACTGCATCCGCGCTGCTTGTCCCTCGGTCTCCTTTCTACCTCCAATACCATTTCCCAGCACATGGGTATCTGTTACTTGTCGTTTTAGCCTTTTGGGTAGCATCCAATGAAAACCAGCCATGGTTTGTTCATCAAATATTAGGGTCCGTGACTGTTCTCTGACTTCTCTCATCACCGGTGAAGTTTTGGCTCAGGTGATTGAAGCCACCAAATCGCCGTCGTTGACATTGAGACCACAACTGAATCATTAGGCTCCACAAGAACTTTAACGGCCGGACGTGCTGTGCAGGGGTTGGTTGCCTTATCGATTATCGGTGCGGGGATTGACGAAAAAAAAAAAAGCTGCGGTGCGCGATCGCAGTCCCCGCCCTCGAATCGGAGTTGAGATCGATTCCAGCACGGAAACAGACTCGATACTCCGAGAGATTGCTGCCGCTGGGTCGAGCACAAGGCTTTCAAAATGGCGTCAGTGTCACTTGCTGAGAAGCTGGAAAAGATCCGCGACCCGAACCTGGAGAGCCAGCGACAGGTGTGTAGTCGAGCGCGCGAGTCGATTTAGGCCGCCTGGGTCTTCCTGCTGGCAACGGCCGCCTCCCCTATCTTTCCACTGCCCAAGCTGACAATATACACCCAACACCTTCACAGACCCGGGTCGTCCTCGCTGCTATCGACGAGACTCTGAAGGAACAAAAAACCGAGCCCACCGCAACGGGATACTTCGCCGTCCTCCTGAGCCTCCTCGGTCGCGCATCTGCAGGGGAGTCTATCGCAGAGGACAAGGCCATATCTTTGGTCTACCTCCTAGATCTCGTGGCCCCCTTCGTGCCGCAGGCACTCCTCCGCGCTAAATTCACCACCATCTTCACACACCTCGCCCCGGCGCTCGCCCACCAGGATGCCCCCGCCCCTCTGCTCAGGCCGTCCATCGGCTGCCTGGAGACCCTTCTCCTTGCCCAGGATTCGGCATCGTGGACCCTCACAGTTGTTCAGATCGGGCCCCGGAGAGCGGTCGCCGGCCTCCTGAACCTGGCCATGGAGCCCCGCCCCAAGATCCGGAAGCGAGCCCAGGACGCCCTCAGGAACGTCCTCAAAAGCCCCCCGCCGAGCCCGTCCCTCGACCACCCGGCAGCCGATATGTGCGCCGAGACGGCCATGCAGAGCCTGGCGGACAAGGTGGCGCTGGCGCGCAAGGACAAGAAGTCGGTGCAGGCCGCGCACGACCCGGACCTGATCCATGCCCTCCAGCTCACGAGGATCATCGCGTCGGCATGCGGCGGATGGCCCAGCAAAAAGATCGAACCGCTCTGCGAACTACTGCTCGGTATCGCTCGTAGCGGGAGCGATCACCTTACCATGGCCGTGTTCGACGTGTTCGAGATGATCTTCGAGGGCATGGCCGACGAGGTTGCGCGCGCCAAGCTGCCGCGGCTTCTCGAGATCATCTCGGAGCTGCACCCCTCGGCCAACGACACACAACTCCTGCCGCCGTGGATAGCGATCCTCTCCAGATCCTACGATGTGTCGGCTCAGATGGAGCCGATGGAAACTTTCCAGGGACTGCCGGATATCTTCGCCTCCATCGCAGAGTACCTGGACTCGCCGTCGGAGAACATCCGGACGTCGGCGTCCGAGTGCCTGATCTCGTTCCTTGCCAACTGCATTCCATCAGAGGTACTCCTCGAACCATCCATCTTCGACGAGAAGGCGCTGGAGAGACTCGGCAAGACGGTCGAGGGCCTTCTCAGCGTCAAGTACCAGGCCGCCTGGCCCCAGACCTTCAGCGTGCTGGGCGCAATGCTCGATGCGCTAAGGTGGAGGGCAGATCCGCTGTTGATCGGGGTCGTCAAGGTTGTCGGCGAGCTTCGCGCAAGCGACGCGTTCCTGGGGAAAAAGGAGGCGGACGAAATCCTTGGCAAGGCTATCAGGGCTATGGGTCCGGTGACGGTGCTGGGAGCCCTGCCCCTGAACCTCGCAAAACCTAGCAAAAACGAGCCCGGCCGAGTCTGGCTACTGCCGCTGCTCCGCGACTACACAGCAAACACCAACCTGGCCCACTTCCGTTCCGAGCTTGTCCCCCTCTCGGAGCTGATGTTCGCCAAGGTGCTCGAAAACGGCACTGCCGAAAAGACGATGACGGTCAAGATCTACGAGACTGTTGTTCAGCAAATATGGTCCGTCCTGCCGGGATACTGCGATCTCCCCCTGGATCTGCTGGAGTCGTTCGACGAGACGTTTGCCCAGCAGCTTTCAAATCTTCTTTACCAGCAGGTAGACCTGCGTCTGGACATTTGCCGGGCACTGAGATGCCTTGTCGAGTCCAACCAGGCCGTGACATCGATCGAAGGCCCTGAAGATCTGGTGCTACAGAGTCGGGTATCGAAAGCGCAAGCGCAGAAGAACCTCGATTTCCTGGGCACGTTTGCGAACAACTTCCTGGCTGTTCTGTTCAACGTGTACAGCCAGACTCTTCCCCAGACGCGTGGTCCGATACTTCAGACAATCAACGCGTTCCTGAGCGTTACGCCTGCCAAGGACCTGGGAGAGACCTTTGATCGTCTCTGCAAGGCGCTTGCCGCGGCGTTCGAGGAGGCCGTGGCCAAGCCGGCAGCACTCAAAGGGCAGAGGGCCGCCGACCAGCTGCCCTCTAGCACACACTCCTTGATGGACCTTGTTGTCACCATGTCGATCTACCTACCCCGAGAGAACTTTACAGAGCTTTTTAACATCGCATCACTTGTGATCCTCAAGGACGACGACCCGCAGCTACAAAAGAAGGCGTACAAGCTCATCCCCCGTCTCGCCAAGTCGGACATTGGCAAGGAGGCTCTTGTGGCACGCCACCAGGAGCTGCAGACCCTTCTGCTCACTAGCGCCGAGAAACTGTCTGCCCCTGCGAGGCGTGAACGACTGGCAGCCATCAGCGCTCTCCTTCCTTACATCCCCAACAACTCGCTCCATTTCATCCCGTCAATCCTTCCCGAGGTTATCGTCGCATGCAAAGAGCACAACGAGCGCGCCAGGAATGCCGCGTTTGAGCTACTTGTGTTGATGGGCCAGAGGATGTCGGCAGAGAAGGGAGTCGCTATTGACAACAGCAAAGTCCCACATATGCCCGAAGGCGCTCCTGCGGCCACGGCCAGCATCGAGGAGTACTTTACGATGCTAGGCGCAGGTCTTGCCAGCCACACGCCCCACGTCATGTCGGCCTCGGTCACCGCCATCACTCGCGTTCTCTTTGAGTTCCACGAGGAGGTGGCGGCCGACACGCTCGAGGATGTTGTCAAAACTGTGGAGCTTTTCCTGACATCAAACAACCGCGAGCTGGTGAAGAGCATCATGGGCTTCGTCAAGGTCTGCATCACAGGCCTGCCGGTCGAGATGATGAAGCCTCGTCTCGCGTCGCTGGTTCCCTGCATCATGACGGCGAGCCACGAGCACAAGGGCCACTTCCGGTCCCGTGTGAAGCACCTTCTCGAGCGGCTGGTCAGGAGATTCGGATTTGATGAGATAAACAAGCACTGCCCCGAGGCGGACCGGAAGCTGATAAACGGCATCAGGAAATCCAAGGAGCGGAGCAAGAAGCGCAAGGAGGCGGCCAAGGAGAACGGCGAGGCCGACGCTGGCGATCACCAGGCCAAGCGGCGCAACCAGTTCGAGAGCGAGTACGACCACGCCCTATTCGACAGCGACGAGGACGACTCGGCCAGCTCGGACGATTCGGACGACGAGATGGCAGGCACCAAATCGGGCAGGGCAAACCGCAACAAGGGCGGCAAGGCCTATATCGTCGAGGACGAGGACGAGCCGCTCGACCTGCTCGGCCAGAGCGCCCTGGCCAAGATCTCGTCGACCAAGCCAATGCGGATGCGCAAGGCGACCAAGACCAAGGCCAAGGTAGACATGGACGGGAAGCTCATCCTCGGCAGGGACGACGACGGCGACGACAGGATGGAAGTCGAGGATCCGGCCGAGGCGGGCGAGGGCGGCGGCGTGGGCGCCTACGTGGCGGCGCTCAAGGGCAAGGACGTACCCAAGAAGACGCTGCGCGGCAAGCTCAAGTGGTCCAACAAGCGGTCCAAGGACGACGAGGACGACGACGACGACGACCTGCCCGACGGCGATGCTGCCGCCGCGGCCGCAGCCGTCAAGGGTAGGAAGGCCAGCTTCGGGAGCGGCAGGGGCCGTGGCGGCGGCCGTGGCGGTGGCCGCGGCGCGGCCGCCGGGGGGAGGGCAGGCAAGGGAGGCATCGCGTCTGGCAGGCGGGGCCTGGGCGAGGGCAAACAACGTGGGCCGCCAGGCCACGGAGGGGTTGCCAAGTCCCCGCGCGGCAGGGGGAGGAGGTAATGAAGATGAAATACCTGTTGGCTTCGTCTTTGGTTTTGTTCTGCTCGGGCACGTAGAATTTGGCCGGGTTATCTATCAAAAACAAAAAAAACAAAAAGGATCCGATACAGTTCGTGCGTCAATCTTGCATACTCGGTGACTGGATGAGCCCAGCCCCTGCGCTGTAGCGCATGGCGTTTCACTTGATGCGACTCGCTTATACCTGCCTAGTCTCGGCATACGCGTTCGTTGATTCTGCTCACCCAGGTGCCGGCTCGAGCGAATAAAGCACGTGTGTGTGCTGATGAAGGGCATGACATGGTTGAAACAGGCAGCGGTATGCCGTGATAGGCAAGGCAGACGGAAGGGTAAAATGTGCTGTTCATGAGGCAAGAAGAAAAGACAAAAGTGCGTATGGATGTATATTTACAAGTCTAAGGCACCCAAAGCCAAGACAAAAGCCCAAAACAACTCCGAACGCCCACGTCCGCGAGAAAAAAGATGAAAACGGACATCTACCTGAACTTGCTAAAGATGACGGCGACAATAAGCAAAACCAAGACGGTGATGATGGCGATGGTTATTATGCGATTCGTAGCCATCCTGTGCGTTTTTTGTTCCACTTGTCAGCGGGGAGACAAGACACAAGACCGGAGAGTAAAAATCCAGGAGCAAAAGCGAGGAAGGGGATTTTGTCATTACCTACGGGCCATGCCCCTCAGCGTCTTGACGCTCCGGTCGACGTATGTCTCGCTCTGGACGAGCATTTCGGACGTGTGCTGGATCTGCTGGCGCTGGTGGGCCAGATCGCGCAGGGTGCCGGCGCCGACGGCCTCGGTCTCGAGCGCGAGCGCGTGGCTGTCGCGCAGGCGGCGGGAGCTGCGGTCAAGGCGGTCTGTGCCGGCCAGCAGCTGCTCGCGCTGCTCCCGCTGGGCGTCGTTGCCGCCGCGGCCGCCGCCCGCCGAAGAGGCCGGGTCGTCCGTGTAGCGGCCGCCGAGGAGGGCGGCGCGGTCGTCGGCCAGGGCGCGCAGCTTGCGCCGCGAGGCGTCGACGTCCGTCTCGTAGTTGCGGAACCGCTGGTTGACGCGCGTGCGGGCCGAGGAGGGTATGTTTTTCTGCTTCTCGAGGCGCATCTGGCCGAGCTGTTTTTTTATTTGTTGCAACGGAGAATAGGTTGTTAGCATACCAACTGCTGAGAGACAAAGTGAGAATGCGAGAAAGGGAACTAACCAGCTCGTCGGCCTCCTCCAGCGCCCTCTCGGCCTGGCTGATGGCCGCCTTGCGCGGCTCGCCCGACAGCTCGGGGATCTGGTCCAGCTTCTGGGCGAGGTCGGCCTGGACAAGCTTCAGCTCGGCCTCGTAGCTGCTGAAGAGCTCGGAGCCCGCGTCGGTGTCGAGGGGGTTCGACATGGCTGCTGTCTGGCTGCGGCTGGCTGCGTCGGCCCGGGGGAGCGGAGGTTTGGTGTCAGGGGGCTGTGGGAGGCCGGGCCTGGGGAGAGTTTCGGTCGAGAGAGGAGTATGGGGCGGGGATTTGGGTCGCTCGGAAAGTCAAGGCGCGAGGGGATGTGTTCACTGGCGGGTTCGCGGTCAATGGGGGTGATTGATGCTGTCGCGGATCGAGGATGGAAGGCGGCTGGCTGAATGGGGTGGATGACGAATGCGTACCTAATCATACCCGCCACAGGACGCCGAGGCCCAGCCACCGCGTCGTTCTCCATACCCAATCAAAGCCACCCGCTTGGTGCACGGACCCATTGTCCTTGGCTGGCAGCCTTAAAAAGCCCGATCGAGTTTTTTTCTCGCGGCGTCCAACACTCTTGATTCTCTTTTTCTTCATTATAGAAAGTTGAACCCCCGTCGTTGCAGAATTCAGGCCCGAAGTCCCTACAAAAAACCTAGGGGACTTCGGGTTGTATCAGCCGGGCAGATCAGAATTTGGAGCTCCAAGAATTGCATACTCAAGGCTGCCGTCGGCAGCCAACTTGGTATTCGATCCCGTTGAGCCTCGACATGCCTCAAACTCGATGTTTTTCGTCAGCCTATCGACAGAGCCTGAGGTCAGATCGCTGGCGGCAGGCTTCTTTGCGTGCTTCGTGTAGCAGCAAGTGCCGGCCGGAATGACTGGCAGGCTACCTCACTGGCTTCTTGCTTTTCCCGTCGATTCCCGACTCCTCTTGCACACCTCGACGTGGCCGTCCTCGGCTGGCCAGGCCCGTATGCTGAGTGACGTGCCTGAGGAGTCATGGTCATACGGTGCTGTCTATTGCCTCGGGCGAAGCGTTTGGAACTTGGCAAAGGGAAAGGTCTGGTCGTGGACGTAGTACACACGGGGCGATGGAAGGCAAAGCAAAGGCTGGGCCAGTCTGCTATCATTCGGTATGGCCCAGCCGCGACCCCCTTTGTGCACCATCGCTCATTCTTGCCAGTGCCCGCGTTTAGGTGATACTCTCACCAGCTCTCGTTTGCGCTTGATTCAGCAAGCATCTGCCTGAGCTGTCACATTGCTCATACGCAATCGACCAACATATGAAATGCTGTTGGTTGGGATGCCCATCACATTGCCCAGGGGGGTGGTGAGCTGTCTGCCTGACCTGGTGGGGGAGGGGTGGCGACATAACAGGGTCTCACCGCCCCCGAGACGCTGTGCCACGCAATGGCAGTTGACCGCACAGGTTCTAGGCGTCCAGCCGCAGAAAGATCGCAGATCTAACGGTCGACCAGCGCACATCTGGCCACTGCAGCGGTGTGTGAGGGGGGAGAGAGCACCGTGGCCAACTGAAGCGCACTGCAAAGGATACGGCCGGGTGGCGTCTCGGGCGGGCCATCGAAAGCCCTTCCTCCCCCAATCCCGTTCATGGAAGGGCCTGAGGGACGGAGGCGCGCTGGCTTCCGCGGCCGTGGCGCGGCCGCTCGTTCGTCCACCGCATCTCATCTTGCCCATCTCAGATTCAGACGCAAGGGAGGGCGGTCGCCGCGCCCCGGCATTGGCTGACCGGGAGGTTGGGGCTATGCTGCAGCCGCAAGGAACGACATGGCTAGGGCCAGGCTGGGCAAAAGGGAAGGGCTTTTTCTGACGTTGTCTCTGCACGTTTGCCTGCCAGGCACAGGCACTTTTGGTTACCAAAAGTATGGGGTGGTGTCCAGTCTGACCATTACTTTTTTTCTGGCTATTTCTGGTTGGTTCGTGTACGAAAGTTGCATTATATCCTGTTCAACCAATGTCTCGTCCGCCACGCCGTCAACCCTCAAGCCCCTGATTCACACTATATGCGACGCAATCCAGGCTCTCGGGACGGAAATTTTTCAGATCTAAGTGATGCATCGCTCGCTCGATCTGGACCTTTCAAGAGCACATCGCGCCTAGGGGTATTATTGTTATAGGCCCCCATCACCAAGCCTGTCTTGAGGATGCAGAGACCGAGAAACCAAATGGGGGATAAAATATGGTGACCTAGGTACTTACCTACCGTACCTATCCACCGTATACAAGACACAGCCGACTTCTATTCTTTCCAGCCTACCAAAGCAAGTCGAGCTGTGTTTGCTCTTCCCTAGCTGGCAGGTCGCTCCTTCCCGGTTGGGCTGTCGGGCGGTACCAGAAGGTGTACGGCCGGGTCTGTGCTTCTACAGAATGCGCGCGTACGAGATCAATCCCTCTTGCTCTGCCCGTCTTTTTGTGCCAGGCATTATGCCGTCCTGCCTTCTGCTCCCATACACGACACCTCGCCGTCTTCTGCCTCCCGGCTCCCAACCGCCGTCCGTAGAGACAACAGTACGCGCATAGGCGCCTCAACTGTCTCGGCCGTAGGAGAATCCCTAGGACACGGGCTCGCTTAGGCCGTTCCTCTCCCGCCCGCCTGTCATACCGTTTCTCTCCTGGCATCCCAGCACCCGAGACCGAGTCTCGATTTGTGCTCGCCTTATCTACCTCGCCGGCCTATCTCCTCCCAGGCTGCCTACCTAAATAGCCACTCTAGTTAAATCCACCCCATTCCTCGGAAACTGCTCCTCCACCATCTCCCAACATCCAGCTCTCCGGAGAGGCTCCAACCCACCTCAGCGCCACGCAACCATGGCCACCAACCTCACGCTCACCCCGCCGCCGCCGGGCCTCATGCGCTACTGGTTCGGCATCTGCAAGAGCGACCCGGACCTGCCCGCCTGCGCCGTCGTCGACAACTTCTACGACTACCGCATCCTCCTGGCCCCAAACGTCGTCCTCCTCGCCGTCTTCGCCTGCTCCCTCGTGGGCTTCGCCGCCGTCTACGCCGGCACCACGCGCGGGCGCGACAAGAGCTACGGCGTCGGCTTCTTCGTCGTCATGGCCTTGGGCGTCCTGGCAGAGATCCTGGGCTACTCGGCCCGCGTCTGGTCCTACACTAACCAGTGGCTCAAGACGCCCTTCCTGATGCAGATATGCTGCCTCACCGTCGCCCCCGCCTTCCTCGCTGCCGGCATCTATCTCTGCCTGCGGCGTATCGTCCACGTCTTTGGCCCGCAGAACAGCCGCATCCCGCACGAGTACTACACCCGCATCGTAAGGGACACCATTTTTTGCTCGCCGATCATCCCAAAAGCAGCACATATAAACTAATCTTTTGCAAACCAAACCAGTTCATCCCCTGCGATCTCATCTCTCTCATCTTGCAGGCGACCGGAGGGGCCATAACCTCGGCTGCGGCGCAGTACAACGAGCCGACCTCTGACGGAGACAACATCATGATCGCCGGCCTCGCCTTCCAGGTCTTCACCATGTTCTGCTTCATCGCGTGCGCGCTCGACTTCTTCTGGCGCGTCTGGAAGCAGTCCGGCAGCAGGGACACCGCCAGCAAGGCCGACTTCGTCAGCGTGCCCGACGAGCACGGGGCCCGGGCAAAGGTGCGCTCCAGCCCGCGCTTCAGGGGCTTCCTGGCGGCGCTAGCGCTCGCTACCCTCTGCGTCTTCTGGCGCTGCGTCTACCGCGTCGTCGAGCTGGCCCAGGGCTGGGACGGCCCGCTCATGGCGCGCCAGGACCTCTTCATCGGCTGTGAGGGCGTCATGATCGCCGTCGCCTGCCTTGTCCTCAACGTCTTCCACCCGGCCCTATGCTTCGGCGAGATGCTGTCGGACGACGGCGGCGGCCTCGGCCCCCGCCGCGGGACGAAGGGCCGGGGCCGCCAGCCGCCAGACGCCGACCGCGCTGCCGCCGCCGACGAGGGCGCCATCTGCTACAGCCGAGGCCCCGGCGACTTCATGCTCGAGAGCCAGAAGCAGGACGGCGCCCACGGCTCGAGCGTCAACGACTCGGATGCCCCGCTGGACAGCAAGCAGCACCCCAGCGTCTGAGAGTATGCCGGTCAATTTCCCCGGGGGCTTGAGCTCGGCCGCATGAGACGAAACCAGTCACTTCCAATTCGATGTGATATTGCCGTTGGCGGTTATTTCTCTCTTTTCTTTCGTCGTACCAATGACAAGATTGTTGGAACCTTGAGCTGCTACTGATAAAATCCAAAGACAGACCAAGCCAAAGAATGCGTTTCATTAACATTACAAGACGTTTTCGTTCGCGTGATCGTTGTTGTGTTTATGCCCTGGTAACAGAGCCCTGGCGTGATGAAAGTAAAGGAATACGATTATTGCAGAGGCATGGGCAAGGGCAGGTGGGCAGGCGGCTCGGGTGCAAAACATGTAGCCGAAACATGATGCTCACCGCCGGCCGCCCTACCAACCAGCCCCAGCCCCAGGCTCCAGCCTGAAGCCGCAGTGAAGCGTGTAAGAAAAAAAAGAGCTTGTCTATGCTACCTTGGCCCAACAGATTGCCCCGAGTTTGCCGGCCCGTGTCGTTTCTGCCGTCCGTCCATCCGTGAGAGTCGTCGCGTGTCGTTTTATGTGTTACCCTCCCGCTCCGAGGCCCAAAATGAATTTCCCTAGAAGCCGAAAAAAGAAGAAGAAAGGACAAGGAAGCAAGCCGAAAGGGGCAAGGAAGGTGAAGGAAGGTATCGCAGATGCTGAAGTTATGATGTGTCGTGATATTTGAGGCGCGTACAGATGATCACACGCTCTTTCAAGGGCAAGAAGTCCTGTTTTTTTTCGTTGGGTAATGATGTGAGAAGGGTAATACAGGAGCGGAAATTAAGGGGAGGGAGATGGGAGAGAGAGATAGAGAAAGAGGGAACTAATTTGTTGGCACACCACCCCTGGCAAGGCAAAATATGCAAAATATGAACATGGAGGTTCATGAAAAGATTGATGGGAAAAGGTAGACAAGAACGAGGTACCTAGGTACCAAGGTGGACCCCACCAAAAGATCTCTCTTCAAAGACCGCACAGCGAGGTCGTGGTGCTTAGGCTGTCCTTGTCAAATTCGAGCTTCACGGTCCACGCGGGCAGTCGGTAGCCCATCCTCTTGAGGGCGTGCTGCTCGTGGCGCTCGTGAGTGTAGTTGAGATTTGCGACGGGCTTGCTGACGAGGGCGCGGACGGGCTCCGGGTGCCGGAAGCGGGGTTTCATGGCGAATAGGGCCTCAAGGCGATCCGCCGTCGGCTCGCGGTTCCAAAAGTAGTCCTCAAGCGAGCGCGGCTGCGGCAGGCTGCCCTCGTCGACGGGCGACGAGTAGCCCTCTATCAGCTGAGTCAGGCTCAGCACCTTCACCTGCACCTCGAGTGGGTTGATCTGGCGCGGCGACAGGGCGGGCAGCAGTTGCGCCGGCGCCTCCTGCAGCGCCCGGCCTCGATAGCGAATCATGACGATGACGTTCTCGAAGTAGGTCCAGAGCCGAAGCAAGATCCACTGGGTGCGCACGACGGGGGCCGACATTTCGGTCGAACTGCTATTCCTACCGCCGGCGCTACCGCCGCCACCACCGCTGCTGCCGCTCCTGCTCCGGCGGTAGTAGCCGTTGCTGATACTGCCGTTGGCCGGGCTCTGCGGCGTGTGGCCGTCGTCGATGGGCTTGTAGTGGGTGCCGTCGCGGCATACAGTTGGCGGCCAGATCTCCTGCAGCGCCATCCTGTAGCCGGCCGAGTCGAGCCCCTGGATCTGCAGACTAAGCATCTCGACGGGCAGCGCATCGCGTAGGATGAGCACCGTCCTCCGCTGCGACTGATCTAGCGGCACGAGCCCCTGGCGGATGCAGATGGGCGTGCAGCTCGGGGCGCGCCAAAACTCGTCGCACTCGGTGATGTTGCTGCTGCCGGTACTGTGCGTGGTGCCGTTGCTACCGTTTGTCGTCACGCCGGCCCTGCTGCTCCTCCTGGCCGGCAGGAGTGGGAGAAGTACCTGGCCCTTTTCGTAGCTGCATCCCAGCACCGCGTACACGTAGTCGGTCGAGAATGCGGCGCTGCGGTCCGTGTGCGGCGGCCGCAGGAGCGTCGTGGTGATCCAGACTCCCCGGTTCGTCATCTTGAATTCCGGGCTGGGGCAAGCCTGGGAGACGGTTACGGGGATGGTGGGGGTGATGCCCTGGCAGGCGGCGAACTGGGCCGGGAGCGCGGCGAAGGGACCCGTGCGTTGGGCGGGCGTGAGGCCCAGCCCAGTGCCGCCGCCGTGGAAGCCCCAGGCCAGGAGGGAGGCGTCGCCGGTGCGCTTGAGGGCCTTTGCTTGCAGACGGCGGAACGCGGCCTCCTTACCCTCGCCGTACATCGGGGTCATGTGCACGTCCAGCAGGCCCATGAGGCAGTAGGCCGTGTCCTCGGGCCGCGACGTCTCGCGGTTGGCGGCCCAGGCGATGCGATGTGCGGCCGAGACGGACTTGGGGTTGCCGTTGCCCGTGAGGAAGCGCTCGTCGACCTTGGTGATGGTGTGGAGAACATCGCTGAGCTCGCGGCGGGTCGACAGGGAGTTGAACTTGCAGTCGAAGAACCTGACCTCGGGCGGGGCCACGAGCTCGATCAGAGCCCAGCTGCGGCGGAACCAGCGGGCGCGCGAGAACTCGGCCGGGTTGGCCTTGAGGGGCCACAGGTCGATGGGGACGTCGTCAAGGAAGGCCAGGCATGTGGTGGCGCGTTGGCACCAGCTGAAGCACGAATTTACGGCCTCGTCGACCTCGGCGGAGCTGCTGCGGTTGACGCAGATGTTGTGGATGTGAGCCCACTCTATGTGCGGGTAGACCTTGTTCAGGGTCGAGATGAAGTTGTTGATCTTGGCATAGCCGGGCTTGTCCTGTATGGACTTGGACTCGTCGACCAGGACAGCGTCACAGTTAAGAAACAGCCTGTCGGCCCGGGCATGTTGCCGCACCCGCTGCCACTCTTGATATGTGACCTCGCTGGCGCCCTCTCCAACGCTGTGAGCCGGATGGCGGCGGACTGTCAGTCACACGACACAAACAAGCCTGGGATCGATCGAGTCCACGAGGAGGGGGGAGGGGGGAAGGGGGAGGGGTGCGAGCGAGCCACGGGTGGGCCGCCGGCAGGGTGACAAACAAGACGAAGCTGAACTGACTGTGAGAATATGGCGTAAAGGGGAATCCTGTCACCGTTGAACTCGTGTAGTTCCCGGGTGTTCACGTTGAGAAGCCGCATCGTGGATTACCGAGGTGTGCACACATGCCTCGGGCGTGGCGATGAGGGGACACAACACAAGCACAGCAGGGCACAAGGCAGGCGCACAAGGAACAAGGAAGAAGGGAAGTCGTGGGCTAGACGATGGACGCAAAGTCGACGGCTGCCGCCGGGGGACGGATTCCACCCGCAATGTAGAGAAAGGGAGTTTCCTCAAAAAAGGCAACCTTGCATCGAGCGTGCTCGATGGCAGCGAACGTGCAGCACCGGTGAGCGCCGGTTGTCTTGGCGGCCAAACCCAATGCTGGACGCTCGCTGGCCTCTCACCGGTCTCGCGCGGAGGCACGAGGTGTAGGGCCGGTGCTCTCGAGCTTTTTGCGCGCTTGCCGAGGAGCAGCAGCAGGAGCTCCTCTTCAGGAGCAGGGGGGTACAGATGGCGGCAAACAGACAGGCTGCGTGGGATAAGTGACACAACAAAATCGACTCGAGGAGGACGACAGACAGTCCGGAACGTGCGAGGCGGGTAGGGGTAGATACGAGACCGGTGAAAGAAACGGAAGGACAAAGAAGGCAAGACGAGAAAGAAGGCGTCGGTCGAGGTGGTATGTAGATTAATCGGGTTGGGAGGAGGAGCAGACGAGATCGATCTTAACCACGGTCCCAGGGGAGCGGCGGTGGCTTTCGATCGGAGCACGCTCATAAATGGGAACGACGGAGGAACAGCCCGCCAGCAGTAACGAGCAGAGAGCCAAGCACAAGGTCCGCCTCCCCACTTGGAACGACGAAGGACGGTCCCCGGTAGGGCAGAAGGCCAGACGGCACCCGCGCCAGCGCTCTATCGTGATGGGTGGAGCATCTGGCCCGCCCGATGGATGCTGCCCGAGTGGTCGACCTGACCTGACCCCAAAAGAGGGGGGACAAATAGGAAATAGAAACTAAAAAAGAGATAAAAGAGGAAAAAGAAAGAGGCCAGAGAAAACGGGGCACGCCATGCCCCCAGCACCACCTACCCCTGACCCTGCCCCGTTGTCGGAGGAGCCACACCTCCACGTCAGTGTGGGCGGGCATGTGCTCCTTGTACTGGACATACGAAGGGTTGCGGTGGTGGCGGCCCCCTTTATCCAAACTGGCTGGGCTGCATGTTGAGGCAATGTCGGTGTCGAGGAGGGGGGTCAGCAGCAGGCGGGATTTGCGCGGTTCGCGTGTGAGGAAGGTGCTGGCTGGCTGGCTGGCTGGCTGGCTGGCGGGCTGACTGGTTGACTGGCTGTCCTTCTTGGGCGAGCGAGCTCGTGTCTCTCCGGCTTTGTTTGCTTCGCCAAGGCCGGGTCATGTCAAGGCAGGCAAGGGGACAGGCTCCGAGGGGATCGAGGGAGAGAGGGAGGAAGAGGGTGTGGTGTGGGTAGCAGTGGCACGTTGGGTGGTGAGGGTGGTAGCGGCGGGTGTGGGGAGGGCGGTCATTGAGGGCTTTCGGGCGGTATTTTGCCACGGCTGGCGGGCGTGCAGTGGACAGGATGTCGTGCATACGCGCGCATTCGTGGACTGTTATCGTTTCTGGGTGTCGCCCGGAACCTCCTCCGAGCCACCCGACCCGCCTCGCTCGTGGTCTGTCTGGGACACCGCCGCCGGCTGTCCAGCCCAGTCCTGTCCTGCGTCGCACGGGGCCTGCCTTGGGGCGCTTAGTTAGCAGGGTCAGCAGCGGCAGCGCCTTGCAGTTGGCTTCCTTTAGCTGCGGTGGCTGTCTGTTGTCGAGTCGTGCCAAGCGCCTCGTCGTTTTCGTGAGCTGCTGCTTTCCACCTCCATCACGGCTTCGGGTACCACAAATCAATCAAGAGCAGAGATACGTCCAAATTAAGTTGTTTTTGTTATTTGTGCTGTGGCACAATTGCCGTTGTCCTCGCTGCCGCTGAGATGTGACAGAACAAAAAAAATTTATGAGCGAGAGGTACAAGGTACGTCGGCCTGGTCCTGCAGGCAAACGAACGAGGGAAAAGACGACAAGAAATAAAAGAGCAAGAACACAGGCAATGCGCACAGGCCAGCCCGCAACCCGCAAGCTCAACCACCAAAGATGCATCTCAAATCATTCACCGGGTTCGGCCCGGGACCACGGATCGCTGTCACAAATACATCGCCCACCATGTCGGCAATTGAGCCACGGCCGGCCCTCGACAAGCCATTCAATGGCTCTCCCCCTGGAGCACATCAGAACCCAACATCAGGTCCATTGGAAACCTTCGCTCAACCCACCTGCATCCTCTAGCACCCTGTCGCCAAACCGCGGCGCGACGACACCAAGGCCGGCCAGTGGGGGGGAGGGGAATTGTGCTGTTGTACCAACAGTGCAGTGTACACACATAGCTAGGGACACACCTGCACAAGCTGTGCCGCCTTTAGATCTAAGCTTTGCTGTCACTGGTGCGCGCAGGGGCCAGCACGAGAATAATGAGCACCCCTTTTTCCTTTTTCGTCCATTTCTTCTTTTTTTTCTTTTTTTCCAATTTCACCCCTTGCAGTCCGTCTTCCTTTTCGACGGTGTGCTACGCTATGGGATGCATTTCCCCCTTTTCTCCCTGTCGGCCCACGATCCGGCATGCTTGGGCCGCCAGCCAACAACCCCCCAATCAGAAAGAAAAGAGAAAAAAGCAATGCGTTGCCGCCTAACAATCAGAGAAATGACAAAAAGTCCCAAAGGTGAATGAACAAGCTCGCAGCTCACACCGTCAGTATCAAAAAGCAAGGTCCAAATCTCCCAAAACAGTAGGACCCCCAGCACGCGCTTGGTGGTGTGTGGGGTCCAGGGTTTCTGTAGCTTGGCAACATGATTGGAAAGACACGGGGAAGGCCTCGCTCATGATTCGAACGAGGAAAAAATGGTTCCTCCGTCCTGGGCGCCGCGGTTGCGCAAACCAGATCCTGTTTGTCGCCCTCCACCGGCTCTGGGTCCGAGATGGAGGCCAGCGTGGCCCGTCACAACCGATGAGACATAAACAGACACAGAAACAGACACAGAAACACAAACACAGAGAAACAGAGGGCAGGGGACCGCAGGCGTGCAGGAAGGGATCAGCACGACGGGAGGAACGCAGGTGAGCCCCAACCCAAAGATGGACTCGGCTAACGAACCTAGACCCCCGTCCTGTAAAGGAAGCTCCAAATACCCGAATGTTCCGGTCAGGAAGGAACAAACAAGGTAAAAATTGAAATCCTGCCTTCTGGACCCTGCTCCTTTTCTTTTAGTGGGGTGCGCCAGCCGAGCCCCATTCCGACTGGATCAACAACGTGGGTCCATTTGCAGGCCGCCGACATGCAATTCGTGATTGTGACTTGCCCGTTCCTGTCACGTCCGGCCAACAGCCACTCGTCAGCCTGGGGGCTTCGCTACCACTTCTTGGAGCCAGATGGGACCGAGTCAAGGTGTGTGTGTGTGTGTGTGTGTGTGCGCGCGCGCGTGTGCGTGCCAACCCTGGCGCGTTCGCACCCCCCACACGCGCAAACGACAGACACTGCCCAGATGCCAGGCACCGCCAGCCCGAGCCATGTAAGGTACTTTGGCACTGTACCACCCCTTGCGTGCTTACCTCGAATCCATGCCAGGTCGGATGTTTGTTTTGTGCACCACCAGCTTACCACCCGGTCGTCTGGGATTGAACCTGCGAATCCACGCCGATGCGCCATGGCAGAAGGAGGCACAGCGGCACTGTGAGAGAGGGCGACACCTCCTGCTGAGCAGCATTTGTTCCATGTTTCTTGTCGATGCCGGAATGAGGTGAGGTGGTGTAGAGGGCGGGGAGGAGTGTGGAGAAAGGCGGGCAGGTCCAGGCTTCGTAGATGGGCATCGCCAATCAAAGTCGCAATTCGCTATTAATTAACAATCAATTCGCTGTGGAACGTGGACACACGGCCACCCAAAGCCACCGGCTTGTCTCCCCGTTCTTGAGTAGGACCTAGCTCGGGTAGCTTTTTATGTCTTGCCCGCTTGACCTGTGCATGCTGCATATGTGGGCTTTAGCGGCAGGCCCGTCGGCCTGCTCGTTCCGTCGTGGCCGAGCCACATCAGAGCCGAGCAGGAAGGAGAAGAAACCTAAGGCACTCGTTGACTGATATGCTGCTTGTGCCCAACCCCAAACACACTTGTGCACAGCCAGCAGTCGCTCTCCCAATAGCCCTGATCCCTGGCAGGGGTCCGTCCTCCCCCAGGTCTTCCCGCCCGCCTCCTCCTTGCTGCTTCTTGCTCGGTCAGCCTGTCGCACAGGACATGGGGTCCCGTCTGATTCCAAGAGTAGGGACGGCATGTCCCAGGGGCTGGTGATTAGCGGTTTTTGTCATGCCCCCGCTCCATGCTCCATCTTAGGGATGGGAGGATAATGGCATCGCGGATAGTCTTTGCTGCGACGGTACGCCGTGACGCGACCCGACGCTCCACAGTCCGGCCGTGGGAGCATGAGGCGGGCGGACGGTAGAGAGAGAGGGAAAAAAGAGTGTTCTCTGGGTTAACAAATGGATAAAATGCCGCTAAATGTTGTGTGCGGATTGCGACAGGCGCCGACCTCTGCTGATACGTGTTCCTACTGGACGAGCCTTCTCCGTAGATGCTGCATGACAGAACTGAGAAGCAGAGGAGCTAGACGATCTTTGCCTTCCATGATGCTCTAGGGCTGGCCACCTCGTGCTTGGGTGGTACCTGCCACCTGCAACCACAGCCGCCAATTCGCTGCTTCCGTCTCGCACATGCAATGGCCCGCGGAAGAAGGGAAAGATGGAAGGTGCTTGGCCCTTTCTGCGGGCTTTTGATTAGGCGGCCTCGGGGCTTGGCCATCACGCAGAAGGTGCCAGCCAGGGAAGGAGACGTGCATGCAAAGCACTGCACTTGCGTCAGGAGAGCCAAAGTGCCCAATTACGTCCAGTCGCAGCCAGCCCGAGAGCCCCTTCCTCACACTGGCGGCACCCATCAGATCATGTTTTGGCCACACGGAGGATCAATAGATCGAGGAGGCTGGGAGCATGAAGCAACCACCTCGTGCTGCCACCACTGCTGCTGATGCTGCTGCCGTTGCCACTTCCTACACCCAGGTACTACCACTACCACCCACCACCACCACAAGCTACCCTACCACCTACCCATCACACAACAGGACGCAAACGCACGATGGGGCTGGCCTGCAAGCAAGAAGCAAAGCACCAAGCCCGATGAGATGCAAACATGCGAACGCTAATAGCAGCTGAGAGGAGGGCATGCATCGTCCATTGTTCATGTGCTGTCTGTTTGTCTGTTCCCGAGTCACGCTGCTTGACAGGCCTAGCTAAGCTCGCTCTGCCAGCCATATTGGCCGACGGCGGCAACGCTGCCATGGGAGTGGTCGAGCATACTCGCAGCGACCTGTCTGTAGATCACTCCCCCGCCCCTTTCCCCTTGCCCCTGGATGAGCCCTCGAGGCGAAAACTTCGGTCTCGTCTTCCCGCTGCCTCGACGGGAGTCGATGCCTCTTCCTCACCGGCGCCCTGTCTACTTCCCGCTCGGATGTGGCCTGCCGTTCACGCTGGCTGACCGACTGACCTGCCCGGTATCTTGTCTTCCGACGCGAGAGCCCACCTGCAGCTCGCCATGGCCACTTTGCGAGCATGCCCTGAAATAGAAAGGAGCCGATGGACGAGTGTGCATAAGCGCTGGCAAATACGGTAATGAGGCCGGCGATTCACATCTTGGTAGTCACCTGCCCCTACTCTTCCTGAAAATGCGGCAAACAGGCTTTTGGAGCAGCTCTACGCGTTTCCTAGTCGCCACTTTTCTCATTCAGGTGCCCGCCTGCCACACGACCATTTATTTTCCCGCACTCTGGATCCGACAGCCCAGCAGGAGGGGGGCCTGCTTTGCTTAGTAGTATCATGCAACCACGGGCAGGCATCCGGGCGCCTCTGGCCATGCAGCCACGATGCCACATCCCAAGGCCCGGAGAGAGCAGGAGGACGCAGACAAACAAGACAGTTAGCCCGATAAGCCGCACTCGACGGACCTTGGCAGTAATAATGCCGATATCCTATCGTATTCTCGCTAGAGCTGCTAATGTTTGCTTTTTCTTTCTTCCTTTTCTTCTTTCCTCGGAATGATGTCGACCTGTCTGGTGCCCCCTTTCTCGACCAAGGACTTTGTACCGCTGCACTTACCCGTATCCGACGGCTTGTCCACCCAGCCTCTCTTCATGAAGGCAGTGTGTTGTCATATCTCGGAAGCGGCCCTATCCCCTCTCGATCCCGTCCATTGGCATGTTACCTTACCTTTTGTCAGGTGGAACCAGAACGTCGGCGCGGGGATCGGTGAGGGAACTTTTGTTCTTGCTCTCTTTCCATTTCCTCTGCCTACTTGCCTTTGCCCTTCATCCCGATCGGCCGCATCCCCCCTGGCTGGTACAGGCACACTCTGCGTGGCCTGTGTCGCCTCTTTGTAGCCGAACTGGGGCCAGCGGATTCCGGGTGCTAGCTTGCACCCGAAGACTGGCAGCGTTGATGGCCGTCAGGTTGTGCGATGCAGCAGATATTGGCCCTCTGCTTGGCGATGGACCCGTACCCAGCGTTCCTTTCTGGCTCGTTGAAGAGATTGCTCCCACAACACGACCGATCAGTTTTTAGGAACCCATAAGACAGGCTCAGCGTGTATAAAATGCTGGGTCGTGCGTGTTTCGTAGTCGGTCCATGATGGGGCCGCATCTGTCTGCTTCTCCCTCTCCTTATTCCACCTTGGTCTTGTATACTCTGTGCTTATCCCCTCAACCAACCACCATCACTGGCACCTCAACGCCTCACCCGCCCGGTGCCAGAGATGGCTGGCCAGGGACAGGGCGCCCCTTTCCTCCTGTGGCTGCCGCGGGAGGTGGTCCGCATGATCGCTGACAACCTCGGTGACGACCCGGAGGCGCTGAGGAGCCTGGCCCTGGTCAGCCGCGAGTGTAGGGCGCTCGCCCGGCCGCACCAGTTCCGGAGGCTGCGCCTCGACCTTTCGGGGCGGTCGCGCGGCCTCGTCTCCTCCCTACTACGCGACGTGGCCGAGAGCGAGGCTACAGTCGGCGGCTACCCTCCCCCCGCTGGGGATAAAGACGACCCAGACCTCCCGCCTATCAGGGACTGCGTCCGCCGCGTCGAGATAGGCATGGTTAACTTGGATTTTCGGAGCACCGGCGCGTACGTGCCCCTCCCCATCGAGGACCTTGAGGACCTCTGGGAGCGGCACTCGGCCTTTGTCTCGCGTAAGTCCGCTGCCCAAAATCGCCTACCTACTGAAACCCTCTATAAAGCATTGACCAAGGCAGCCAAGGCTAACCCCTGAGGTGCGTCCCCCTGGTGGTGTAGAAATGGCATTCCTACTACGGCCGGGCGCCCTGCCCAACCTCGAGACACTCGACACGGGCCCGCGCTTCTGTCTTCTCGAGCCTTGCCTCCTGCACCGGATGCTGTACTCGCCAGCCCTTCGCAAGCTCCACCTGCGTGCTGCCACGCCCATGGGAACGCCCATGGGAACGCCCATGGGAACGCCCATGCCCGTGGCCCCACGGACAATATCTCTACCCCAGTCGTCGGTACCAAAAGCCATGCTCGATCGCAGCAGCAGCAGCAGTGCCACATACTCTAGGACCGCCCGCCGACAGCCGGCAAACATCGAGGTGCTCGAGCTAGATCTCTTGGGCAGCCAGCGCGAGGGGCCCTACTGGTGGGACGTGTCCAGCCTCCTCGCCGACGTGTTGGACCTGTGCGCCCAGCTCCGGCTACGGTGCCTGCACGGTGGCTGCTCCTGGGGCGGCCAGGGCCTCCTCGGCAGCGCCGCGGGCGCCGCTAGGTTCCGCATCGAGCTCCCCGGGCGGCGCGCGGTGCCGCAGCTGCCCAGGCTGGAGCTCCTGTATGTGGGCCGGCTGGCGCCGCTGGCACAGTCCTTCCTCGCGCCGCTCCTGGAGCAGGCTCCGGTCCTGCGCACGCTGGTCGTCGACGCCTCGGATGAGGAGGTCCGGCGGGCCGTGGTCGGCCTGGCTGGGCGCCACCGCTCGCTGCCCTCGGTACGCAATGTCGTGTGGTACGGCGGCGGCGGCGGTAGCAGCCCCTGCACGTTGCCCGGCGACCTGGACGCCGCCGTGCTGCTGCGGCCCTTCACCGGCATGGACGGCTTCTGCATCGGCGGCGGCACCGCTGTGACGGCGTCGCTCGCCGCCCGCCGCGTCCTGCCCATCTTCGTTTGCCCCAAGAGCAGCCGCTTCGGCGCCCTCACCAAGCTCTCGCTAGCCTTTGACGAGAGGGGCGTCACAGGCTGCATGCTGGCACAGATCGGTGGCATCATCACGCTCGAGCCACTGCACCTCAGGGCGTCCGCCACCGGCATGCCTCCTCGTAGCAGCGGCGGCACTGTCCCTGGGCCGCGGGCTACCACCACCTGGGTGGTCAGACACTCGGTGGTGCGCCGCCACCTCGCGGGCCTGCGCAAGCTCGCGACACTCGTCTTCAAGGGCGAGGACTACCTCATGCCCAGCCGCGAGAGGACGTCTGACGACGGTGCTGCTTACGGGCGCGGCGGCGGTGGCGGTGGCGGCCCCCGCGCCTCTGGCGGCGCCGGCCACCGGCGCTACTACGCGCACTACTACCCGCCCGCCTGGCCGTTCCCGGGACCGTACCCCGGCTCGACGTCGCCGTCTGCCCCGCGCGGCCTCGGCCGTCGCAAGGCCCTGCGCACCTGCTACACGTACCGCCGGCTGCGCGCCGTCTACCATCCCTCGACCGAGGACGGCGACAACGCTGCTCTCGGCAGCTACTACCACCACCGGTACCGGCGCGAACGGCGCCACCAGCCACCGCCACCACCGCCCCCGTGGTACTGGGAGGCCTATGTGTCCCGCGGCCACGCGCAGCGGATGCCGAACGAGGCCGGCAGGTACGCCGAGCTGTTCCCGCGCCTGCGCGCCGTCTTGGTCGGCGGCCTGCATCTCGTCCGGGGCCGGCACGGCGCTGGCAGGTTCGAGGCCGCCGCGCCCTTTCAGCCGGTCGAGGCCATCTTTGGCTTCTCCCCGGCGGCCGTCGAGTCCTGTCCACTGGCCGACGAGTCGGTCCTGGGGGTCCACAGGTACCCGGGCTGTGCGTCCCGGTCCTGCCCGCCGTTGCGGCACGAGGAGGATGGCAGGCCCTCGCCCAGGGCTCCTGGTAGGTCATTCGTATTGGCTCCCCTCCTCCTATCCCTCAACTGACTAGCTTGAACTCTTCCTGGAACAAACAGCCCCCCTCATCCCTCATCGGGTTCTTCTGCGAGGCCTGCTTCGTCGAGGCCTACCGCAGCCGCGCCGTGGCCCTGACCGCCGGCAGTGGTGACGTCCCACCCCCGCCACCGCCACTGCAGACGCAGTGCGCGCACCGCACGCCCCGGCCGGCGGCGGGCTGGGCTGTGCTCGGCAGTAGCAGCTCGTCTTGCGCGGACTGCCCCCGCTGCTTCTCGCCCTGGGTCTACCCGCCGCCGCACCCAGCGCGGGCGGTCAGCATCGGCGCCGCGGACACGGCTGCCAGCAGTAGCAGTAATAGCGCCGGTAGCGCCACCGCCGGCGGCAGCGAGTCGGGGGGCGAGACCATCCTCGAGACCGTGGAGCGGGACGACGAGGACCCCGAATAAGGGGTGTGTGCTGGCGAAAGCTAGGCTGGCTGTACATGTTGCCTCTTTTTTGGCCCTTTTATATACAACTTCGCACAACACAATTTTTCTTGCTTATTTTCTGCCCTGCAAGCAGCCATTGCCCCTCACGACACGCCACTCCCTTGCTTGCTTTCCCTTTGTCTTCTAATTTTCTCCAGCGTCGACCATCGCATGAAAGCTTCAGCGTTTCAAGTCTGGGTGGCATACTGAATATTCAACACACTGGCTGTGGATTTCCCTGGAAGGATCTAACCCACTCCGTTGGGATGGAGAGAAAAGGAAGGCCGGCCGGCTTCTCATTCTGTTAACTTCTAGGGACTTCTTCTCCTTGTGGTGGGATCTTTTTGGGGGCTTCAACAGCCTCTCCCCACCACTAAAAGCCGCCTGTAAATGTAGATTGTGATATTGCAATCCAAACCCCCTTGTATATACAAGCAACGAAAAATACCCAAGCCTTCCCCCACCTACTCTGCCGTGACGGCCTCAGTCCAGGTCCGGGACCGGCAGGTGGTCCTCGAGGCGGACCTTGAGCCCCAGCTTCCGCAGGGCCTCGAGGGCGTTCTCGTCGCGCAGCGCCGACGTCTCGTCCGCCGTCACCAGCACGAAGTCGTGGCGCAGCAGCCACGTGCCCTCGGCCACGCCGTACTCGGCCGCCGTGGCGGCGTCGGCCCGGCCGAGGTCGACGACCAGGCTTTTCTTGACGCCGAAGACGGCGTCGGACGTCTCGTAGGGATCGCCGCGGAGGTAGAGGGCTCTGTTGATTTGTGTTGAGAGACTGAGGGCCAAGGAAAGGACGGGATAAAAAAAAAGATAATAAAAAAACCTACGTGATCAGCTTCTCAAAGCCCGTCTTCTCAAACATAAAGTGCACGTGCGCCGGCCGCCAGCAGTGCCTGCCCAGGCGCTCCAGCAGCTTCCCGACGGGCCCATCGTTGGGGATGGGGTAGCTGACGGGCTTGAGGCCCCTGAACCAGAAGCGGCCCCGGCCGTCGGACCGCATGACGCACCGCTCGCTCGGCTCCTCCTTGTCCGCGTGCTGCACGTCGTAGTGCCCCGAGCTGTCCGTCTCCCAGATGTCGACCTTGACCCCCTCCAGCGGGGCCCCGAACCTGTCCCGCACCGTGCAGACGGCCAGCATCGGCTCCCCCTCCGGGTCCGACGTCATGACGGCGCCGTTGGGGAGCTCGGGCGCCTCGTGCGTGTGGAATGGGCCGAGGACGGACCCTTCGGTGCACCCGGGAGGGGTCGGGTGGTTGACGTTGTCGACGAGGAGGGAGAGGCCGAGGACGTCGGACAGGAGGATGAACTCGTTCCGGCGCTCGTCCGAGATGTGGCCCGTGGCGATGAGGAAGGCGATGGCGGCCGACCACTCGGCCGTGCTGAGGCGCGTCTCGCGCGCAAAGTCGTGCAGGTGCGTCACCAGCCGCTCCATCAGGTACCGCAGCCGCGCGTCCTTGGCCTGCGAGTTGATGCGCACCGTGTTGGGCGTGATGTTGTCGATGGTCAGGTCCAGCAGCTGCGGCACGCCGGCCGTGTCTGCCGGGGCTGATGATGATGACATGGCTTTTTTTTTGCTTTTTTCTTTTTCTTTCTGTTCTATCTGGTATATTCGAGTTGATCACGGCTACCACTGTCGATCAAGATATCCGCTACCGTAGCCAGAGACTCGGTAGGTACCTGTAATTATATCGGCTCAAACGCGGGCAGTTGGTCCATCACGAATCAGAGGCTCTCCATCTCCAATTGCTTGGTCGTCGCTGATTTACCCACTCCCTGGCCGTTATGTAATTCTCGGTAATCAACAACATGGAGACTCCTGGGAGCTGCAGACGGCAATTGAGTCTCCTGCGGACTATCGTTGATGTCGAACTTCCCGCAACGGAACCCAGCACCAATGCTTCCCCTCTCTCTCTCTCAACCTTCACGGCCGGAAAAGTGGCAGGCAGTGAGGACGTTTAGACTTGGGGACAGACGCGATACCCATCCGCTGCCGGACAAGACCACTCGTCATGCGACACCGGCCGCTGGCTGTCTGGAACAGCAAGCGCGGCTGCCGTGCGAGCCTTCATCGCTGGTCATCGCTGGCCACAGGTGCATCGCCTCGGTTTCCATCGTCGGTCCGCCAGCTCGATGCGGGGTTGGGCGACCCACGGCGGCCAGCCCCCTAAGACACAGGCAGAGCTCGTGTGAGGGGAAGCGTATGCGGTTCCATCCACCACTGAGGACTGTACTTGGTCCAGGTACCGGTACATGCGCTTCTGAGACGGCGACTTCTTGCCCAAGATACAGACAATGCAGGCTCCCGATTGGAAGGCCTGACATCCGGAGCTACAGAAAAAAAAGCAAACAACACGAGAGTCAAGCCGCCTGCCTCTCTAGACAATGCATAGCCTCTATGCGGCCACCACCATCTCCAGCGGCTGCTTCATTTCATACCGTGGCCCTGCAACCAACCATCCGATAATGTATAGATGCACACCTTGCCGTCTGCCCATGCTCACACCCGGGCGTCTCCCTGTGGACGCACAACACTACACAGGCATTGCCAACAAGTTTCTTTCCCCTTGGGTTCTAGCGTCTACTAAGTCAAAGCTCAACTGCAGAATCCTAAGCATCGTCATGCGAATACGATAATAATCCACGGAAGCTAGCTTGTTTGCTTCTCGCCTGAAAGTGACTGCATGAGGGGGTGCCGCCGATCCCCGTCGGACCGGCCGACTAGGACATGTGCCTCTGGCCCATGGACAAGGTCGTCTCTGTGGTCTGAAAGTCTAAACCCCGTCACCTGTCTTCCGGGAGGGTACTGGATTTCGGGGCACGGGCCCTGTAACCAGCCGTGGGGGTGGCAATCTCTGCTTGTCGTCGAGGGGCGTTCGTCGTGTAAAGGAAGACACTCGCCTTCCTCGTTGGGAGAAAGGTGCATAGCAGGCATTCTCCCAAGGCCTTAGTTAAGTGTGATGTGTACCGATGGAGGGTGAAGGGCAATCAGAGTTGCACAAAGTGCTTGCTTGGTCGTCATTTGCAGGGTCTTAAGCTGCTCGGAAACACGGACCAATTTTTCTCATCATATAAAATGAAGGGGCTGCTGGGAAGGGAGGTGGAGCGAATGGGTAGAGTTGGTGCGTGATGAGCGTGATGGCACAGCATTACGCCGGAATCCTGCTCATCAGAGGGAGGATGGTCACGATGGCTAGATCGACCAGGAGTCGGGTGGCCAGAGATCCAGAGGGATGCGCGCCTAGTCGCGGGTCAAGCCTGGCCTAGCAGAACATTAACGCGGCTGCTTTGCGTGGCAACATCTGAGCAAAGCAGCAGGACGCGCCGCCGCCCAAACAACCCGTCTAGTTCAACGGTGTTGGGATTGCTCAAAGGGCTGGAACGGCGAGCGATGCTGATGCTGTGTGGCCATCATTTTTGAGAGGCGAGCCAAGGATCTGGTGGGTGAGGTGCGGGAGGAAGCAGTCGACAAAGTGCAGACGGCAGTGGAAGGGTGGTTGCAAGGTCGGAAGCTTGACTGAAAATCTCTAGCTTTATTGGCAGGAAAACTCTGCTTCTGATTTGGCCTACCCCAATTACGTAAGTGGCCGTCGCGCCACGTGATGCGTGGTCAACCAAGGGCAGGCAGAACAAGGGCAGGCACGATTGACCCACCCAGTTTTTGAATGCCACAACTTTCCGTGAATTTGGTTTGGTTTGGACAGAGGCTACGACGCCATCACAGATTCGACCACCAACACGCCAGACATCCACGTCCCTTGTAGAGGTTCGTTTCTCCCTCTCCTCGAAGTCGACCTCGAAAATCTCCATCTGCTCGCAGCCCAACTAACCTTTGCCCTCACACGGAACAGAAACACCGCCAAAATGAGTACGCCTTTTCGATCCCAACCGCAACGACAAGCGACCCTGCCGAGTGATCTCTTGTACTGACGAATCCTCCGACGAACAGCGAAGGGAACCTCGAGCTTCGGAAAGCGCCACAACAAGTCGCACACTATGTGCCGCCGTTGTGGTTAGTACTCCTCGGTTTTTTTTTTCATACGCGACCTCCAATCGAAACCCCACGCTGGGCATGCGCTGGGAACGGAGCCTTGCCGCAATTGCATTGGAGAATTGTCACCCTTCTACGTCGGGAATTGGGACTCGGGGGTCATGCCAGCGTGGTGTTGGGATTGGAGGTTGGACTAGGAGGGGAATCGCGAGACTGACCAAAGGCATTTTCCACCACAACAGGTCGCCGCTCTCTGCACGTCCAGAAGCACACCTGCTCCTCGTGTGGCTACCCTGCCGCCAAGACCCGGAAGTGTACGTTTTCCGCCCCTCGCCCGCGATGCGACACGAAAAAACCTGGCGACGGCACACACACGCACACACAGACCAGGGCTCGAGGCGCTGTCGTTTTCGCATCAAGTACTAACCACGAGCATGCGCTTGCCTTGCAGACAACTGGAGCGAGAAGGCTAAGCGGAGAAAGACAACGGGCACCGGCCGTATGCGGTACCTCAGCACCGTCTCGCGCAAGTTCAAGAACGGCTTCCAGTCTGGCGCCCCCAAGGGCTCGCGCGGTCCCAACTCTGCCGCTGCCACGGCCACCTCCTCGTGAGGCAGGGCTGTCAGGATTAGGGGCGGGGGCGTTGACGGTTTCTTATTATTTGTGAACTGTGCCAAGACCAAAAAAGAGACGGTTTATTTTTCTTCGTCTCAAAATCACACACAAACAACAACACACACACATATGCAATCCCCGGTAAAGGGACTGTTCCGCGCCATGACGGATGGGGCTGGGTTTTGGTCGTCGTGGCCGTCTGGCTGCTTCAGAAATGGGAAAGGGGGGGACCACTCTTGGCTGTGTGTGATGGTCGAGACTGGTCACGGCGTTTAAGCATATCTCGTTCGGGCTTCCTTCTCGTCATCATCAAAATAAAGTGAAACGACAAAACGACGTGTTTGATGGATATTATGTTTCTGCTTGACCTGGTTCTCTGTACCGTGGATTTGGTAGGCCTAGCTCTGCGACGATCTCCCTCCAACCGGGCAGTTTACTGCCCTCGCTCAAACACCCTGACGCCCCCGTCACCCCCGACGTGATAGAGGTACTCGTGCTCCTCGACGGCCGCGCAGCCGCCGCCTCCGCCTCCACCACCTCCGCGCGTGACGCGCACCACCCCGCCCACGTCGTTGGCCGCGCCCGTGTCGAGCAGACGCAGGCACAGCAGCAGGTCGGCCTCGTGCGCCAGCGACAGCGCCAGCGACGCGTGCGCCCGCTCCAGCGCCGTTCGCTGCTGCTGCTGCTGCTGCTGCTGCTGCTGCTGCTGCTGCTGCTGCTGCTGCTGCTGCTGCTGCCCCGCCGCCACCAGCGGGCCGTCGGCCGACACCGCCACCACGGCCGCGTGCGCCCGCTCCCGCACGTCGAGCAGCACCCCGCGCAGGTCCTCGGCGGCCCCCCCGCCGTTGCCGCCCGTCGCCGCCGCGAGCAGCAGGTCCGGCTGGTCGACGATGACGACGATGGGCTTCTTCGCCCTCCTTGTACTGTCCTCGCCTCCCTGTTGCAGCGACTCGAGCGCCTCGAGGAGGGAGGCGCCGATGCCGCGCATGCCTTGGGCGTTGCTCCACGCGAGGGTTCTATGAGGCTGTTGCTGCTGCTGCTGCTGCTGCTGCTGCTGCGGGCCGTTGGTGGGCGGGGCGGCTTGGTCTGATGAGAAGAGGCCCGTCAGGCCGTCCACGAAGCCGAAGCGGCCCCTTCGCCGCAGGGCGTCCAGGTCTACGCCCTGTAGGGAAACGAGTCAGTGCCCAATGCTCTGTGTACGCTGTAGCGGGGGGTTTTTTTTGTCTTAGGCGACTTCTCGTCATGGCAGTCCCTCCTACGCGGCATGTGACGGGGTGCTGGAGGAAGAAGAAGAAGAAGAAGAAGAAGAAGAAGAAGAAGAAGAAGAAGAAGAAGAAGAAAGTGATAGTGTGGGCAGAAGGAAGAAAGAGAGGGAGAAAAAGAAAAAACCTACAAGCCTACCAGCACCATCCCTCCAAAACGAAAAATCCCGCATGAAGCTGACGAGGAGCACGGCCGTGTCGTCGCCGTCCGTCTCCCCGGCCCCCGTCGGCGGCGGCGGCGGCGACCTGCCCAAGAAGCTGGCCATGTACCGCAGCACCAGCCAGTTGGTGCTCGCGCCGACGACGCCCGACAGCACCACCAGGGCCGCCTCGGGCGGGAGCGCGAGGTACTGCTCGAGTAGAGGCGGCAATCTACTCGTCATTGTTTCGGGCCTTTTTTTTCTCTCTTCTTTTTCCAGGGCTTCCCTAACGGCTTTGTAGGAAGGGAAGTCGCTTGTAAGTGCCCGTCCAGCCGATTGCGGGGCACAGAGAATTCCTGCACAATTTTATCCACCACATCGATATGCACAAACACATATGCACAATATATACAACTCTAAGAACTTGCATAATCCCGAAAAAAGTGGTTGGCGACAACAGAAGGAGGATGCGAGATATCAATCTATACCTAATCCACTGTGCCATCAGCCTGCAGGCCTATCCTATACAATCTTCTACAAACTGTCTATCGATGAGAGCTGAACCCCAGTCTTGTGCCGGCCCCATCTACGCCGCGAGTGCCCCAACCCAGCTGCCTGTCAGCCACCACTCACCGGCCAGGCCTGCCCCAGAACCTCTCCACGTAGTTCTTCCTCACGGTCCACATCCTCGCACGCTTGCCAAACACGTACATGGGCACCGTCGTCAGCAGGACCGCGACGTGGACGGCGGCTAGGCACACGAAGACGGCCCGGCCGCCGGCGGCCACGAGCCAGCGCGTGAAGAAGAGCGAGAAAACCATGCCGTGCAGCACGTTCTTGCAAAAGTTGAGCGCCACGAGCGCCTCGCCGCTGTATTGGCGGTGGCTGTCCACCACGAACGTGATGGCCGTCGTTGAGCCCAGGGAGCAGCCGAACGAGACGAGGCCGAAGAAGAAGGTGGGCACGGCCCAGTGCCGGCCCGCCTCGGCCGACCAGCCGAACCCGGCCAGGCCGAGCGCTGTCGTGACCAGGACTGGCAGCGCCATGATGAGCCGGAACTCGGGCTCGTAGATGCCCCCGTTGCGTCGTGACATCTAGCGGGCGGGCCGTCATGGTTAGATATATCAGTCTTGTAACGGCGAAGCTTAAACCTTTTTGCGGGCAAAGACTTACCGCCTTCACAATCACGTCCGAGATCCACCCGGCGACGGCGGTGCCGAGGATTCCGCCGATGAGCGGCGAGATGTACGTGAGGCCCGTCTGGAGCTCATTGAAGTGGTAAGATCCTTGGATAAAAATGACGGCGACCGACTGTGACAACACGACGAGCCAGCCCATGGAGCAGCTGTAGACCAGCGCCGCCCAGAGCACGGCCGGGTACGAGAACAGCACGAGCGGTCGCAGCGCCGCGTGCAACCAGCTGTCCCGGCTCAGCCGCCCATGGTACGGCCGGAGGTGCTGCGTAAACGTGCGCGCCGGCATCCTGCGAAGCGCCGTCGTGTATGAGGCCCGGCGGGGGCTGCTCGTCAGTCCCGGCATGTCGTAGACCGCCACCACCGACGACGGCCGCCGCGACCACTCCTCCGGCGCCGTCTTGAACGTCTTCATCGAGCCCACTGAGCCCACTGAGCCCACCGAGGTCGCGGGTAGACTCATGCCGAGGGCCTGACTCTGCTTCTCGACGCACGGAGCCGCTGCCAGTGTGGGTGTGGATCTCGACGACGCCGAGTACCCTGAGCCGCCTGCATGATCCACACCGGGAGCCTGTTGTTGCTTCTCGGCTTCGGCGGTCAGGGCGGCATCGCTCTGCCATATGATCTCGTACTCTGGGTCCTGATCAATACCGTGGCCAGGTTCTGACCCCGCCTCCTGGCCCTGATGCAGGGGCTGTGGGTGAGCAGATTGCTTTTCGTTCGTGGCTCCCTCGGCGTCACCTGCGCCAAGCTGTGGCTCTTCTGTGTCGTCTTTTTTGCTTTCCCACACTACGGTATAGCCATCACCCGCATCCACATCCTGGGATTCGTGGTCAGAGGCCTTCGGCTCCATTTTCCACACCATAACATAGCCATCTTCGGACTGTGCGGCGATATCGAGCTGCTGGCTTTGCTCGCCATCCTGCTGCTGGCCGTTCTGGTGCGGTTGATGGCCGTCCTGCAGCGGGCTATGTTGGCCGTCAATCTGGTCGCAAAAAGCCTTCATCTCTGGCGTGATAGTCCAGCTGGGTGAGCGGGAGTGACCACCGACGGCAGTGCGGTAGCCAGAGGGCAGCACATCTTGATTGCCTCCATAGCTCGACGAGCGGGACTGGTTTGCCACAGCGGTGTTGTAGCCAGAGGATTGCGCGCCCTGGTTGCCCCCGTAGCTGGATGCGCGGGACATGTCTGCGACAGCAGTCTTGTAGCCCGACTTGCTTCCGCCCGAGCTGCTGCTGTCACACTCGTCCGGGAGCTCGTCTGGAGGGGTTGTCGGCGTCCACCCAGGCATCATCTGCCATATCGAGTAGTTGGTGTTGGGGTTGTCGCCGATACTCCGGCACGCGTCTTCAAGGCTCTGCCGCACCGCAGGCCCCGGTGGTATTACAGGGAAGCCACCGACTGTGTTGGGACCGCTGGTGTGGTCTATTGACATGCCGCGGACATGCACTACTCTGGAGTTTCTCCCGTCGAGAATCATGAAGTAACCGTGGTCGTGAGAGTGAGCACGACTTCGGAGCGACGTGTGACTCGAGCAACGGCGCTTACCGCTGAGTGGGATCAGCGATGTATCTTCGCCTACCGGCTGAGCAGAGTGGATTCGATGTACTTGGGGAGGCAGGGCTATGGTGCTGCCAGACATGAAGGAATCCCTCCTGGAGTCCTCAGCCGTCGCCACCGCAGTTTCCGAAGCCGCGGAGCTCGTCGGGTCACCGGGGTAGTGGGGGCTGTCGACGAAGTGAGCGCGCTTGTCTCTCTTGTCGAGAAACAAGGGCGTAGGTACGTCTTCGAGCTCCCTTGGCGTCATCGGGGGGATCCCGCTCGTAGACCCAGGGGTCGTAGAGGAAGGCCGTGGCGCAAGACTGGCACTTGATCTGCCACTTACGACGCTCGAAAGTCTGTGAGCCAGTGTCACGGGCCACGATGGCCCTTCCTGCTTTGATGCCCGATTTCGGTCCCAGAACGACTCCGGCACAAACAAGAAGAGCAGAGCGCCGCAGAACACGAGCACCATAGTAATGACCCTGCGCGCGGGAAGGTAGCCTTGTTAGCAGCACGTCTTGGGTCATCCCACGTCGAAGCCAAAGGAGCCAGCTTACCAAAACACCCATCGCCAGCTGAGGCTCTGCATGATGGCAGCGCTGATGAGCGGGATGATGTTCTTGCCGCTCAGGAGCAGCAGCGTGTATATCCCAATACGAAAGGCCTTCTCGTGCAGGAAAAAGATCTCGCCGATGGTGGCTCCTGGGAGGCACTCGACGGGACTGACCGCGATGCCCTGGAAGACGCGGGCGACGACGAGCGAGGTGAAGTTGGGGGCCAGAGCACACCAGATGGAGCAGACGATGACGGCCGCGGCACTACCGAGATAGACCGTCCGCTTCCCGAAGAGGATGGCTGTTGGCGAAGCGATGACAGAGCCGACTCCCAGGCCCAGCATGAACATGCCCGTTGTGAGAGAAACATCGGCGACTTCAACGTGGTACTACGGCAAGAAGTGGTGTTAGTCCGGGGCTATGGGAGCAGCAGGACGACACCAAGAAGTGCACAGCTCACATCTCGCGCGATGGCAGGGAAGCCGGCGGCCAGCAATGGAGTCAGGCCACCTCCAACCATGCAGTAAAGCCCGACTGACAGCAAGGCGAGGTTCCGCCGCCAAGAGGGCCAGTTCAGGGGGTCGTTGACCGACTCCTCGGGTTGCGGGTCCAGAATCATCAGCCCGTCCCTCGTTCTCTTTGGTCCATTCTCGGGTGGGGGGTCGGCAAAGCCCCATGGAATGCCCGTGGGCAGCGTGGATGCGGAGTTTCTTCGCGGGATACTCGACAGTCCCAGAGGCTGGTCATGGTCCCTAGCCAGCAGACGCACAGAGCCTAGGCGGTCGGAAATATTAGGGCCCGTGACAGCGGCTTCTGGCTTGAGGGCGTGCTTACCGGGGACATCGACAGTTTCCCTGTCGTTCAGTATTCCGAGAGTCCATCTCGGAGGAGTGTCTGCGGACGGTGGCATCGTCACTGTGACACCCGGTTTTTCTCGCTAGATCAAGTCGGAAAGCGACCTCAACAAGATTCGCATGTGGCTCCTGTACCCGACACTCGGGGCCCTTGGAGGATGTGGAAAAGAGGCCAGGAGGTGGTGTAGTGTCACAAAGGCATCGAGGGAAACGACAGTACCTGCGGGTAGATGGATAGAGCTATGCAATAGTTGGAATACAGGTAGTGATAGGTTCGAGATGGTTTCGATGTTGAGTACATAAGGTATTACAGCGCGTTCGAGAGGCGTATGTGGTTCAAGGAGGATGATTGGTTGTGCGGAGGAGAGGTTGATAGTGATGGTGGAGGCTGGGATTTCGTGTTTTGTTCAGGATCAGAAGCCGAGCGCAACGGTTTCCATATCGACCTGGGCGACTACGCGAGACGGGCGTGCGTTGCAAGGGAAGGAAGGCACAAGGCACGATCACGACTTCCCAGGGTACCGCACTCTCCTCTCAAGGCAGGTCTCTCTCCGGCACGCTTCTGCACCTTGTGCGAGGGGATTCGCGTGAGGAAGGCATTTTCTTGGCACAGGTGCTAATCTTGGGAGAGCAGGAGCGGCCTGCAAGCATCAACGCCTGCCTGGTGAAGGGACGCAAACCTAGTCTGCCTACTGCCCGGCAGTATCACTAGAATAGATTGGTATATTCCACCCCGTGTAAAAGCGGGAAACACCCCGGAAATAAGCCTCCATGTCTCAAGGGTGGAGGGGGCAAGACGCCGTGTGTCCCATTCTCCATCGTCGGTCAAGGAAGCCCACGGATAGAAACATTTCTAAACCCAGCTGACCTGGGCCCACTCATGTATGGCGAAGTAGAGAACAAGTGAGCAAATGCAGAGCTGATCCAAACGGACGGCTCCAACCAACTCAACCCGTGTACTAGCGCCCCAACATTGAGTTTATCGTGTGACTAAAGGGGGCAGCAACGGTTTAGACGGACTGCCAAGCTTACTGACAGGCTCTTGGGTTCGTCCGATTATCTGACATAGTCCTCGTTGACCTGAAAATATCTGGTGTTTTTCAGCTGTTCATTTCGAGAAAAGTCAGGATGCATACCTCCTAGGCAGATTGGGTTTGTCGAGGTACCTTTAGGTATTTTGCTGGCTTTTATTGACAGGCCGGGGTACCCCAATGACATCACCTCGCCTTCGCAGCAACACCACCAGGCATCGTAAATTTTAGGGAGCCAGCCACGAGGGTCGGTCCCCAGTGCGTCTTCGATCCGTCACCTGCGCTCCGAGCTTCCCTTTGGACAGAAGCCAGCCGGTTCTCTAGACCTGGAGCTTTCCTGTGAGCCGTATAATTCGAAGGACAGAAGGCGTGGTTGTATGCTTTCGAGCTCAGTCAGTGATGCCGTACGCTGGGAAGAGGGCCCACACTGAGTGGGGTCATACTTGTCGTATTTCCTGCCTGTCACACCGTCGGTGATTTTCGGGTTGAAGCTGAATATCAGACACTTCACAGCCGAAATTGTTCAACAGAGCTCCCCTCTCCCTCGGAAGCACCTAGACGTGGACGAGCCCCGGAGAAAGACATTCGATGGCGATTTACGCCCGCCCATTGGGCTTTATACCACGGAGCTCATGCAAAAGCTTCATTTCCGCGGCATCCTTCTCAACCTCGCGCCCGAATAGGGCAAAAAACCAAATATTCTCACCGTGCGTTTTGCCGCCCATCCAACAGGCACACGCGCACACGTGAGCTTAACAGGAACAAAAAAACAATGTAGAATCCACAGCCCAGACGCCTTCAGCACCCACATCCTCCTCTCCTCCTCGGCCCGGACCCCGCTCCTGACCCTGTGGACCACGAGCTGGTGCCCCAGCTGCAGGGCCGTCGGCCCGCTGCTGCGGAGCATCGTCGAGTCGGGCATCGGCGAGGCCGAGGGCGGCGTCGCCTACGCGCCCGTCGAGTTCGACAGCCCGGACATGCAGAGGACCAACCTGGCCCTGGACTACATGATCACCAGCGTCCCCACCCTGCTCAGCTTCGACGCCGGCGAGGCCCAGCTCGAGACCAAGGTCGTCGACGGCAGGCTGCTGGCGGACAGGGCCTTCCTCGAGGGCTGGGTCCGCGCCGAGGCCCTCAGGCACGGCGGGCGCGGTGGCGGCGGGGGCTTTCCGGGGATGAGCTTCTTCGGCGGCCTTTTTGGCGGCCCCAAGTGATGCTCTACAGCTCCCACCCAGGGGCGCAGAGAGACGCCCAGTGCAGCATCTCCTGGAAAAACCAATATCAGGTCCTGAAAACGCTGTTGCATTCAGTCATTATCCCGAGTTTCATTAGGGAATCCGCCCGACTTGGCACCAACTTGACCAAAAAAAAAAAAAAGACAGCAAACAGTAGCGTGCAGCCTCGAAGCACCTAGACAGGAGGGGCAGAGCGAACGGCATCCAAGGAGATTATTGCCGTTGGTTCATTCAATATGAGAGAACATCGGAGGGGAGGAGCAAGACCCAACCTGAAATAGTCCCTATCCTGCCATCAGGAAGGGTTGTAGTAAAAGACTTCCTCGACGGGCTTCCACCACGACGGCTCACCGGCCTCGCTGCTTTGCGCCCCCGGTACAAGAGACTGCTGCCAGCCGTCCGTCATCTTCCACCACTCGCGCACCTTGGGGTTGTCCCGCATCTTTTCCATGTCGCCGGCGTAATCGTAGCCGACATATTTGAAAGAGGCGAACAGGATGTTGGACTCCTCGTCGTGGAATATGCTGTCTGAGTCGGGGCATCAGCAAAATGCCGAGAAGCAAGGCAGCAAAGAAGACAAGGCCGGGTCGCCTGGGGAGAGGGTGCTTACAATCGACAATGTTGCAGGCCTTGATCTGCGCCAGGACCTCGGGCCAGACCTTGGCGTGGACCTCCTTGTACTCCTCCCGGTGCTCGGGCTTCAGCTTGACTATCTGCGCATACCTGCGGCCCGGGTTGCGCCTTTTGGCCTGTGTCGTCGGCGACAGCGGGTCCTCGGTCGAGGCGGTCGGCGAGGCGGGCAGCTGGACGTTGGTCGGCTTGCTCCACATCCTGGCGAGGGGTTCTATCGTCGGTCGTCTGCCCTTCGACGCAAAGCTCTACGAGAACGCGCCACTGGGGAATGGTTCCCCACAGGTCTTCTTCTCCCCGCGCAGAAAGATCTTTCTGACACTGCAACGAGCTGCCTTGGAGCTAAGAGGGCTGGCTAGCTATCAGGGAGAAGCGAAGTTAGCGTGAGAGATCTCCCTAACGATAGGATTTCGCCCAACCTACAGAGGCGGAGATTGATGCGGTCGACTTGTGAGTCGCGTGAGGGCTGTTGGGGAGAATTAAGAGACGAAGGGGGCAAGAATACCAAGAACAGCGCGGGTAAAACTGGCAGCTACCAGAGTCGGGCAACCTACTGGCGAGATGGTGGGGAGGGCTGGATCTAGACCGTTGGGGGAGATAAGTGGAACGGCTTCTCGTTTTGGGCCAGCCAGCGAGCACAACGAGCGCTCCCTTTCTGCTTCTTTTTTCCTGTTTTCCTTTCTATCACTTATCCGGAAAACCGCGCCAACGGGGAACTAAAAGAGGGATGGCCCAAGACGTGGCAGCACAGAGCAAACGGGGCTGTGGGTTTGGGCAGTAATCCAGGAACACGACACGCGATCCCCGAACCCGGACCCCAGACTAAGAAGGTCGATAGGACGCCGTCGACGGCTCCCGTGTTCTTTCCCAGCCAGCTAGGCTGCGGGAGAAAGCCAACGGGCTGGTGGTGCGGAGGCGGCGGGTGAGTGAGGGGTACAGGTAGGGATGGAGTTCTACTAGTGGCTGGAGCTTACTCCCCTGTTGGCAGCTGCGCTTTTGCCGCGACCAACAAAGAAGGTCCGTTGAGGTATTCGAGGTGGGGAAATGGGGGAGCGGCGAAGCGGGTGAGAAAAAAAAAAACGATGCCAGGCGCTTGTGGTAGAGGACGCGGGACGGACGGACTGGCAGCGCTATGCCGAGAGGTGATTTGGTATTAGGTACCTACAGCTTGGCTGGGGTTTCCTCTGTTAGGTGCAGATACGGCTCGATCCACTCACTAACAAAAAACGGGCGGGCGGCCCCTTCGGCAGGGATGGAAGACGCTGGAACGACAAACCTGGAACGAGCAGAGAGGAGTGTATTTTGTGGGAATAGAAATGCAAAAAGACGTCAGAGCGAGAGACGGCAATGGACGGACGATGTGGTATTTATAAAACAGCAAGCCATCTAGGACACGGCATCCGTCCCATCCCAGCATTACACCTGTACCTACACCTACGCACCGGAAGCAGCGGAACCAACTTCCTTGCCCACAGAGCCCGCCGGTGCCGGTGGGAGAAAGAAAAAGAGAGAGAAGGGAACGGGTCCACTGTCGCTTACAATAGTCGGCTTATTTTCAGGATAGACCTTTTGCAGGCGAGGAATGGGTTGCTGCCGCATCTGAGGAACAAAAAAAATTATTGGATGCCGAGACGTGCACCTACAGTCAAGAGGTACTTGGTACCTCCCTACTGCAGACCGGGGGCCGGGCGGCTGGGCCGGGCTTGTGTTGCCCGCATCTTGCAGCCTCAATCAAAATCCCCGCTGACGGGGGCGGGCAGCCAAGGCGTGATCGATGTGGGTGGGAGCACAAGTGCCTTGGGGAAGCACATGGGGCGCACGGAAGCTTACGCGGATTTTGCATCGACGCACAGCACGCGCCCCTCTCGTCCCGAGTCTGCTTTGTTGGGAAGGACAGAGAGCAGCCGCCTCGACTGGACACCCCCAAGCTTATAGCTCCCCCATCCACGGGTGGAGTGGAGAAGAGCGAAGGCAGGTCTATTGCGAGATTAGTTATACAAAAGACACGCGCCGGAGCGCATATATTCGGGAACGCTGAGCGAAGCCCATCCTCATTATTTCCACCCCCCTGAAACCACCAAGCACGAAAAGGAGACGAGCATCCCGTGGCACCCACTGATCCGTTGTGACGCTTGTGCGCATTCTTCCAGGCTCCTTCCCGTCTGCGTCCAACCCCAGGCGCCGCCGATACCACATGAGTTTACTTGTTTTAAACCTTTATCTTTCGTAAAATACCCCAGACATGATAGAAACGCCGGGAAAGGGACATGGAGCTACAAAAGGAGACAGAGATGGGCGAGGATTGGGGCGCCGTCACTCCCAGCGACTCGACGTCAAATGAGATTCGTCCGGGCAGGCCGTTATTCGGATTACAAGGATGTGTGGTGGTCGTATCCCGTACAACATAATAAATAAAACAGACAGCCATGGTTGGTAGAACAGAAGGCTCCGAGGCCCGCACCGCCAGCACGCTCGGATAGGGCAACGTTGCGTGAAACTGGGCGAGCACCGAGCTTGCGCTCGTGCGGAGCGATATAGTAACATGGCGTCTCGTGTCTTACACTTATTTGTAGAAGGCCTCGATGAAGTAGATCAAGGCAAACACGAGGAAGGCGACGGCACCGCCCACAGTGACTGTGACAGAGCAGACTTGGGTTAGCGGATATTCACAGGTTTTGAGTGAAGCGACATGACGGCGGGGGCAACAACATGACAAACATACCAACTTTAAGGCTAACCCGCCCCGCAATGGCCCTGCCGCCGATGACGGCGACACTAGTGCAGCAGGCGTGGCCCAGCACGGCACCGAGCGTCACCCACCAGTAGTCCTGGCCCGCCGCCATGGCGATGGTTGCGATCTGGCTGCGGTCACCCCACTCGCCCAGAAAGGTCATGACGAACGTCTGCACCCAGGCCGGGCTGAGCAGGAGGGAGAGCAGATTGTTGAGCCCCGCCAGCGCCGACCCGACGGCGCCACCGCCGGCCCCTGAGCCGCCACCGACCCGCCGCCTCGACGGGCTGCGGCTCCGGCTGCGCGACGACGACGGGCTCCGCGGCGGCGTGGGGAAGCGGGAGTTCTTGGACCTGGCCTTGCGTTCGCCGCCGCCCATGCCCATCTCGAGGGCGTACGGAGAGACCGAGCCACGCCTGCGGCCCTGCTTCCGAGCCAGGTTCTCCTTCTCCTCAAGCTCGTGCTCCACCTCCTGCATCTCGGCCGAGACGCCCTCGTCGGGGCTCATGGCCATGCCCTCGCGCAGAAGACGGAGACCAAAGATAAGGAAGAGGCCTGCGGCCATGAAGTTTGTCAGGCGCTTGGGCAGCAGCGACGGCACCGTGTGGCCCATGACGGCCGAGAGAACCGTCATGGTGATTAATGCGGCAAAGGCGGCTGTGAAGACGACGAGCCGATCGTGCTTCATGGCCATGAGCGCCGCCACCAGGAAGGTCTTGTCGCCGACCTCGGAGAAGAGGATCATGGTGAGGGAGAGGAAGAAGGAATGAAGGGGGCGGATAACACCGCTCTCGTCGGCTGCGAGCTTAGGAGTCTTGCCCGAGACGGGAGCGGTCTTGGTGTTGCCCTTGGTCAAGTCAAGGTGGTCCTTGTGGACAGAGTTGGGCAGTGGAGGGGCCTTGTCGTGTGTCTTGCCCGGAAGATCGCTCGGTTTCTAGATAGGATGGACGGGTTGGTTAGAGAAACGAAAGGGGAGGCAAAGGTAACAAGGGACACTCGATTTCGACCCGCATATCGCTTTCAACGTACCCCTAGACCGCTGACATCGTCGGGTGAGTCTGCTTTCCCCTTATCCTTGAACTTCTCCTTGTCCTTGGAATCCTTCTTGGGGGGCTTCCCGCTCAGGATCTTCTCCTGCTCGCTGTGGGGCAATGGCGGCGCAGCCTTTGGTGTCTCGGGCTTGTTTTCGACCTTCTCGCCAGTCTCGCCCTCCTTAGCCTTGCGCTGCTTATCCTTCTCGGACACGCCGCCAGTTGTGCCGGTGGTGCCGTGCTTGGGCTGAGCCCGGTTCTTGTCGTCCATAACGCCATCGTTAGACTCGGGTATCTTCTTGCCATCGACGACGGTCGGGTCCTTGGGCCGGTCCTTAAGCGGCGGAAGGTCCTTGGAAGTGCTCGTCTCCTTGTTATTTTTCAAGTTTTCGATGTCGACAAACGGTCCCTGATGAGGCCTCCCGTCCTTGCCATCGACGGGCGCATCCTTGGTGCCGGTCCCGGGGGCGTCTTTCGTGCTCGGCGAGGCGGCGACCGACTTATCCGTGCCGTCGGCTGTGCCTGCGGTGAGGGCGGCGGATAAGGCGAGGGAGGAAAGCAGAAGGAGGAGCGGCGATCGTGGGTTCCGGAGTCTCATGGTGCGCAGTTATGGGATGGCGTCAACCGAGGTTGGCGCCGCGTCGGGGGATTTCTGGGCCTCGGTCGTTGCGAAGCGTCCTTCCTCTCGAGGGGGAGAGGGATGGTAGAACAAGAGGGCGGCGACTCAAGCAAGACCTGCAGCTGTCCTTTCCCGCGTACCGAAGGCCTGCGGATCTCGGGCTGATCGATGACGTGCGGAAATGCCTTTGGCTCATCCAAGCGTCGCTGCAAAGGACGGTAGCTCTATCGGCGCGTGCTTCGTCTGTCTTGTGCCCTGGAAGGAACCCGAACAGAACTCGTCTGCTCGCTAAAACGAAGAACCAGGCAAAGAAAAAGGGCGAAAGGGATGGGTTAGTTGATGGATGGCGGTGGTTGTGGTGGAAGAGTCGAAAGGGGAAAAATTGGCTGTGATTCCCTCCCTGGCCACACAGCGCGTGGCGTGGATGAGGATGGGCTGGAATGGGGCCAGCATGCGCAAAAAAGGGTCGACTGATTGAATGCGGCCATCTGGGGCTCGCCCACACCCGCCTCCCCTGCCTGTCGCAGGGGGACCTCAGCACCTCAGCAAGCCTCGTGCCCCATCCGCAGTCCAGCCTTCCCACTGGGCCCTGGCTTGGGCGGGACCCGACAGAACGGGGCGGCATTGGCGGGCATGCCTGCAATTGCGGAACGTAATTTCATTAATTGCAGAGTGGCCTTCTTATGCCGTGGCTATGCCAGGAACGGGCCGTCTTGCCCCTTTCTTACGTACAGTCTAGGTAACATTAACTCGATGAAGAAGTTGTAGGCAGGTCAATGAAGGCACTGACTGCTGCCCTCGGCTCAGTCCACTTGTTCACAAATCCACCCAGCGACCGTGTCCTGCTCCGAATCGCCAACCGGTTTGAGATCACCACCGAAGCGCGACAACCCGTCTCTCCTTCTCTATTTTTGTTCGTTTTTATTGATCTCCGGCGCAGAGCCATCTATCTGTCCTGGCGGGCCGTCGCCGCGCCTGCAAATCAGGGGTAAACTCGGCAGCAGCGGACACGGACCCTCGCTGGAGGCAATGTGGAGCCCAGGTAGCGACTTTCCAGGAGGTCAGTCTCGCAGGAGGTCAGCCGCCCATTGGATCCTCCAGATATCCAAATGCGCCCCTCTCACCCGAGGCCCTCACAAACAATTATCTGACTGCCTGGGGTCGCAGAAGGGTGTGAATCTGGCAAGATACCGGAAGAAAATACAAAGCGGATGGAGACGAACACTGCTCATTGATGAATGGCCTCATATTAGCATCGAATGTGAAGCTTTTGCTTTTAGCTTCTGTTATTTGTTCCTTTCCCCCAGATATACCTGTCATTTTCGTCGTACCTCCCTGTTAGGTGTCAGACTCAATCCGCCAACACGTGACACGCCAAATCGATTACACGTAATCCAAGTAGCCCCGCTTCACCATCAACAAACAATGAGCCTTGACCAGAAGGAACGGAGCGCAATTGAAGCCGCGCGTACCCTAACCCCCAACCAGACCACCTCGCCCATCAAACGGCTCGAGTGAAGAGACAAGCGGAAAAGGCTACCTAGGCGCGAGGTGCTGCCTCATCACCACGCAGTGTCTAGACAGGCAGCACAAGCACAGGTCATCGCGTCCATGGCTTCGTTCAAGCCGCCTGTCGCGACGCACTTCGCCAACTCGCCTGTGGCCTCTCGCACGAGACGCGGGAAGACAAGCGGCCAAGCACCAACACCAACCCCAACCCTAGGCGACCACCAGCCTGGTGGGATAGCCGCCCTCGCCGCCGCGGCGTCGAGCCATTCAGACGCCGACCAGACGGACAGAGTCCACGGCGCCCGGAGGGGCCCACCGCGCGGTCATACCCAGGACCAGAGCATCCACAGCATCCACAGCGTCAGCAGCGAGCCGCTGGAGCAGACCCGCCCGGACCAGTCGCAAGATGCGACCCGGCGTATCAGCGCCTCGCCCGAGCCCATTCCCTACTTCGATCGGTTGTTCAACCAGCCCGGCGCTCAGGAAACGCCTTCTAAGAGAGGGCAACAAATCATGGCCCGCGCAAGTTCCCGCGCCGGTGGCAGAGCTCGCGCCTTGAACAAGCGCCTCCCGTGGCTGCGGGACGCCGCCAAGGAGCTGCATGATCTGCTGTCTTATCGCGCGCTGCCCATGAACAATACCGACGACTTTGTCGAGGAGCTCGAGGTGGCGCGTGACCAGCTGGCAGCCCTCAGCAAGCTCTACCGAGACAAAACGAGCGAGTCCCGCTTTATCAGCAGTGTTGATATCACCACTCTGCTCGCGCACCCTCCGGACAGCAGGCAGTACTTGGATGTGAAGAATATCGCCTGCATCGTGAACCTGGGCGAGTTCTCGTGCAGTCTCTTCCCGTTCCACGCCCACGACGCCGGCAAGGTGACCATGGAGCTGTTGTCTCAGCTCGACACCTTTAGCTTCCCTTTGGATTTCACAACAGCCACTCTTCTTGATCGTGACGACTGGAAGGAGCGGACCATCGAACTTGCGATCGACGTCCGAACCCAGCTCGCAATCTCCAGACTCCAAAAAGAAAATGAGGATGGGTCTCCTCAGAAGGTTATACTGGACGCCTTCTGCACCAACGTGATCAAAACCGACCAAGATATAAGCGCGATTCTAGACGACAGCTCCCAGTTCAAGTCACTTCCCGGGTGTGATTACGTTCGCCTTTTGCACCCAGAGCTGGACGTGGACCAGATTCGAAAGCGGTACGCGGCAAGGTGTGAGACCATGCTACAGCTTCTGGGGGCAGACAGCACCGTCACGCCCGAAATCCTAGCCAATATGGTCACAAAATTTCCTCCGCGAAGGCTCGTGAAAGACCTGCAGGCCTGGATCGAAACCACACTGGAGCTATTCGAGGACTCGCTGGGGAATGGCAGCCTCCGCAACTCGCAAGCGCTGCATGCTCAGGTCGAATACGGGCACCACGACGTATCTGCTTCCCAAGAAAGCATGTTCGATGTGAGCTCTAGTGCGATCCAAGACTTTATGAAAGCGAGGGACTCTTCCCCGCAAGCGACGCAGCGGGGCCAACAATTCAACGGCCACGGCACGGCTGGGGGTGATAGCACCACCAGCCCTAGTGCTTCTCAGGGCCTCTCGCGCAAGCGTGCACGGGCAGAGTCAGACGCTGGCCCAGCCCAAGATGACGACGAGGACGATCCCTTCCAGTTCGACAACCGCGCCATTGTTCCCAACAGTCAGTCGATGCCGCCGCCGCCACCACCACGACCCTCGACCCGGGCGCCGGGCAACTCTCGCAGAGGAATTAAGAGAGTCCGAAGAGAGGATGTCCCGGTCGACCCCAGCCTGACAGGACATTCCCCTTCGGCTTCAGGCGCTCTGGTCGCTATCGAGAGCCACTCAGGCAACGGCTCTTTTGTGCAGAGCGATGATGGAGGTGGTTCGCGCTACAGCAGCACCCCGGCTTTGCCTGACATTGAGTGGCTGTCGCAGCAGTCCAAGGCTGTGTCGCTGGAGGCGCGGCAGAGAAACCCGAAGACGCCTCAAAAGCGCACCGCGTGGAGCACGCACGACTGCACCCAGCTCATCAGGGCCATTTGCGATCACGAGGCCAAATGGAGCAAAATCGCTGCGGGGATAAAAAATGGCGAGATTCCGTTTGACCGCGAGCGCGACCAGCAAGCGCTGCGGGACAAGGCGCGGCTCCTAAAGGTGGACATGCTCAAGTATGTTATAGTGCCCCTTTTCCACATTCGTATCTCGGCCTGGAACTAACGAGGCACGCCCTTCTTAGGACCGACCAGATCCTATCGCCCGGCTTCGACAATGTCGTACTGGGGCGAAAAGAACGGAGGGCAGTCGAGGAGGTGGGCAGAAACCCGGAGCGCAAGGAGGCCGACATGGAAAACGGCATCCCCACCAACACGATGAGGCCCTATCCCGATCACCCAGAGGAGAACCAGGCGGTCGCTTCCAGCGTGCCGCCTGAAGAGCGGCGGCCACAACCCCCGCTTGAGGAACGCTCACAAGGCCATACTTTGGCCGATCGTATAGTCGATTAGAGGACGACTATGGACGGGTCTCAGACAAGCGACTGGTGAGGGGCCGGTTGGGCCTGATCACGAGCATCAACAGAAAGTACATGGTGAAGCTGATGGTCTGCCGACATGCCATTATCGTTGCTTCCGAACCGGGGCACACGCACAGGATTGCCCAGCCAGGTCGCCACGATTTATATTATGGGGTACAATTCTCAGGGCCCCGCGGACCCACGCTGTGTTAATCAATTGGCTCTATTGTCTTGTTCTTTCTGCTTCCCGACCAGCAGGCGCGGTGACCGGCCCACCTGCCTCGTTTCCATGCACCCCCCGGATCTGTGGCATAAGAAGCCGAGCTCCGGCTGCTCAGGCCCATGGAAATGGCTTCCACCTTGTTGGCCGATAGAACGAACGTCTCACGAGGTTAATGGAGCAGCGAAGAAGCTGGCCGAGCATTGTATTTGTCCTGCATCGTCGTTGCTATTTGTCCTGCATCGTCGTTGCTATTTGTCGTATTTCGGTAGAGTTCCAACAGCACAGAGACATTGCGAACGCACATTCAGCCTCAATCAGTAGTCACAAAAAGATATCACTGCGCAGTGAGCGGGTTAACAAGACGGCCGAATCCCTTCTTCTTTGAGCTCCTTGCTCCATAAGGGAGCCCCGAGGAGGACGAAGATTATCGAGGCTCACTATTTACCGACCCGAGCCTCCCGTGGGCCAAAGATTAGGAGGCAGGTTGGGAAACACAGCACACGAAACAAAAAAGAGAAGTCAAAATGACCCATAGGCCACACCTTCAGCCCTAAAAGGCACTTCCTTCCACAGCTCACGGAAAGCCTAGCCGTTTTCAGGCTGCCAAAGCTGCCAGAAGGGCCTGGAGCCGGCACGATATATACTGATGCTCATCTGGAAAACAAGAACAAAATGAAGATGAAGGCGTGGGGTTCAGAGGAACACGTCCACAGGTGTATATCGACATAAAAACAGGAAAAGAGATGCGAGAAGGCGAGCGTGAGACATACAAACTCCGTGGTATGAGCCGACATGTGGTCGAAAACTGGTCGACAAAAAAGGAGGCAAAAAGAAAAAAAAGAAATAAAAAAGTAAGATACCACCGAGTCCCATTTTTGAAAGTAGAAGCGAAACCCAACGACAACAATGCTGTTGGATGATGGCTGCACGGAGTCGGGGTGCAAAAGAAAGAGCCTCAAAGCTGTAAAGTCAAAAAAGAAAAAGAGGCGACTTTGAGAAATGCTGCTTATGCCATGCGTAGAATCTCTTCCAGGGAGGGCGAGAAGCTAGAAAGGATCGACGAGAATCAGATTGGGGAATCGAGAATGTTCAAGTTGGCAAGAGTGAAAACATGGGAGCCCGTGGTGTTCATGGAGCGTAGTGGTGAGCTTGTCGTCGAGACAAGCGGATGCGAGTCTGCTCGAATCGGAATGGGTACTCGTGCATATTATTGTGGACGAACAAGCTCTCGGCAGTGAGCTTTCTTGGGGTATTGGGGTAGGACGGAAAGAAATCTATGTCCGAATGATGCACGATGTCGAGATAGCGATCGGGAACCCAATGGGGATCGGAGTCTTGGTCGTGGTGCATCCTTGCTCTAACGTTTCGGACAGGTGGCGACTTGGTATTACATAGGCTCGAAGAATGGACGAGGCAAACGCTGTCAAGCGCCGGTCGACTCGACTAGATGCGCCCGGCTGGGTAGGCGCTGCCGGGAATCATGCCGCCGCCACCGCCGGGGCCCCTGTTGGGGTTGCCCCTGGGACCCCCGAGACCGGGAAGCTCAAAGTCCGGGTTGTTGGCAAGGAGCACGTCATTCCGGTTGGGCACCGGTCGCCTCTGGGCTGGCCCAGAGAAGCCCGGCATCAGGTTCGGGGGCGGCGGGTTCCAGCGTGGGTTTATGCCCCGCTGTGAGATAGATGTGAAGTTCGACTTCTCCGACTCGGCCGGGCTTCGCGCGCCTTGCGGGATATCGTCGTAGTCGATCGCTCCGTTGTTGACTTGGATGGGAGGCGGCGGTGTCGGCCTCCCTCTCGGCACGCCTCCTGGCGGGTCGACTGGGGCCGAGGGCTGGGCAAAGCGGGGATCGATGTCCTCGTAGTAGCCGCCCCCGTTACCAGCCGCGGTAGGTGGTGGACTCCTACTTTGGCCTCCCGGAGCCTCAGGGGTGCGCCCGGCAACATGAAGCGGCGATGGCATGCGCGGCGGGTTCCGGCCTGCTTCATTCCAGCCTGTCCTTGGCGGAACATATCTATTGGACAATGTCAGCGTTGATAATCTCTCGAGTCATGGGACGGGCAGCTCTTACTCGTCAGAGCTGTACATGCTTGCTTCGCTCATGACTGTGTTCTGGCGCTGCATGGGCCGGACGCCCTGCTGTGGCCCGATGCCCTGTTGAAGCCCCACCATGCCGGCGATGTCGGCGTCGCTATCCCTGAACTGGGTGTCGTTGTTCTGGCGGTTACCATTGCCGAAGCCATTCTGAGGTGGGCGTGGGCTGCCCGAAGAGGCATCCATCTCGACCGCCCGGCCAGGGAGGGGGCCAGGGAGGGGGCCAGGGCCGGAGCTGATGCCGTCATCGACACCAGGAAGAGGGGGAGGTGACTCGGCGCGCGGCAGGTCGTCGCGGTCATCGGAGCTGTACGCAGTGTATCCACCGGCCGAAACGTTGGCTGACGAGTTGTTCGCCCCGTAGCCTCCGGGTGCCGACGGGGGTCCTGGCGACATTCCCCTAGTACCAGGGCCGTACGGCCCGGCGTAGTTATCTGGTGGAGGAGGAGGCCCCCTGCCGTCGAATTGGTACCCCGGCGGTGGCGGACGACCTCTCGTGGGCGGGCCGTAGCCTCCCCTTTGCGGAGGTCCATATCCTCCTCTACCGTTAGGCGGCGGCCCATAGCCTCCCCTGCCAGGCGGGCCATAGCCCCCTCGGCCGCCCGGCGGACCGTAGCCACCATATCCACCTCTGCCTCCTGGCAGGCCGTAGCCACCACGGCCTCGATAGCCTCCTGGAGGGCCGCCGCGGCCCCTGGAGTTCATACGGTCAAAAGAGGGACCTCTCTGCATTCCATAGGCATCGACGGGGCCGTCGACGGGGTTCCCGTATTGGTCACGCTGTCCCGGGTTGGACGGAGATCTCGATGGCTGGGGCGGTATGTTGTACTGCGCATCTCCTGGGAGCATGTCGTTGGGCACCCCGTTGGGGGAGCGGTTGGGAGGGCTGACCGAGGTCAGAGGCACCCTCTCGTCGCTGCTGCGGTCGTCCTTCTTCTCAAAGGTAGCAAAGCCGTGCAGGTTGTCGGCACCGTTGCCATTGGCACCGCTCAGGGCCGGGACAGTCGGTTGCTTCGTCTCGGAAGAGGGCGTGGTGTCGGCCGAGGGCAACTGGGCCTGGCGGTTGTAGAAATTCTCGCCACTCATCTCGGCATTCTCCTCGATGCGCTTCTTACGGGCTTTGCGGCTGACTAGAGTGCGTCGCATGGCACACGAGACAAGCCCGCTCAGCATAACCAGAATTGTGGCCGCCAGCACAAGGTAAGAGCCCCAGGCCAAGTGCGGGACGAAGAGGAGCACGTCGATCAGGAAAGCGAGCAGGCAGACGACGGTGTCGATGATGCCGACAATGAAAACAATCAGGAGGTAGCGGGCCGAGTGAGCAGCCGAGTGAAAGTGGGCAGCAATCGACATTCCTAGCATGATCAGCGTGATCAGAGCGGCGACGGGGTGGATAATCAGAATGGCCGATAGCGTGCGCCTAGCTGGGGCTGGCAGGTCGAACGTCGAGTTGTCCGACTCGGCCAGGACCCGGGAGAGGCCATCGTCGTAGCCGATCTCTATGGGGCTGCACTCGTTGCCCTTGCAGTAGCCGAAAACGCCAAAGGTGACGCCGACATACTCGCCCAGCGGGATGGCCTTGATGATCGGGGTTGAGATGACGGATATGACCAGCAGGCCGAATGCTGCAGTCAGCAGAACCGACAATGGGGTCGCGGGCCGTAACATGGTGAAGAATCGGTTCGGAGGCGTCCAGAGAGGTTTCGAGTCCAGCACAGCCGGCGTCGTCAAGACGCGGCGGAGTGGTTGCAAAGGCTCCTCCTCCCAATTTCCCTGCAGGTCGCGGTTGCGGTGGACAGTGGACGATCGAGGGTGTTTACGAGGTTCGTCTTCGCGTGATTGAGCCGAACGAGGTCTCGGGATGCATGTGGTGATGTCCCGTGTCTTGGGCCTCGAGTGCGGCGGTTCGGATTCGTGGGCAGTCGAGAATAATCGTTTGTTTTCGAGTCGCCCGGTTGGTTCGGTTCTGGCGTCCACTCTTCTCTTTTTTCAACGAGAAAACGACCCGAATTAAATGCGCCGTTTTCCGATCCAGCAGCCGGCCGCCATCAGCATACAATAACAAGTAAAAAGCTGCAACAGTGAGTAAGAACAAAGAAAGAAAGAAAATAAAGCCTCCTCTTTCTGATCGTGAACTATTGTCGGATCCGTCACGCGATTGGCGTTGTGCGCGCGCGTGCGTGGATTTTCGGGCGATCGACGAAGACGACCAAGCGAGCGGCGTGCTAATTGCTGTTGGAAAGGGGAGGAAATTCTTGGGTGATGGAGACGATGATGGTGGAAATTCCCAGGTTGGTGGTAAGGAGTGACTGGGCGGGCAGCGCTGGGCCACCACACCGGATGCCCCTGCCGCGGCTGGGAGTGCCTGCTGTTCGATGGCCCCACCAGACTGTTCGTGCGGTGGGCCAGTGAGAGCGCCTGTTGCGCCTCGACTGGACCCACAGCATGAGGTGGGTGGGGATGGGACAGGGTGACAGGGTCCTTGCGGAGAGTCTCGATGCTCGCCATGGGCTCCAAAACAGGTTAGACCGTTCAATCATTGGGCACAGAGACCGTTTTATTTCATTTCCCTCGCGTGTTCTAGGAATGGGACCGCTTCGCCTTTTTGGGCATCACTATTGTATACCTGCTGGCTACATAGTAGTTCATAGACACACAAATAGACATCATGTGCAAAGCATCAGCATCGCAAGTGCGGCATTCTCCATGGTAGTGGCTGTGTGCTTGCCCTGGTGTTTTGCAATTTCCACTCCAGACCAGACCCCTCCACCTGCGTCTGCAAGGCCACATGCAACAAGCGACGACGAAGTCTGTCTGTCAACGTGCTCATGGACGTGCTCATGGACGTGCCCGATGGAGCTCGACGCAACGTCGGGTCCCCTTCTCGGGTGTTGACCGAAGCCGGGCGGGGACACACTGGCAAATGACTACGACTGTGCCTCAGTTGGGTTCCGGGACAGCAGCAAAGATAACAACGGCTAATTAAAGGCGAAAAGCGGTCCGTCAGGCAGGTGCGCGGGCAGCGACACGAACGGGCATGATGGTGGTGAACGGCGGTGGTTGCTAAGATTGCGGTCCTCTTTTCGCGTCGGCTCCCCACGCTGGAGGTTCCGCCAGCCTAAAATACCACGTTGAAGGAAGACGCAAAGCCGTCGGTCTGGCTACTGTGGCCACCCCATATGAGTCCATGTGCGACATCGGATGTCGTGCTCGACGGGACGTGTGATGAAGAGAAGGTAGACTTGCCCCTTTCACGTGAACCCTTGGGCTTGTGCGCCAACGCAGAAGCCGCATACGAGCAAAAGACAGACACAACAAAAGGCGGCCTACTAGTTTCACGACAATGCGTGCCCCTTTGCTTTTTGGCTTGACTCCGGACAGTGCACTAGCTCGCTTCCTACATGTCGACTTTTAGGAAGTGCTTACACTCCCCTTCACACCACCCATGTGCGCTAGGCCCGGGGTTCGTCCCACGATTCCCACTGATTCTTGATGGTGACTAGCCGAACCTCTGAGAAACGATCGCCAATACATTGAATTGACCAAAGCAGGAAAGAGAGTGTGTGTGAGAGAAAGACATCAGATTGTGTGATCCAGGCCAAGTCCACCAATAGAAACCTCCCTCAGGTGCAAGCGTGACAACCTTTCTCGGCTGCAGGACAACGGCTAGCGAGCTAAACCATCAATCCCATCTTTCATCATCATGCGTCGCCCAGCCCCGACGAAGCCAGGGGAGCACTGCCACAAGCACCAGGGACGCGCTACCAGTGCATGGTGATAACCGCCAATCAATTGCTGGGTCCAACTCGTGCACCAGCAGCTCTGCAGCGTATGGTGTGATTCTTTGTTTCGCACAGCGACACAGAGGCTCGCATTTTCTAGACGGTTGTAGATGGGGGGCTGTGCTGGCCAGCCTCGTCAGCAATTTCCCTCAGAGAAGGCCATATCCTTTTGTTTCGCGGCACTAGGAACGACGATCGCCGCCGTGAGCGTAAGCGATGTGCCTCCTCCAATCCCAGCAGGCAGAGCCCCATTTTGCACGTCGACTTCTCTCAGTGGAATCGAGTGTGGAACGCCTCCTGACACCCTTGCGAAGTGCGCGGCAGTTTTGGCGGACCCTGGACAAGCGGCCTGGGTTTGTCGAGACTGAAACCCGTTGCCGCCTCCAAAAGCAACGGCGGCTACCTACCATCTGCGGGGGAAATAAAGAGTAAAAACCCACCCAGTAACAGGGGGGTTGAAACTAGAAATCGCAGGGGCCGCGGTGACTTGGGGGGATGTCACGAGACTTCAAGAATTTCTCGTCCTTTAAAAGCTTTTCTCGATTTCTCTCCTTCTTTTACTTCAATAATGGCAGTGACTTCATGCCAGCACGTGACCCCCTGTTGGGAGGTGGTTTTTTACTGTTTATTTCCCTCGCAGATGGCACGGGCCGGGAAGCATGCTGCACACACACCCCCGTCTGTTGGCGGTGTGGGTTGATTCGTTGGATTCCTGAGACTCGACTTTTTGTTTTTGTGTCTTGGGTTTGGGCTTCTTGTCCCATCGATCCGCTGCGGGGCATGACTCTTGGGAAAGCTTCTTCTGGGTGTTGCCGGTTCTGCGGCTCACATGCTAAAGAAACAAGTTGGTGCCATTGGCTACAGGTGAAGAATCAAACAAATCAAGCCGATACAGACACCATGCGTGATGATATTGCCCGTACCATAGATCTCTAATCGGGGATCGACGCTTGAAATCGGTGGCCTGCATCAAAGAAAGATGGGATAACCCACCTTGGCAGCTTGGGAGATTTCGCAATAGATAAACAACAGCATAAATTGTACCTGACTAGCTTTTCGGTGGGAAGCTGGGGCTAAGAGGGGGTGGCCTCGCATGGGTTCGAAGCTCTTCAGCTATACCTACTGTGTAGACCTACCTAGATGCTGTCCTATAATTCAGATAATTTAGCCTAGAATATGGACGGCTTGTGGTGCAAGTTCAACCGCTGCACGGCCAGCTTACTCGAGTGGATATTGAGGTAAGCACGGAGATAAGATACAGCGCTGGGTGGTGGTTTTGGCCCGAAATCTCCGCTGAAGTCGGAGCTGCGGCGTTTTGGAGCATGTCATCAATCGCAACAAAAAGTGACGAGCAGGCAAAAAAGCCTCGCTCCGTCATTCCCTTCCACCTCGCCCGGCGGCCCAGCAATTGAGTGCCGCCCACGCTCCCAATGGCCTCGAGTCGGTAGCCCAGTTTCCCTTCCCCCGACAGCCTGTGCACGCGCCGCCTTATATCTACAGGGGCCGCCATGTTTCCCCGCCTGCGCCCCGGCCTCGGCCTCGGCCCCGGTAGCCGCCTTATGCAGCTGTCGCTGTCGCGCTGCACCGCCGCCCTGCCTCTCCTCCGCCGATCCTTCTACCTGCCGTCGCACCCGTCCCGGCCTCTCAACGCCGCACTGGCAGGCAGCGGCCGCCGCATGACAGCAACAACAGCCCCAACCACCCTCGCCGCGGCCGCGCGCTCCCTCCGGACCGCCCCCTCCCCGGGGGGGCGCCTTCCAGCCCCTGGTCCCCCCGAGCCCCGCCTCGCTCGGCCGCCCGCGCACGGCCCGCACGTACGACGGCGCGCGGCGCTGGGGGTGGCGCCTGCTCCTCGCCGCCGCCATCCTGGGCGCGGGCTACGGCCTCGACCGGCGGGTCTGGGCCTCGGGCGTCTCGCGCTCGCTGCGCACCTACGCGACGGGCCTGCTGGTCGCGCTGGACTACAAGCTCAACTTCCGCGCCGTGCCGCTGCTGTCGTGGCTACCGTGGTCGGGCGAGCCCGCGCCCGTCGAGGAGGTGCACCGGCGCAACGCCGAGCGCCTCTCGGGCCTGCTGCACGAAAACGGTGGCCTGTACCTCAAGATCGGCCAGGCCATCGCCATGCAGAGCGCGCTGCTGCCGCCCGAGTTCCAGCGCATGTTCGCCCGCATGTTCGACGACGCCCCCAGCGTCGGCTGGGACGAGGTCGAGAGGGTCGTGCGCGAGGACTTTGGCGGCCGCTCGCCCCAGGAGGTCTTTGGCGTCAGCTTCGCTGGCGCCGACGGCCTCGGCGCCATGGAGCGCGAGGCCCGCGCCAGCGCCAGCGTCGCTCAGGTCCACTGGGCGCGCCTGCCCGACGGGAGGGAGGTCGCCATTAAGATACAGAAGCCCGAAATTGCGAAGCAGATAGGGTGGGATCTGTGGGCGTTCAAGTGAGTATTCGCCCTGTTTCTGCTGCATCATGCCGGGGGTAGACGTTCGACTGCTGACCGCTAGCTTCATCTCACCTACACAGAGTCGTTATGAAGGTATATACATGGTGGTTCGAACTGCCATTATACGGCATGGTTCCCTTCGTCACGGAGCGGCTGCAGCTGGAGACGGACTTTATCAACGAGGCCAAGAATTCGGAGACGATGCGGCAGCTGATCCAGGATGAGCCGAGCCTGCGCGGGCGTGTGTATGTGCCCAAGGTCTACGAGGAGCTTAGCTCCAAGCGCGTCATGACGACCGAGTGGATCGAGGGCGTCCGTCTCTGGGACCGCGACGCCATCACAAACCCCTGGTACGGTGGCAACGGCAAGGGCACCCCGGGCGTCAACGGCGCCCCGCTGACGCCCGCCCCCGACATGGCCGCCGTGCGGGCCGAGCTGCAGCGCAGTCCGGACAGCAACCGACTCAAGCCGGAGCGAGAGGGCTGGAGGGGCCGCCGCGGCACGGGCGGGCTCGGCTTGTCCAAGAAGGAGGTCATGGGCACCATCATCGACCTCTTCTCGGCTCAAATATTCAAGTTCGGCGTGGTGCACTGCGACCCCCACCCGGGCAACATGTTTGTGCGGCGCCTGCCAAACGGCCGGGCCGAGATCGTGCTCATCGACCACGGTCTCTACGTTTACATGTCGGAGACGTTCCGGCGGCAGTACGGCGAGTTCTGGCGCGCGCTCATGTCGTTTGACAACGCCGCCATCTCGCGCATCTGCGGCGAGTGGGGCATCGGCGGCGCCGACATGTTCGCCAGCGCGACGCTCATGCGGCCGTACGAGGGCGGCGACGGCACCTACCGGCGCCAGCTGCTGCTGGGCGAAGGCATGGAGCACATGACGGAGCGCGAGCGCCGCGTCGAGACGCAGCGGCGGATGAAGCAAGCCATGCGCGACATGCTGACCGACGAGGAGCGCTGGCCGATGGAGCTCATCTTCATCGGCCGCAACATGCGCATCGTGCAGGGCAACAACCAGCTCATGGGCTCGCCCGTCAACCGCATCAAGGCCATGGGCCGCTGGGCCAGCCGGAGCCTGGTCGAGGACCGCGCCGCGCCCTGGCGGGCAAGGCTGGCCGCCGCCTGGAGGCACTACGTCGTCCTGCAGTCCTTCCTGCTCGCGTCCGACGTGCTCTTCTACTTCTTCAGGATCCGACAGCTGCTCGGCCTCGGTGGCGGCATGGAGGATGAGGTCGAGGCCAGGATGAGGCAGATGGCGGGCGAGTACGGCGTCGAGCTGCAGCACAACGTGTTTGAGGGGTGAAGTGGGCGAGACTCTGTCGAGGGCATGTGCCGGATCTGCTCCACGCCACCATTAATGCCGTATAGGTGAGGATCCTAGACTCTCGGGATGTGAGGTTTGTTGTAAGATATATGTAGAGGCTCTGACGTGTCATGATTCTGCGCGTATATACCTAGACGGAGAGGTGGGCGTCTTGGCGCGATTCTCTAGACTGGCCCAACGGTGGGTCGATACCCTGTAAAACAAAAGATATGAATAGACAGATAGGCGAGGAACCAGTACAAGGTCTAGTGAGGCCATTGTATCAGCCACCAGCATGCCCCGTGATTACATGCTGCGATAGACCGAGCCAGACCTCCTGGCTGTTGGACCATCCGCTCCGACCAACACATACCTAGCTCTTGAGATGATACTAAGATGAACTCGTCCGTCGTGGTTTCGATATTGTGACGGCGGGGCTAGGGTCGCTGGGAGTTGAGCCGAGGCTGATACATCTGCTTACACGCTCATCCGCCACCAAGACCGCTAGGGGTCGGTGCATGCCAACGCGCGGACCGGTCGTAGCCACCCAGCACCATGCTTCCCCTTTGCCCGAGGGCCACTCTGCCCATATGAAGCCCAAACGACTCGGATCTGATGTAGCCGGCAGATTTCAGCTGCGCGAGGAGCGAAAGGGTCAGCGGTTCAGAGGAGCTGGGACCGAACCCCAGTGTGCCAACCCGGTTACGGCTCACCGCGCTCATGTGCCGCCTCGTTATCGAGGACCGCCAAGGATATGTTCATTTGGGCCACGTTTTCCCGCCCGGATATGGGCAGGACCTTTTCGACGTAGATGCTGCCGTTGGACCAATCTTGGACTGGACCCCAAAGAGGCTGACGGCCGGATCCCGTGCTCCTGTAAGGGACGTTCAGGGGGGTCTGTCTTATTGTACTTGCCGCCGAGGGTGGTGGAGAAGACAAAAGTCTTGTTGCCCTGCTTTGCTGGCTAGAATGTATACAGGTTTGTCGGAAGGTTGGCGTCAGGATTGTAGTTCCCAATGAGGGCATACACAATCTGCCACGGCCCATCTGGCCCGAAGATTTTCCCAAAGTCGCTGGACCCGGGCTCTGCGGCGGCAAACCCCCAGGACTCAATCAACCCCAGAGCCTCGAGCTCTTGGCAAATCTCGTCTTCAACGCAAGTTTGCCATATACGGCACGGCATGATATTGTATCTGCTCTATTAACTGGCGAGTTTGCGTAACCCCAGTTTCCTTAGATGCCACATACTGATTCCTGATTCACCAGGAAGTGGTCTTGTGGTAGGCAACCTTCGCACCGCATACTGAATTGAGCATTGAAGGAAGGCCAAGGATTATGGTAGCAATTTGATTTATTCTCAACAGGCTAGCCCAGGTGCCGCTACGCCTCCAGCCGACCGATAGAGGCCGTATTGGCCGCTTCAGCCTTGTGTCGTTGTCCGGCAAGTCAAGTGCTGTGTTGCAGACTTACCTCGGGGTCACAAGGTGATTGGCATTCCAGCCATTGAGGTGCATGCACAGGATGCGAATCCGCCCCCAAATTAGGCCCCAGGGGCAGCCTGGGAATAGCCCGCGTATACCTAGAGATCAAGATTCAGGGTGTGCATGGAACTGGCGCTGCGAAGTGCCGGATGACGGACCCTAGGCGGTGGTAGGGCTAGCTTGAACCGCCCCCGAAACCGCAGATGCGGGAGCTGCGATAAGGACTCCTCTAGGCACTCGTGTGGGCATATTGCGTCTGTTGGGGGCGGCAAGGCTGTGCCGGGTCAAAACATACAAAGCAAAAAGAATGAAGTGGTGAACTCTGTTTTATTCAATTGACGGGTATCCTTCGAAACAAAAAAACTCGAAAACAAGGCAGAGGCAACATGGCCCCATGGTCAGTGGCGTGAACGTGTGTCGTATATCCTAAGGAAAAGAAATAGGTGAAGAAAGCCCATATCCAAGAAAGCAGGTGAGAGCAAACATTATCCAAGCCGGCCCCAAGTTCCTTTGACTATATGATGACGAGAAAGAGGAGACCCGGGCAATGTGAAAACTCCAGTCCAAGTCAGAGAGTGAGAGATGGAGAGAAATGATGGACGGCCTTCAAGTGAGATGACCGTTAAGTATGTATGCTCGTTGTATGTCGAAGGAGTGTCGATATATCGGTCCCATAAATGGATGAAATTGACGCAAAGAGAGGCTTCGTAACCATGAGAAGAAAAACTCCACCCAAGATTCCAGATCCTGAGAAAACACCCCAATGCCAGTCAGTGAGGGTGTTGAGACTGAAAAAAAAAATGGAAAAAAAAAGTAGCTTGTCGTCATAGTCTCGTACAATCCGACCCAAGAGGCTCGGTTAAGTTGAAGCAATAGCATGAGTCGTGCACCGATGCTTGAGTATCCGGCCCACGAGGAACAAAATAACCGGGCTTTCGTTTTCAACGTCCATGAGCCCACGGCAGGTCCCTGTCGTCGACGCGGGTACAGGTCAGGTAGCCGACAGAGGACGAGTCCTTGCCGCCACCCCCCGAAGCGGCCGCGACGTCGAGCTCTAACTCGCTGCCCATGAGCGGACGAACGACCTCGCGCGCCATGGCCTTGAGCTCGTCGAGGCGCTTTTCGAACCGTCGTAGATTGTCGCGGCTATACAGCTCGCCGCTGAGCTTCAGGAAACGCTTGCACTCGTCGTGGCCTAGATATGCCACACTGGTCGCGGAGCCCAACGTGCGGTAAGTCCTGCCAAGCGACGCCAATGGGGGAGGCGTCAGCGGAGGGAGCGCTACCGTTGTCACATGGTTGCTGGGCCCATCGTCATACGAGCCGCGGCGGTGGTGGCTGTGATGGTGGCCGTGGCGATGATCCCTCGACGACCGGATAGGGCCGTCACGGGAAGAGGAGGACGAATCCCCACCTCCTCTTCGGTCCGACATCAGGGCCGGTGGTGATTGAGTGGGTGGCGGGCTGGTATTATCGGCCAACCACTGGCGAAACAGGCTGACGGCGAGCCAGTCCAGGTAGGCGGTCGAGGGTGAAACGCGCTCGCCGGCACGGGTGGTGAGCCCCAGTCGGAACAGGCGGCTCTCGACGCGCGTGACTGACTCCTCGAGCTCGTCTACTTTGTCCTCGATCAAGTCCAGGACCTGGGGCGGAAGGGCGGCGCGTAGACTGCGCTCACCAGCTGGCCACTGGCCCACGACATGGATGAGGGCCTCCTGAAATATGACGCGCGATCGGGCCAGGTAGGCCAGGCGCAGATAACTAATTGGATACTTTGCGATCTGGCGCCAGAGCCGCGACTGGAACTGTAGTAGGTGGTGATCCACGCGGGGGCCGACAACCGCCAAGGCATCGTACTGGTCCGCCAGCCCAAGCAAAGACTTGCATTGTACGTAGGCATCGGCAATGTTGATGCTGTCGAGCAGTGGCGGATAGTTGTACATGATGCGGAAGAGGTTGTCATAGTCGCGCAGGAGATCCTGCTCGGCCTGTGTCGGTGGCGGTAGGCTAGGTTCCCTGGACGATGACGAACGGTGATGTGTGAGACCGAGATTGGCGACGGATCTAAAGAAGCCATGGCTACCAATCGATGGCGTGTTGTGGGCCGACGAAGTCGAAGATTGATGTTTCCGTGACGAAGACGACTGCGCGCCGCCGCCTCCAAACAGAGAATTTGTCGGCGGCCTCAAGCGGTCTCGCTCTGTCGGTATCGGGCTGCTCTCCTCCTCCTTCTGCACCAGCATTGGTATATCGTTGCCACCTGCTCCCAGGTCGAGTTCGTAGCGCCACCTCTTCTTCGTGGGACCCAGCTGCTGTTGTGACGGGGTCGCTGTAGGCGTCGTGCCTACTTCCGAGGCCGTGGGATTAATGCCCAAGCCGTCAACACCGCCAGAGCCGGCAACCCGCGCAAGCTCGGTGCCTTGTGTCAGTGCCAGCGGGGCGCCGCCCTCGGGAGAGGACGGTGACGGGAGAGCCGGGACGGCGCGTGCGCGGGACCACTCGCTGCTCATGCTGGCCTCGAAGAAGCCCGAGAACCGCGTGAGGGTGTGCCGGTGGAGCAGGTACTTGTTCTCGTGGCCCGACTGAACGCGCACGACGATCTCGACGTCGCCCGAGTGGCTGAAGACAGGGAACTCGTTCTGCGGCATGTAGGCGCTGCTACTGCTACTGGTGCCGCCTGCATGTGACCGGTTGTATCTCCGCGCACGCGATGTGGACGACCTAGCGCTGCTCCCGCCGCCGCCTCCTCCTCCGCCCTCACGACCGCTGCCCGCGCCGACGACTGAGGCGGCATGTCTTTCGTTGGTTTGCGGGTAGTGGTGGTGGTGCCTGTCGCTTCCCGACGTGCTGCCCCCGCCTCCTCCTCCCGACGTTGTCGGCACCAGCGACGACGCACCCCTCAGCGCCAACGAGCTGGAGATGTGATGGTCTGGTTGTGAGACCATGAATGCGGCCCCGCCCAGTGATGGCCACGGGCGGTGGGTGTGTAGCGCTCAGGTTGGTCGGTGGAGGTGGAGGTCGTCTTTCACCGACCTTCCCGTCGTGTCGTTGCTCGTGGATATAAAATAGCTCGTGTCTTCTTCGTCGTCGTCGTCGTCGTCGTCAAAGTGTTTTCAACAGCCAGGCCCGCCAGCTTCTGGAGAGTGGCAATGCAGAGCACAGGCGCCCAGCTCGGCTCTGCTGGGGGATTGAGTTGGTCGCGTCCCCGCCAGCTAGCCCCCTCTGGCACGCACCCGGCCAGCCTCAGGAACACAAGGAAGCTCCAAATGCGTTGAAGAAAGTGGGGCGAGGACTGTGCGCAAGGTTGTTCGTGCGATGCGATGCGAGGGGAAAACAGGGTCATGCACGGGAGCTGTGGGAGAGCTAGCGCCTGTCGTTATCTTTTGTTTTTTTTGTTATTGTTAGGAAAAGAATTCAAAAAATGCGAGAGGGTGAGGGTGAGGGTGAAATTAGGCAGAGTGGGAGAGGAATAAGAGAGAGCGAGAGGGCAATTGATTACCTGCACGCGACATTGACAACTAGCGTGGCTGGAGAGACGACCAGGACTGCCTACTTGACTGACAACTGAACGGATTGCCCTGCAATCGAGACTGGATGGACGTGAAAACGGATGGCGCCGGGCGTCTGTTCGCCTGCCCCGTCCTACGAGCCTTTACGCCTCCCGACTTTGCCCCCTTCTTCTCTCTGCCTCTTGTTTCGTCCAGGGCGACGCGGGAAAATGGATTCTCAGTCGCTCCTTTCTCTGGCTCCGGAGAGGCGACTGGTGCTAAGCAGGCCAACCTGCGAGCCGCTCGGCAGCCAGAGCTGGAACCCACAGGTCAAGGGGGCGTGGGCGACAGGCGGCCGGGTTTTTTGCCACTGCAGCTCACGAGGAGAACGAGGGGCCGGCCGTCTTGGCTTCCTGATTGGCGGTCGCTGGACAACCGAGGACCCGTCTGGTCGGACCTGGATGAGTCGAACGTGGAGGTGGAGGGGCCGATTCGAGGCAACGCGTGTAAGCCGCCGAAAATCGTTGGCAGTTGATGCAAATGCCGATTGTATTGTTCCGAAACATCACCACCTGAGTGCAGGTTCTCAAGTGGGAAACAGACAAGAGTGTTGTAGATAGCAAGAGGAACAATAAAATAGAAAAAGAGCCCTCTTTCTCTCTTTGCCTTCCCTGCCGCGCCGAGTCGAGCAACGTCAGAAGAACAAAGGGAAAACAACCCAAAAGGTCGACAGGAAAAACCTGCTGCATCCGCTTGCAGGTAGATTCCTTGGTTGGGGGAGCTGCTGCTGCAGGCAGCGTGCGTGCCTGTCTCCCTGTCTCCTTCGCTGCTGCGTCTCGACGGGACCCCCAGCCATCCACAATAGCACCCGCAAACAACCGTGCCCACACCCGCTGGTGTTCCTCCTTGTCGCCTTTGGCGCCATCAATTGGCTCCCGTGGCTTCTGACCTAGGTCTGCTGCACCCACCAAAATCCGAGACCACACACCCACTCCCGTTGAAGAAAACAAAGACAAAAAAATAAGCAAAGGAAAAATGGTGACGGGGACAGCAGGGGGGATACGGAATGTGTGAAGGGGGGTGAGCGTGCCGCCGCACGCACCAGCTCGAGTTGCCGGCCCCCGTCAGAAAACGTGTGGGAACGTCGTAGAACCAAAGCTCGGAAGCGAACGAAAACGGCGAGCTGCTTCTTCTGCAGGACCTTTCAGAGCCATCACTCCCTGCAGCCTGCAGCGAACAAACGCCTCGCCAGGGACCCGCCCGCCTACATTCTGCGCGTCCAATCCAGAGGGCGACAAATCATCCGCGGTAGGAGGCCGCCGTCGGCCCAGTGGCAGTCACGGGAGCCTATTGACGTGAGTCGGTGCTTGACAGATCGTTCTGTTCTCAGCCGTCGAGGGTCAGATCCAATGAGAGACGCGGCCACTATCATCAATCAATACATGTCTCTGCCCAGGCAGGTGCTAGGTGCCTGGGAGCGGCTACGCTATTGGTTTGCTGCCTTATAGGCAAGGCATAAACATTAAAGATCTAAAGCACAGCAAACATTTGGAAGACTGCAAGATACTATCCGTCCATTTCCCATCGTGTCAGTACGATGGTATTATATTCCTTGTAAAATCCGACACTTTCCCAATGAGGTAGGCCTTCAACCACTGACAAGGGACATGACCCGCGCGGACTGGATGGCAGCTTCACTCGTCCAGGTCGGATCGGCGCCATCTTGAGACCGTATTCTTTGGGGTAAAACACCGTCGAATGCCCGGCAATTAGGTTCTGGTTGAAGTGCTGAATGCCTACCACGCTAGGTAGGTAACCAGCGTCCGACAGGTGATTTGTAAGTTGCAGCTGTTGAGATGTGATGACAACCTAAATGGATACTTTGACCAGAAAATCAGCTCTCTGGCACAACGCAACCACAATGGTCGGGCTTCAATACTATTTATGGTCACGATGTTATTGTTTTGATGCTTGCTTCTTCAGTGTCTTTCGATAGAGTACATGCTTTTGTTTAGAAAGCTTCACAGCCATATGCGTGCGTTATAACAACGCTTAGGGGTGTTGCACACTTGTGTTAAGGCAGGTTAGTTGCTGGCAGGCTCCAAGGCACCCAGGAGATTTTCGGCGACAGAGTAGCCGCTGTGCCGCCCACAGCGCAGCACGTGCAAGCACGCCAGGCTTACCAGGAACCCATCAAGTCCTCAGGCAACAAGAAAAGGGATCGGACGATCAGCGGAGTCAGCTTACGCACGGTCCTCACGGTCCCCAGAGTCTCCCCGGCCTTGGACCGACGTTGTTGAACCTTAGGTTGAGCCCCTGCGGTCAAGCTTTTAGACCGCGCGCACGTAAACGCTACAATGCCGAAGAGCCACCCCCTCATAGGTCCTCTCCCTCTCCGATGGTCGGCATATCGGTGTGCGAGTTTCTGTGACTCGCGCCACGTTGTCTTGATGACACTTGTTCGGACATATCAGGAGACACTTTCGATCAGCATGCACAAGAAATCCGGTCGCGCAACCGAAGGGATTTTTGAAGAATAGAAAGTTAATTCAGCGCTGCATCGTATGATAGGGCACGATGGCGCCGTATGGGCGTAAACTGGTGGTAGTGTTACAGACAAATGCAAGGACGCCGTCATGTCCTTGTTCCCCGAAATGAAAGCAAGTAACGCCGCTGTTTGTTTTACCTTCCCAGAGAGAAATTAGAAAATCGGGAAATTCATCCAGAGCAAGCTAAAAGAGAAAAGCTCGTTGCGCCTGGGTCGGAAATGTCGTCGTCGATTTGGATCGATCGTCCTCGTGCCGGTCCGTCATCCATACCAGCTGGCAGTGCTACCAACCAAAACGCCCAATTGACACCCCACATAATCAAACAAAGCACCAAGCCAAAGTCGTTTGAGCCAATCAGTTCATGTCCATGACAACTTCGTGGTGGGCCATGGGGTCGGCATCGACCGGCTTCGGTGTTGAAGCGGCCATCATGGTCTCGGCGCCGTCGAATGTTGGGGGCGACGACTTGAGGTTGTCGAGGGCGCGCTGGGAGTCCTGGCTGACGAGGCGTCCCTGACGCAGGTTCTCTGCGAAAAGGAAGTAGCCCTCGTTGGCCTCGACGAGATACGACTCGAGGCCTCGGCTCTCCAGTCGGATCTTGGCGTTGCTGACAGGGTAGTGGTTCTCGATGTACCTGGCCCATCCGCGAGCGGCAGCCTGGATGTGCTCATCGTCGCTGATGCGGCTCCAGCCAATGCCGAGGTGCATGGTGAAGTCGTCCACAATTGGCTGGCAGGGCGAGTCGGATGGTGATTGGGTGGCGTTGTCAGCGCTGGAGCGGATTGGCGAGCTGTCCGGGCGGGTCGAGACGTCTAGGCGGGATGACTTGTTGCTCCTCAGGGATGGGCGATCCATGGCTTGTCGCTGTTGGAGCTCAAGTGCATCTGCGACCTTGCGGGCCTCGTCACGAGCCTTCTGCTCCTCGAGCCAGGTACCAGTCTGGTTGGATGCGTCGTGCACGTAGCCAGTGCTCTTCTTGATGAGGACCATGCCCGGGCCATACTCCCACTCGTCCTCGGACTCCTTGGGGAGTTCGACCGGCGGCGGCGCCTTCTCAGGAGCGTCCAGGTTAACCGCCGCCTCGTCGCGGGACCGTTTGCGGCCCCGTGACGCCTGTGCCATGTTTTGCGCGAAGGACTGGGTCCATGAAGCCGACTGGCCAAACGACGATGGATGTGTGAATAGCTGTCTGCCAAAGGGCGCCTGGACAGCAGACTGCAGCGGCATGGTGAGGACCGGCGACGAGGTGCGACCAAAGGAAGACATCTTGCTGGTCAAGATCTGTGCTAGATTTGGGTGAGATTCTTGAATCTGGTTAGAGTTCACGCTGCCGAGTGTGCAGTGAAGTGCGGTGCTACGGTGCCTAGGAGGGTGTACGGTTAAGTGGCAGACGCGGTGGTGCTTGTAAGCCCAGGGCGCGTCGACTTAGACGACGATGGAGTGTGGAGAAGTTGGACTGGGAGGATCAATCGAGTGTAAAAGAGACGGAGTGGGATTATTGAACCATAAGTGACCAGACGGAGTGAGATCAATTGGATTAAAGAGAAAGAGGACCTATGCGTGGGAGGCAGGGTCGGAGTGTGGGAGGACGGCGGCGAGGACGACGAGGCCGAGATGGTAGAAGACGGAGCAATCTAGATAGTAGACGAGGTGTGTGATAAAAGAGTGGAGAGCTCGGCTAAGCTGACCACAAGGTTGGAGAATCGAGTATGGTAGATCCAAGGCTTGTAAGTGGTGATGGTGTAGGAAAGCTCCAAAGGAAAAGGAACGGGGGAGGCACGGAACTTTATGGGCGGGTGTGAAGTGCTCAAAAAGGCAACCGGATGGGAGGTGGAAGAGGGAACCCTAAAGAGCGGCGTGAGCGCGGAAGAGAGGGAGGAGGTGCTGCAGACAGCGATTCGTGAGAGAGCAAGCAGCCGGCCAGCTGCGTGGGGAAGCAGGCGAGGCGAGGCAGGAGCGAGGGCAAGCACCAGCAGGGCACCGGGCGTACCGGCTGTGACGTGCTGCTAGTCCGTTAATATCCACCCGTGTTACTTCCAGCCATGGATTTTTGCGCCGTAACAAGCGAGCAGGAGAGGGAAGGCAGTGTCCGCTCCAGCAACGGCACCGCGTGAGGCGTCGGGCAAACAGTTCTTTGAGTCGCGCACACTTTAGAAACGCACTGTAGGCCCACTCTTGTGGAGGGGGCCAAGCGGCCAGGAGCACTCATTCTTCGAAGGGCGGCGCGCGTTGGCCGCGCCCGCGACCTTATTGGTCATATATCGCTTTGTCAGTCAATTCAGTCAGCCAAGCTGCGCTGGGTGGATCCCGCGGAACAAGGCCCTGGCGAATCTGAGCCCTCGTTTGCCAGCAGCGCGGCCTGGCCAATGAGAGCGCGCATCGCGAAGCCGGTCCCACCCTGGTGGAACGTCCGCCCGTCGCCGTCGATTCTCCTGACACCCGTAGACAGGTGGCAGGCAGTCAGCCAGCGCGCGCTCTGCCAGGTCTCACAATCGGCAGACATGACCTGCAGGGAGACAGGGGTGCCAAGTGCAATGTGGCTCGGCAACCCCGGCGGGCTTTTGATCCGGGGCGGTCAGCGCTGGGACCTGTTTGAGAAGGAAAGATTGGCGGCTGCGAAGAAACCCCTCTGCAAACCTCCAATCCCCACCTCTTCAGACAGCCCGCCAAGCTATTCTCACCCCAGCCATGCCAATATCGCGATCTGGTGTGCTGCTCATCAGCAGAACATCTGCCGGATAAGGCGGCCTTGGCTGTGGTTGGCTGGAGCATGTGGCAGCCTCAGGCAAACACACTCTGTCCCAACAGGCCATCCTTGACATCTGAATTGCTGCACAAACCAGTATAACATGCACAATTTGCCTTTCAAGGATTGTTGGTTTGTGCACGATGTGTGAACAGACATTATGCCCGGTATCTATAGTTGCACAAATTTATCCATTTGCTAATAGGTACTTACGGTATGCGATTCTAGCTTTATCGTTAGCCTGCAGGATGAAGGATGGCAAGGAGCCAGCGAAGCATGTCGGCGTCGGTCTTCCAGCACAGTCGATATCCCATTTGGACATAGGAGCCTGGGAGGACGCCCGGGCAGCCATGGTATAGCGTAAACTGGAATAGGAAAGAATTTAAGAATCAAATTTATAAACATATTAATTCGTGCTTCCGCCAGTTTGGGAAGTCGCAATGATGCGGTGAAGGCATTGGGGACGGGACAAGAAGAAGTGAAGAGGGCAAAAAAAAAAGGTAGGGCGAACCCCCTCGTACGTTCACCTGCGCCCAGCTACCCCCTCCTCCGCATGTGGGCGCCAATACTTCACAGGGATCTTCTACGCACAGCAGAATTTTTTTGTGCTCGATGTATCCGCACTTTGCTCACCGCCAGCCTCAAAGTTTTGCCGAACCACTCAAGGTGGACCATCGTCGCCCGGGCTGGGATCCCTTGGACGGCGATCCCCCGCGAGTCTCGAAGCCCGATCGAAGAGCGCGGCGTCATCCGTGTTCTCCAGCCCTCCGTACAGCCCTCTGAACCCTGGCGTCGCAAGCCCGGGCGGACTGGGTGCCCGTCGCGGAGGGTAGCGCCGTCTCGTGGTGCCGGCGCCAGCCGCTCTAATGCTCGAGGCATCAGTCACCGTGATTCCTGTGCGCCACACGGGGGCCGTCTGGGCGCCGCTGGCGCTAGTGTTGTCGAAGAGACGACCACGATGCCTCGCTTCGGGAAGGTTCTGAGGGGTCTGTGGCTGGATCGCCGCCGGGAGCGCATCATTATAGACATGGAAGGTACTTGCTCCATCCAGCTGCAGCGGTACCGAGGACGATGAAGCCGCGGTGGTAACGGCAGGTCTCCCGGGTCTCCCAGGTCGCGTGGGCGATGGCGGACCGCGGGTGCCCGTCTCGTTCATTCTGCTGGGTGGCTTGCTGGCTGAGGTTACCCGGGCCCGCAGGGATCTGACCGTCGCCATGAGTGACCTCGTGCGACTCTCGCTCGACTATTCTCACGAACGCCATGGGTTAGCCTTCCGTTTACGAAACGAGAACGGAAAAAAGGTCGGTATATAACTGTGATCGCGGCAGGGCCGACTAACAGAGACACTAGACGGTGAATTGTCAGCCTGACCCTGCAGAGACGAGCTTCTGGACGGCGTGGCTGGTCCTCCATGCATATCGGCTGACGTAGGCTGTGCGGAGATATCAGCGGGAGTTGGGACTTTCTGGAGTTCCACAGCCGCATGGTAGCGACCGCAGATGGTTAGCTATGCAAGCATTCTCGGCAAATTGCGGGATTGTGCTCACAGGTGCGTCAGCTGCTGCCGTCGATGCGGCCACCTGAGCCCGTGAAGCCGGAAGCGGAAACCTGGGTATCGCGGTTGACGATTGAAGGGACAGCTCCGTATCTGCGGATGGATCCGATAGCAAGATTTCCGGATGAGACTGGCCTTGAGGTGCGGCACTGGACGCACTCTGGCCTGTATCTCTGGCAGCCGGAAAGCTGGGGCTGTACGATGGCTCAGTTGGCTGCTCCAGTCGACCCTCCTCTACCTCCAGGCCCACGCGGCGTTCACCACCGATCAAAACCGGACTTGCACGTTGCGGACGTCTGATTCGCAGACGGCGTGGTGTTGAAAAGTCAACAGGGCCGGGGTCACCGAGCCCGACGGCCGGCTCTCCCGACGGCTCAAACGCGTCGACTGCACCGCGGCCGCGGAGGGACTGGGCGGGCGGTGTAGCAAGCGGGTCGCGGTGCCTATGGGCAGTAATGTCGTCGGTCTTGGGGTGGTTGAGTGATCCCCGGCCTGGAGACGGCGGCGAGATCCGGATCCTGGGCTCGTGATGCTTGCCGGTCCCTGAGGGTTGCCCCTGAGCCTCGTCGGTGATCTTCTCCGCAGACAGGCGCTGTCGGTGTCGCCAACGGCTCTCGTGCTCCTTGACCTCGGCGGCGGTCAGTGCCAGGACGGTTGGCTTCAACCGCAACATCTTTGCAGAAAAGAGTTTGCACAAGAGCCGCCTTGCACCACGAGCCTTCCACGATGCTTGGTAGTGCTGTGTTCACAGCTCCATGATTCGACATCCTGAGGTACTTCGGATGATCCATGCTCATCTCTCAGCTGAACATTGGGTTTACTGAGAGGAAACATCCCATGGGTAGCACTTGCTTGCAGGCTCTTTTCCGATGTGGTGGTATAAAGGGGAAATCGCTTCCAGGAATTTGAGGCACAGGCAGGGCAGGGACGAAAGTTGTTACAGCATCACTATAGCTGGGCTGGAAAGCAAGTGCGACTTTGGATCTTTCCATCTCGGAGTGAACACAGCTGTTGGTTTCTCGGACAAAGGAGCTGGTCCTACAGCACGAGCCAGATGTGTTGTGATTGACCGGCGGCCCGCAGGATCAACCGCGACAGGAATGTCAGCTAAGAAAATGAGACATCCCTCGTGGCGAATGTAAGAAGTGTGAACAACACTAGCAAAGCAGCGAGTGAGGAGCCTTGAAGGTCCTGCTGACCTGCGTGGCTTCGGCGCTCTGAAGCGCAATCACCGACTAGGAGGCCAGGGGAGTGGTCCATATAAGTACATAATTAGCCTAGCAAGAACGAACACTCGGCACTTGATGTTGAACCCTGTGAACCTTTATTTGTATTGTTGAAATTGCGGTCGAATAGCTACCGCCCTATCGAGAGGTACTTCGCTCGTGAGAAAAAAAAAAAATGACAGACAAGAATAGGAAAATGAACGACCCAGGGGATTTAGCTCGGAGCCGAGTCAGGGTTCAGGCCGCCACAGAAAAAAAGCCGAAGCAAGCACAGCCCAGAAAAGACGCGCCACTTTCCCAAGGCTCTGGATTGGCGACTTGTATTGGACTCGGATTAGGATTTGGATTCGGACCTGGATCAATAGGATTGTATCAGGCCCCCTCCGCGGACCAGACGGGCTATTTGTACCGCAATGCACCACCTAGGTCGACCTGTTGGGAAATGACCGAGAACTGGAGTCGGCCGTAGCCGTTCAGGGCACCTCTGTACTGTAATGCTTCTGCTCTGTCCATGCCGGGTTGATGTCACTTCCTCGCGCAGGCAGACGGGGGAATTGCAAGGATGGCTCTCTCGCTCTTTCAAGATTCGGGTGGAGCACGAGCCATTATCCGCCAATCAGCGGCAGCAGCCCTCGAGCAGCCCCCGGTTTTCAGAGGACGGGTTGGGGGGTTCAGTAGCTAGCAGTGGTCGCAGCTCAATGCTGGGCTGGTTCAGTGCGCGGTGCATCCACTGCCGTGAGGCGTTTGCATGGACCTGCTAGCAACCAGTGTGCCAGTGAACCACCACCACCCAAAGAAGGTCCTCGTCTCCCGGCCGGCCGCCTTCCTGCCCCGGCCGCTGTCGTCTCTCGCAATCGCCGAGCCCCTGGCCCAGTCCTGATGCTCCCAATACCAGGGCCGGTTGCGAAGAACAACCGGGCGGTTCGTTGACGTGACTGGCAATCCCTCCGACTCTTGCTGCAAGCCCGTCGTTCGCTGGTCCACCCTTGGCAGTCCTTGCCGCTCTCCGACGGCTCCTTTCATCCCAGTCCCGACCGAGTAACCGACGACGAGGAATCCCAAGACGGAAACACCGAAGCCTGTCCAACCCACCCTCGAAACCCGCCTCGACACGAGCCCATCCGACCCTCTCCTCGCCCTTACGCCGCCTGGTCTCACAGCCATGAATGGGGACCTCAGTCTCTCGCAGGCCCTGGGCGGTCTGAGGATCGCCAATCCAGACGATGCTGTAGCCCCGAGTCCCCCGCTCAGCGGCCCCGCCGTCGACAGCAACACCGACTACGAAAGGAGAGCCCAGGCACAGCAACACCCTAGCCCACAACCTGGACTGACGGGCTTGCTCCCCGAGCCGATGTTGAGCTCATCCCACGCCGCGGGCGCACCCGACAACTCGCTTCTATCTCCTGTCCAGTCTTCGCAGAGCGCTCAGATGCCACACCAGTACGACATGGCTTCGCCCGGGACGCGGTCCCGCCCTACGTCGGCCGTCTACTCCTCCGCACCAGCCCCCGAGTCGGAAGCCGTCTCGCCAGGCCGAGAGCGCAGGCCAGACCAGGCGAGGTCGCCGATGTACGGCGGCGGCGGCGGCGGCGTCCCGCAGCGGAGCTCCTCCAATGCCGGAGGGTACAGAGGAAACGTGCCAACACGCCAGGCGAGTTATCGCGAGGCATCGTACAATACCGGCGGGTCGTCCCATCAGCAAATGCCGCAACCCGCAGGGGGTGGAGCCAACCCGCCAACAAGAAGTTCATCTAGAGGAATGGGCGGTGGGTACGGCTCGGTGCCGATACCGGGCATACCGAACGCGGCCCCCTCGAGCCAGCCTGAAGTTCCGCTGCCGGCAAGCAGTGAAGAATGGCAGGAACGCGGGGCCGCGGTCGGTGTCAGGAGAGAGGTGGACGCAAATGGGAGGACGGTCATGCGGTCCGTAAAAAAGGGCGTCAGGGACTTCTCGTTTGGCAGGGTCCTCGGAGAGGGCTCGTACAGCACCGTGTACCAGGCCACGGACCGGCAGAATCTGAAGGAGTACGCGGTAAAGGTTCTCGAGAAGAAGCACATCATCAAGGAGAAGAAGATCAAGTATGTCAACATTGAGAAGAACACGCTCAACAGGTTGACGGAGCACCCGGGCATAGTCCGGCTGTACTACACGTTCCAGGACGAGACCTCGCTGTACTACGTCCTGGACCTGTGCGCCGGCGGCGAGCTGTTGGGCGTGCTGAAACGGACCGGTACCTTTGACCTTGAGTGCACTCGCTTCTATGGCGCACAGATCCTCGATGCCATGGATTACATGCACGCGAGGGGAGTCATCCACCGGGACCTCAAGCCCGAGAACGTGCTGCTAGACGACCGCATGCACGTCAAAATCACCGACTTTGGAACAGCCAAGCTCATGCCAGACCCCCGAACCGCGACCACGCAGCAGATGTTTGAGAGAGACGCGCCAGAGGACAGCAGGGCAGCGTCCTTTGTCGGCACGGCCGAGTACGTCAGCCCCGAGCTCCTGACCGACAAGAGCGCAAGCAAAGCAAGCGACGTGTGGGCGTTTGGCTGCATAGTATACCAGCTGCTGGCCGGCCGGCCACCATTCAAGGGCGGAAGCGAGTACCTCACGTTCCAGAAGATTGTCGGGCTGGAGTACGAGTTCCCCTCTGGCTTCCCGCCCGCGGCCCGCGATCTTGTCGAGCGGTGTCTTGTGCTGGACCCGGCACGCAGGTTGACTGTTGAGCACATCCGGAACCATGAGTTTTTTGATGGTCAGGCGATTAGCAAGGAGCTGTGGCGATCCCGGGCGCCCCGGCTGAAGCCCTACGTGCCACCAGCGCAGGAGCCCCATATCATACAACTAAACGGGGGGTCGTCGTCTGCGCAGCAGCAGGTGATGGCGCCTACCCGCAGCGGTGCACAGCTGCAACAGCAGCACAGCAACGGCGGGTCAAAGTCTCAACAACAGTCGCAGCAGCAGCGCCAGGAGCCGCGGCGGATAATAACGGAGTTGCCGCCGCCGACGCAGCTCGACCTAGACTGGTCACCGGTGCTCACACGAAACAACGAGCGGATTCTGAAGCTAGGAGACCTTATGGTGATCTCTTCGCCGATATCCAACAGCCCCCACGGCAAGGGGGAACATGGCGACGGGCACAAGAAGCTTTCCCGCTTCTTCGGCGGAAGCACGACCAAGAAGCGACAACGTCTCGTCATGGTCACGTCGAGCGGGCGAATCGTTCTGGCGCCCGCGGGCGGCGAAGAGAAGAAGACGAAGCAAGAAATCCCGCTGCTTGCGGCAGATTGCACATGGAGGACACAAATGGACGTCAAGGGGCAGCCCGTCTGGTGTGTTGATACGGTGAGTCGCCCTCATTTCTACTTAGCTCGAGCCCTGGTCTTGCAGCCCTTGCAGCCTCTCTGACACGATCAAACAGGGCGGCGTCCATTACGTATTCGAAGAACCCAAAGGCTCTCAAAATGCGGGCGACATGGGTAAGATATCGGTAGACGACTGGGTCGAGTCGTTGGAAACGGCCAAGGATTTTGCACTCTCCCAAAAGCTCCTGGGAACGCACGACAGGGACAACGGCGCTTTTGGTGGGGACATGTCCTCGTCAATGTCCAGCCCGGCGAGCACGCTCGGCGGTCGAGCAAACTACCCCGAGTACGGCGAGGGCTTTTCGGTGAGCGATAGATCTGGGCGTAACCAGATGATGAACAAGAGCCAGGGAAGCCTAGAGGACCCGATCCCGGAAAAGAAGCGGAACCGGTTCAGCAAGCGACAGTCGAAGAACGGGCTGGGTGCTGCCTTCTAACGGGTGCAGAGGCATGCCATCGAAAGACGCGAGGTTGCAAGATGAAAGTGTCGAAGTGATGGATGGAAGATGGCAGCATGATGTACGGGGCAGTATAAAACCAGGCCAGGGCCAAAGCAAGATTCTTTTGTCTTCTTCTCTTCTGCTTCATTCTTTTGTTGTTTGGGAGGCATTCGCGAGGGTCTCTTTTTAGTTGCTTTTCCTTTCTCACCCACCTTTTGGAGGCAAGCATCTCGCTCCCTAGAGCCTCCGCTCATTTCTTCTTTTTCTTTCCCATTCCGTGAGGGAAGTTGACTGCTTGAAAGACACGGCACGCTTCTATTCTATTTCTTCTCGATCCCTTCGATATCACTCCCTTGTAATCTGCATTTCATAGCGAGGCGTCAGTCCACTCTTCCTGCACCTTTTTCTTCAAAGGTTGAAATTTGGCGGCCATTTTTGCGTCCTGGACAAAAAGAGCAAAGACAAACAGCATCTGGCTGGACTTCCTTGGACTACCTTTTCGTTTACCCTGAGTGTCGCGGGACGCTCTCAGTATTATTCAAAGCGTTGATGTGTGCCACTATCTGTGCTGGTTTCTGTTGCCGTCGGCGCCTGCAACCCATCAAATCGAAGCCACAGTTGAGATTTCCAATGCCATGATTGGCTGCAATGGTTTGCATGACCCACACACAACGACCCACTCATTCTCACTGCGCAGGCAAGTCGCAGATTTGGACACGGAAAGCACGCGCGACCGTGAGGAAACGACGCGCGCCATCTCCGAAGCCGCAAGATTGTGAGCAAAACCATCGTCATTTGTCATTTGCGCTCGCCGGAAACCACAGAGCCACAAACCGCCCGCGACCCATCTGGATTGGATCCGCGCCCGCCCTTGTTTGCCATACGTGTGTCCCCTTCCCCTCTAGGTTCGCTCTCTTTTTTTCTTTTTTTTTTTTTTGTAGCACAACGCACATCGCGTCAAGGGAGCCTCATTGGCCCGGCATGCAGCCGCAGTTCCGCCAGCAGTATGCGCAGCAGCAGGTGCCGCAGAGGGCGCCGCATATTGGCGCTCCACGCCGCCCGGGCCATGGTCATGGTATGTTTTGTTTTTGATTTACTTGGTTTTTGCCCTGGTTGAAAAATGGCCTTTGAGCTTGTCCGTCCGCCCCTGGGGAATCCGTCGAATACCGTAGCTTTCCCGCCTTCCCTGTCTTCCTCAAGCAAGCAAGCAAGCAAGCAAGCAAGCAAGCAAGCAACACACGCAAGCCCAAGCCCCGATCCGCCATTGAGAGTTCGAGTGCTATTTGTTCTGCCCGCCACGGAATCCACTCGGCCGGGGTGCGGGAAGCCAAAAAACCTCCCAAAAATAAGGGGCCGGTGGAAATCGCAAACCGGCTGGCGCTCTGCTTCCGCTGCCAGGGGTGGGAAAATTGGATCGGGGATCCACGCGTGTGGTGCGCGAAGCGGCTTTGGCAAGAGAAGGCCTCGGCGCCGCCTGCTCCATGCCACTTTGACTGGCCTTTGACATGCACGCTCCACACGCCAGCGAGTAAGAGAAGGAAAGAAAGCGTGGCGGCCCACCTCCCTACTGCCGAACGGCCTACCGCTTTGCTTGCTTGCCGCCATCGAAGACCGACACACCCACAGACGGACGGACAGGGCCAGAAGGACAGCAGACGAGATCCCATAGCTGACCAAGACGGCGGCGACGTACGTCATGCCCCCGAAAACAGGCGGCCAGATGATGCCGGGACCCGGCGTGGTGCCTCACCCGGGGCAGCCCATGCCCATGGTGGCGGCGGGTGGCCCGCCGATGATGCAGCAGCAGCAGCCGCACGCCAGCGAGGGCGCGCGCCGCCTCAAGAGCCGCAGGCCCACGGACAAGACCATGCCCGACGGCGTCGAGGACGCCATCATCGGTGACGGCGTCGCCCGCTACCGCGATCTGCGCGACTACGAGAGGCGCCTCGACGCGACCATGACCCGCAAGCGGCTGGACATTGTCGACCCGGTGAACAAGGGCGCAAAGGTGAGGGAATCCGGCTCTAGGATGTTTTACCCTTGGTAGACGACCGATTGTGTGCTAATGCTTGGGTCTCACGTCTAGCGTTCCAAAACGATGCGCATCTGGATCAGCAATACCGTCGACGAGCAGCCGTGGCAGGCGCCCCTGAACACAGACAGTTTCGACTTTTCGACCAGCCACGACTCGAGCTACCGCGTCAAGATCGAAGGCCGCCTGCTGGACGACGACGAGGACGAGGGCGACGAGAAGGAACATGGCAATGAGGCGCAAAATGACAAGGACGACAAGGACGCCATGGAGACAGACGCGCCCTCGACGAGCAAAGCCAAGGCGGCAGCTAAGCCGCAGCAGCGCGCGCGCTTCTCGCACTTCTTCAAGGCCATAAACGTGACGGTGGACCGGCCGGGCGTGGCACCAGGGCCGGCGGGACCGGAGCAGCTGATGGAGTGGAAGAAGCCCGAGCAGCGCGGCGGCGGCACGGCGGTGGGCAACCCGGCGGCCGACTTTGACGAGCTCACCTTCAAGCGGGGCGGCGATGAGAACGTCAACGTCGTCTTCAGCCTGACACGGCACGAGGAGCCCGAGCGCTTCTCAATCAGCCCGGCCCTGGCGGACATTGTGGACATGTCCGAGGGCTCGCGCACAGAGATCACGACGCGGCTGTGGGACTACATCCGGCTCAACGGCCTGCAAGAGGAGGAAGAGAAGCGCCAATTTCGTTGCGATCACCTCCTACGCAAGGTTCGTTCCTTTGTGACTGTATATGATAGCCCTTGACTGGAGACTTTGTTTTGCTGACCTTTCGTTGTCCGCCCATCAGATACTGGGACGAGACGTGGGTGCCATCCCGCTCCTCCAGGACTACATCACGGCGCATCTGATGCCACTACCTCCCGTCAGGCTGCCGTACACGATCCGGGTGGACCAAGAATTCCACTCGGCAGCAGGCGGCCCGCAGCCCACCATTTACGACGTGCAGGTGTTGGTTGACGACCCCCTGCGCGCGGCGCTGCCCAAGCTCTCGCTCCCGTTCGGAAGCCACCCCAACGCCGAGTACGGGCAGATGCTGCGCGAGGTGGCGCGGCTCGACGAGCAGCTCTCGGTTCTGGTCGGGGCCGTCTACGACTCCAAGGCCAAGCACGCATTCTTCACGCAGATGCAGCGCGACCCAGCCAACTTTGTCAAGGGCTGGCTGTCGTCGCAGCAGCGGGACCTCGAGGTCGTGATGGGCGAGTCGGTCCGCGGCAAGGGCGCATCCGGCGACACCATCACAGGTGGCGACGAGTGGCGGCGCGGTGGCAGAGACAGTGTCTGGGCCACCGAGAGCGCGCGCGAGGGGGTCAGTGTGCTGCTGGCGAGGCAGCCGGCCATGGCGGGGATGCGGTGATGACGGTGGCCTGGTGGGTGAACATGTGTGATTTAGGCGTCTCGAATTTCTTTATTTCTCCTTTTTTTTCTCTCTCATCTTTTTGGGTTTAAGGGCCCATGTGTAAACTTGAGCAAACAGACCGAGGCGCCCTGGCGTTGGAACGAGAGTAATACGGAAAGCTTGGCCGGGCAACCTTTCCTGCAGTGTTTGGGGTGGTCGGTGTTAGGACATGAATAATTGGCTTATCGCCGGTGCGGGACGGTGACGTCTGAGTCCGCTATCTACTTTCCTTAGCTATAAAGTTCACGCGGGCGACAGCTTTCTTGCAGCCTGTCTTGCATCCAAGATCCAAGCCACTTTGAACAAACGAAAGAAGACGCCGTCATCAAACAAACGCAAACAAAAAAACATGACGGCCATACTCAAGCCCGGCAACACGGCCGTCATCACGGGCGGGGCGTCGGGCATCGGCCTGGAGCTGGCCCAGCGCTGCGCCGGGTCCGGCATGAAGGTGCTGGTCGTGGACTGGGACTCGAAGCTTTTAGAGTCGGTGGGCTCTGTTGCCAACAACATCTCGACCGTCAAGGCCGACGTCTCCAAGCCCGGGGACTGGGCCGCCGTCGCCGCGGCGGTCGAGTCGGAGCTCGGCGGCGCCGTCTCGCTCCTCGCCCTCAACGCCGGCATCGGGCGCAGGTCGGGCTGGGACGACGCGGCGCCGTTTAGGGAGACGATGGGCGTCAACTTCTTCGGCGTCGTCAACGGCGTCGCCGCCCTGCTGCCCATGGTGAGGCGCGCGGCGGGGCCGGCGGCCGTTGTTATCACGGGGTCCAAGCAGGGCATTACGAACCCGCCCGGGAATCCTGCCGTATGTTTATTTCCCCCCCTTTTTGCGACGGTGGTATCTAGGTACCTCTCTCCCCCTAACTCTGCTTTTTTTTTTTTTGCTCGCAAAACACACAGTACAACGCAAGCAAGGCTGCCGTCCGCAGCGTGGCCGAGCACCTCGCGTACGACCTGCGCGGCGACGCCGACCCGGCCGTGCACCTCCTGGTCCCCGGCTGGACCTTTACGGCGATGACGGGCGCCGACGGCAGCCGGGAGAAGCCGGCGGGCGCGTGGCTGGCGAGCCAGGTGGTGGACCACCTGGTGGTCAAGATGGACGAGGGCAAGTTTTATGTCCTGTGCCCGGACAACGACGTGTCCGAGGACACGGACATGCGGCGCGTGCTGTGGTCCGCCGGCGACCTGGCCGAGGGACGCCCGCCGCTGACGCGCTGGAGGGAGGAGTGGAAGGAGAGGGCGGCCGAGTTTATCGAGCGAAAGGATGCGTGAAGATTTCTTGAGGGGGGCTGGCCTCTTCTGTCCATGTCGTCACGTCTTGTCATCACTTGCAGTTTAGTCGCCACAGGCGTAGGCTCCCATTTAAGCAACAGACTTCCCATCGGCTAGGCCCTCCGACCCAAGGCAAAGCCTCCTTGTCAACCACAGCTCGCTCTCACCTGGTAGCCCGCCAGGCGTCGGGGGCAGCGACTAACGACGGTAAACACCAACGGCGACAAAAGCGACGGCGGTTAGCCCCTCCCAGATCTTCTTCAATATCCATATATCACACAGCATGTTGGGTGAAAGACGGAGCGGCCCGTGGCTGGGATGGAGGCTCCCCAGGCCCGCCCTTCGCCAGATCCTCTGGCGGCTGCTGCCGTCCCCCTTGGCTAGGGCCCTGGGCTACGTCGACGCGGACGCCGCCATCCCAAAGCCCCACGCGACCTCCTGGCTTAATGGCCTTAGGGGTATCTCGGCGCTCATTGTCGTCAACATGCACATCACAGAAGCAAGTTGGCTCTCTCCCCTGCCCGTCTCGTCCCAGCAGCAGTAACCGGCCAGGCTAGCTAACCATCCCCTGACAACCCACGACCAGTCCTCGTACAACCTATTCCACCAAGCCTACGGCCTCAGCGAGGACGGGAAGCTCCATCTGGTCCAGCTGCCCCTCGTCCGGCTCCTCTTGGCGGGCCACTTCATGGTGAGCATCTTCTTCGTCGTCAGCGGGTACGCGCTCAGCCTCGGGCCGCTGGAGCTGGCGCACTCGGGCCGGAGCGGGGAGGAGCTGGCGTCGCGGCTGGGCTCGAGCTCTTTCCGGCGCATCCCGCGCCTGTTCCTGCCCGTGATCCCCGTGCTGGCCGCCACGATGGTGCCGCGCCGCCTGGGCGCCTGGTACCCGTTCGCGGCGTCGCGCGCGCCCTCGCCCGCGGCCCCGTCGTGGGCCGGGCTGGTAGCCTCGGCCGGCGCCGAGTTCATCAGCATGGTGCACGGCCTCGACCCCTCCGCCCTCGTGTCCATGTCCCAGTCCTGGACCCTGGCGGCCGAGTGCGCCAGCTCCTTCGTCGTCTTCTCCGCCTGCCTCGCCCTGCGTCGTGCGTCCTGCCGCAACCGCGCGGCCTGCGTGGCGCTGCTGGCCGCGTGGCTGGGCTACGTCAAGGAGTGGCAGACGTGCATGTTCCTGTGCGGCATGGTCATTGCCGACACGGGCATCGCGCGCCGCCGCCGCAGGAGGGCCGAGGAGGGAGTCGCTGCTGCTGCTGCTTCTGCTGTCGACAACGGCGCGGCACCCCTGCTGCTGCCTGGCCACGATGAGGAAAAGGCCTTGCCGCCGTCGACTTCCGCAGACGGTGGCGGCAGCGGCGGCGGCGGCGGCGGGCCAAGACGCTTAGCCGCCGCCCCCGCCGCAACCACCACCAGGCTCGAGACGGCCGGCTGGTCCGCCGTGCTGCTCCTGGCCCTGCTCCTGGGCGGGTGGCCCCTGGCCCCCAACGCGTTCGACGCGGCGCCCTACAGCTGGCCGGTGCGGCTGCTGGGCCTGCCCGGCCCGCTCGTGGTGCGGTACATCCTCGCCGCGGGCTCGGTGCTGCTCGTGGCGGCGCTGGACCGCCTCCCCGCCGCGGCGCGCCGCCCGCTCGACTCGCGCCCGGCCCTCTACCTCGGCGAGATCTCGTACGGCCTGTACCTGTGCCACATGCTGGCCGCGCGCACCTCGCTCAGCATCGGCCTGCGCGTCGAGCTGGAGCGCCGCTGGGGCGGCGCCCACGGCACCTGGGGCCGGCTCGCGGCCTGGGCCGTGGTCATGTTTGGCGTTGCGCTGCCGGGGGCCCTGTGGCTGGGCGACCTGCACTGGAGGTTTGTGGACAAGAAGTGTGTGCGGTTCTCGCGCTGGTTGGCTGAGAGGGTTGGAGTTTGAGGGTTGGAGCGGGGTTTGAACGCAATCATTCCTCAATGTTGGCCTTCTTACTTTTGTTTTGGTGGGAACAGTCGATCCTGCGACGGGAGACTACAGAATCTACATGTCTATTGCCTTCCTCAGCATCCTTCAGCAACCGACTCCGGCCCTGTGGGGTGATTGCTTGATCTTGATAACTCCTAAAGATATCTTCCGTGTTAAATCACTGTTTGTCTGCCCGACACTCTCATTTGTCTACTTGCGTCGCACCCTCTGGGCCCAGTGCCTTCTCCAGGCTTCCCCGCAAACACCGGCTTCCAGGCCTAGGCTGCCGCTCAAACAATCCCAGGCTGCCTGGTAATTTCTTACCACTACTTCTATATAAAGGGGGCTCCTTGGGCCCCCCAAGACTGCCTGGGAGAGCATCTGTAAGCCTTTCCGACCATCAGGGCCTTCGGTTTGTTAACAAAACGAGCCAGCACACCAATGGCCAAGCGGAAGAAAATCTCGACAACAGGAACATCTACGATAGCTCACATGTCCTCGACCTCAACATCTCCAGAGATGGACCCAACAGACCATCTCATGAAAGCCTTGGGCAGGTATGTCGCCGCTCGCCGACCTCTTGCCTGATATTGAGGAGAGCTAAACGTGGGAGATCATGCCTAGGCTTTACGGTGGCCGCGACTGGTCGGACCTGACCATATCGTGCGGTGCCAAGGACTACCTCGTGCACAAGTCGATCGTTTGCCCACGCTCGGCTTTCTTCGCCAGAGCGTGCCGCGGTCCCTTCAAGGTATGGCATGGCCCCAGACACCACTTTTTTTTTCTCCTGCACTAGCTAATATAACCCCGACTTTCGCTACCGCTGTAGGAGGCGCAAGAGGGCAAGATCAGCCTCCCTGACGACGATCCTGTGGCCGTTCACTCGATGGTGTTCTACTTGTACCACCTCAAGTATGATGTCTCGCAATCCTGGAAGGAGACAAGCGGGAAGGAGGTTCCCAAGGATGGTTCAGAGCTTGTCACGCATGCCAAGGTCTACGCCCTTGCCGAGAAGTACGGCATACCCTGCCTGAAAGAGTTGGCTCGCAAGAACTTCAAGACGGCGGCCGACGAACATTGGAACGGCGACAAGTTCTTCGACGCGGCATACGAGGCGTACACGAACACACTGGAGACCGACCGAGGGCTGAGGGACGCAGTTGTCGACACCTTGTACAATCACAAGGACTTGCTGAAAAAGGGCAGGGCCAAAGAAATGGCCAGGACGGTGGCTATGGCGGCGTTCGATCTGCTCATGCGTGTGCACGAGGACGCGGGCCCCTGGTCCTACAACACACCGTACAGGAACGGCAGGTACTACTAGGTCAAGTAGCTGGCGCTAGAGTATGTGCCGAGGTGCGGCCTCTTGACACTTCATCTAGCGATCGGGCTCTGATGGACTTGGCAGGCATTTCACTCGCCGTCACCGACATGTATCATGTTGTTTGATGTACTTAGTTTTGCCAGCCTATCGAGCAAATACCAGCCGACAGGCCACTGCACACCCCCACCAATACTGAATCTCTTGACCGTTTCCTATCCACCTACCCGATCCTATCTACAGCCGTGATGTGAGGAGTGGCTGCCGCCAGTTCTTCTGCCGTCATCCGGTCGTTCTCATCCATCAACATCCGCGCGACCAAGGCGGCAAGCAGGTCGTCCTCCGAGCCCAACAGCCTTTCCCTGACGGCATCCACGACGCCGAGCCACCGCGCCATCCTTCCCTGGGCCGGGGTCGGCGGGAGGAGGGGCTCGCGCCGGCCCCGGTCCCGCGCGATGTCTCGGATGGGCCAGGACCTGACCTGCCTCTCGCTGTCCGGTAGGGGCACGTGGCCCAGGAGGTACGCGACGACGATGCCGAGGGCCCAGACGTCGGCCGGCGCCGCCCGGCGGCCGCCCGTCAGGTACTCCCGGGGTACGTACCACGGCGTCCCGCCCGTCGAGGGCAAGGATCCGTCCACCGTGGCCAGGCCAAAGTCGATGAGGACGGCGCCGCGCTGCTCGCTGAAGAGGATGTTGGATGGCTTGATGTCGTTGTGCAGCACGCCCTTGTGACGCAGGTGGAGGAGCGCCTGCGAGATGTCGGCGAGCACCCGCACCGCGTGGGCCCGGGTGCCCAGGAAGTGCTTGTTGCCTTTGGCATCGCACCAATGCCTGCTGCCAAGGTCGCGGGCGTCGATATTATCCATGATGAGGGCCTCGAGCCTGGCATCGCCGCCGAACAGTTCGACGATGAAGTCCTCCCGGGCGAGTATAGGTTAGCTAAAGCTATGGATTAAGAAGGACAGGGGCAATCGACTTACAGATTTCAGCCTGCGGTGGATGCTGTATTCGGCCTTCCATAGCTTCCCGCGGTCCACGGCGCTGTATCTATTGGCGTACATAAAAGCCTTGACAACCACCATCTTGTCGGGAAAATCCGAGTGCCTGGCCTGAAACACCTGGGCCGAGCGCGTTTTCCCCATTAAGCCCATCCGGAAAAGTGAGTACTCCTTTGCTTCGTTGTTCATAACGTGCAACATCTGGCCTTCGCCAAGCTCGGCCAGCGAGTCGAGCCTCTTGATGATCTCGTTGCTCGCCACGGGCTCCATCTCGGCCGCCTCCTGGGTGAGGTCCTCTGGCGGCGCATCTCGTTTGGCGCCCGCCGTGACCGATAGGGTTTTGAGCTTTACGAGAGCGAAGGAATGCCGGCGCGGGAATACGACTATCTGTAGAGACCGGAGGCCGTCCGTTGAGCTGAACCGCCATGCGCCAGGGCCGACAGGTCTGTAGTCGAATCTCTCGAGGATACGGGTCTCGCCCGGCTCTCGGCTCTCGTCTTCGGGAGTGATGGGCTCGATCTGGATCTCCGCCTCGTGCTTGGAGACTGCCTGGACGGAATCTTTCTGGGAATCGTAATAAAGCTCGAGCTGCAAAGGCGAGTTGATGGTGCAACAGATATCGTCCGGACGCTGCGTGACGGCCAGGCATTCGGCAAAACGCACGTGTTTCTGATCTCCTTCACCATTGTCATCTCTTTCGGCTTCCGTCTTTTTCTCCTCGTTTTTCCTATGCCCCTTTTCTCCTTGCCCATTTTCTCTTTCTCTCTTATCCCGGCTTTCCTCTCTACCGTCTTCTTTTTCCACTTTCACACCACTCTTATCATCCCTATCATCTTTGCCCTTATCCCAACTTTCTACTTCGCACTTCCCCTCCTTTCCAGGGTATTGAATTTTACCGCGGATTTCAATTTTCTCTGCCCCTGGGACCTGCAGCGCTCCCTGCTCCTCAACAACAAGGACGCGGCACAAAAGGTGCCCTGTATCGAGCTGCGTTATCGGGAACAATTCTACATCTGTGAGCACTTCGCCGGCTAATGGATTTTCACCCTTCTCCTTCCGATGTGCCGCAAGCAATCGTTCGACTGCATCACTCGAAACGGGGTTTGTGGCCTCAGTTGAGCCAGGAGCGGCGGTTTCTACTACGGCATCTTCCTTTTTGCGGAGGTCACCCACTGCCTGCAGGATAACACCGCTCGATACTGGGTCGGTGGCCTGGGTGGAGGAAGGATGGTGCGGTGATGCAGGGACTGCGGTGGTCGGGGGATCCATCCAAGATGGGAAAGGGAGACAGTTGTACGAGAGAGAGCAGGGGCTAATCAGGAGAAAACAAAGGATATGAATCAAAGCGAAAGGGTAAAGAAGGATGAGCGGCGGTAGAAAAGAGAATGAGTAGTTGGGGATTAAAACGAGGGAGGAAGGATAGAAGAGGGGAAGAAATACACGGGTATCAGGTAATGAGCCTTTCTATCTGCACCAAGACTGCTACATAGGTAGGCTGAGCATTTTATGGCCTTTTCATTTTGTCAGTGGTTTCGCATTGCACAGCGAGTTGAGGGGTTGAATCAAGCCCCTCCCAGGCGACGGATTGGCACGCTGTCACGGCACGTGCTTCAGCACCTCCACTTGGCGGCAACGTGATTGCCCAACACGCGACGACAGTCATCGTGCAAATTCAATCGCTGCCACAACCTCAGCATCGAAGCCGCCGTAATCGCACAGCAGCGCCGTGCCGTCGGTCAAAATGAACGTCCAACTACCGCCCGTCGACTATGCCACCATGCCCGAATGGCGGTGGCCATCCTCGAAATTCGGCATCGACATGACGACGCTATTCACCGACATCTACCGAGAGTACAACATGGAGCCCTCCCCCATCCAGCAGGCCGAAGCCTTCCACCACGACGTCTACGAGATTGCGAACCGCGCATCCACAAGGGAGGAGTTCTACCGCCTGCTCGGCGAGCGGAAAGAACAGCGCCTCAGGGAACTGAGAGACGCATTTGAGTCCGTCGCAGGCGAGCTTACTGGCCGCCCGTGTTTGACCAACGACGATGGTCTCTGGGCGTCCATCGCACGCTTCACCCACCACCGGACCCTCGACAACCTCGTCGCGCACTTCGCCTCCTACATCCCTGACGGCTACTTTGAAGAGCGCCAACGAACACTCGATCGGAACTCTGCTAAACTGGCAAAACTTATGGGCAAACCTTACCGCGGTATCGACGCCGACGGCAACCGCGTTAACGGCACCAACCCGTACGAGAAGCCCGACTTGCCACATCTCCCCCAATCTTCTCTACCTCCGATGCCGCCACAGAGCAGCTGGGGGCCCAAAAAGCACCAGCCTGGACAGAAGCTACACATGCCGTCGCCGCCACGGAGCAGCTCGGGGGTTGAAGATCAAACGTCTGAGCAGCAGCTGCCTGTCACGCCGCCGCCGCAATCACCACCGCCGCGTCCCGCAGCCCGGACGAGGGACTCCGGGACCCAGACGATGGAGGGCCGCGTGACCAAGAGGACGTCAGCACCACGCAGGACAGGCGGTGCTGCTGCCCCCAGGAGAAGGTCTCTTAGGGTAGCAGCACAGGCAGAAGGATCGCGCGGTGGCAGCGGGTCAAGATACAATCTGCGATCCAAACAAGGCGCGGGAACCACAGGGAGGACCCGCGAGCGGCGAGGTGTGGCAACCAGGGCCCGCCGATAGAGCACGCGGACGTGGGGTTGGGAAGCGAATGTTGTCGCGAGAGGGAAAAGGTCGGGATTTGTGATTTTGAATGCATTTGTCGGAGCATTGCGTGGCGCTACTGGATTGATTGGAGCTGGGGGCTCATTGGCGTTTTTGATTTGGGTTACTTGGATACCAGGTCGGTTTTCTTTATATCAAGTTGATACCAGAAGTTAAGGGAGATACCAGACTCTCATGCCTCGGAACTACGGTTACTCCAGAGAGCAAAGCAGACATATATCTCTGTTGTTCATTCTAGGAAATTCATTGCCCAGTAGCTTGTGCCTTGCGCTACGGAACAAGATGTACCAATCATTTCTTAGGCGGGCCGAGACGGGAAAGCTGAGGAAAGGAATAGAAGCTAGGAAGTCGTCACCTTGTGTTATGCACACTTGGAGAAAAGACACGATCAACCATCCTGGACCATTCTGTGAGGTCCCCGGTCGTCGGTCTGGGCAGTGGCTGGATATTGGCGAGAGGGATTGCCGCCGATGCCCCTGACGTTGGTGTGGAGCTTTGACCCGGACTCGAGAGGCTTGACGTCCCCCCGTCCGAGCTAGCTTGCACTCCGCCGCGGCCTGGGGGGCCTCCAGCGCGATCTGGTTGCCGTGGAGGACGCCTCCTAGAATAGTAATGTTCCTTGGCGGCGTCCCAGGCACGCCAGTAGTTCTTCTCTTGGTCTATAGCGGCCTGGTCCATGCCCGGCCAGTTGGCGGCGATGATGTCGTTTCTGCGTTTGCACTCGCGCATCACGACAGGCGGCGGGAAGGCGTCTGGCAAGGTATTTGCGAGGTCTAAGTCTCGTGGTGTCAGCGTCAAAGAGGGACAGACCAGATATCACAAGCGTCCGGGACGTACTCGTGAAATTCACACTGGCCAGCTGGGTGGCCGGAATGGCGCTGGACCGTTGGCCCCAAAGTCGCGGGACATTCTTGAGCCATTTCTTGACGACGCGGATGTTGCAAAACATCCCGAGACTGGTATCCGCGGGGCCGTCAAAGAAGCACGCCTCGTACTTTGGTGAAAAGACGTCAAAGTCAAGCACGAAGTCGGCGCTCAGGATGACATCCACAGGGAGGTCGTCGACAACGTAAAAGTCGCACCTGGCCCTAGGCAAGCCAGGGCTGTCAGGATTGTTGCTGGCCGGCTTGCTCCCGGGCCCAAAGCCCCATTCTAGGCCGCGAACAAGGCCGCGGGCGAGCTTGGTGGAGCCGTCGGCAAATTCGATCATGATGCGGCTCTCCTCCCGGTCATCTACCACGTAGCCCTGCCGCAGCGCCATGGCGGTCGACATGGCCATGATCTCCGCGCCCGTGTCGGGAAGGGCATGGACCTCCTCGCCATCGAGATAGCCACGGATCCTGTCGGTGCCGCCCCCGAGGAGCATGAGACGGAAAAGCTTCCGGGACAGGGCGCCCGCGGTGCGTGAGATGCGGCTCTTGTACTCCGTGAATGTCTTGGTCGCCTTGAGGAACGGGTTTCCGAGCGCCAGGTCGGCAGTGAGGGTTTTCAGGACATATAAAACGAGCGTGTGGACCTCGTGTTCGCCCCTGAACGTCCAATCCGCGCGCACCTCCCCCACAGGGTAGATCGCCTTGCCGGAGCCCAGCACGATGCGCGTCTTGTTTGTCGGCAAGACCTCGAGGTTGTTCTTTTGGGCAATGGCCAGATCGATACAGCAGTTGTCGGCGCCACTGTCCGGAAGAGCATCGATGGGAATGCCGTTGAGATTGCCCGGGACAAAGACACGCGAGCTTCGGTCAGTCACTTCGGGGTGGCCCTCGCTCCACATGCGGCGTTTCTCCATTCTGTATTGAGGGATGATTTAAGAAATCCGCAGATGCCATATTAGTCCTTAGCCGCGCTATCCTAGCGCTCTACGTCTGTGTGCCTAGAAACTCGGAGGATGGCTCTATGTTCTCAATACGTACGATGTTTCCGGAGGAAAATGACGCCTCGCATTCGCCCTGAGATGCTCAGTGTATCTATCAGTCAAATCCAGAAGGGGACTTGGGGGTTTAAGAGCCATTGTATCGTGATTGCGCTCGTGTTTGTATCTTGCGATGCTGAGGTATATAGGGTAGCCGGTTGGTGTGATTTCTGATCCCACGAAGGCCTGGGCTCTGTTGACGAAATACGGTTGCAATAGATTTGGAGGAAGGATGGAGGTTGAAATCATGCAGATTTGAAGTGGGAGTAGAAAACATCGGGGTAGGTACCTAGCAGGCTGGGCGCAGAAACATGGTCAGGTGGCAGCTGAACTCATGGTGTGTTTTTCCACTTCTCAGCCACAAACAAGACAGCCCACTTCTGATAGGGAGAAGGAAGCAGCACGAACATGCATTACCGTGTAATTGGCTGTCTTGCAACAGTCTGACCGGGCGTCCCAGCGGCGGCAGTTATAGCGTCGCTACAGCTGCACTTTCGTACCGGCCGCCATCTAATGACCGCAATCGTGAGCACTCCTGCCTCCGTTGATATTTGACCCGGCATGGCTCCAGAAGTCGGCTTCGCATATGCCGCCAGGTGGATCGCCGCCGACGGCGACGGCGAGGCGCTCGTATTCCGAAAGTTCGACCGGCTCGCCGCCCGGAACCTGCTCTGCCTCCAGGCCCGCATGCTGTCCTTGGAGAGGCGTATTAGCGCGCTGGACGGCGCAGTACTGTCGGACCAAGGGCTAGCATTGACCGAGATCATGTGTGACTGGGACCTGCTCAAGCAACACAGCGAAAGCCCCGACGGCCACGAAGTGGCCAAGAAGCATATGCTGGTGCTTGAAGAACTCCGAACGGCAATCAAGGAATACCGTGAGACTCCCCTCATAATTCCCAGCAGTGAATGTTCTTCTGATTAAAAAAGGCCCCCGGCTGGGGATCCAGATGAAGCACTGGATCTGCAGCACAAAATCTCCGCGCTGAGCGCTCCGAACAAGAGGGTCGTCGGGGCCTACAGGGCCTTCCTCGAAAACACCCCCTGCCTCGGTGGCCCGTCGGGCCGGTTCCTAGACGCCCCGGACCTTGTGGCCATCAAGAGCCCGGCCGACCATGATCCCCTGTCTGAGCTGTTGAGGCGGATCTGGCCTGTCTCGACTGCAGGGGTGTGTGCCCCTCCTCTCCCTGGCATATGATCCTCCATCGACGTGCGCTGCGAGGACTTGGTTTTGACATGATGCCTTTGCGGCGGCAAACAGCACTCCGAGACGGACGTCGAGGCAGGCATCGGTCGTTTCCAGGAGAGGTCCATCGTGCGAGCTGCCAACATTGTCAGCATTGTCCTGGCCATGGCGTTGCTTGCCGGCTCCATCGTGGGCCTCTCCTTTTATAAGGATCCCTATGGCAGGATCGGCATCGTTGTCGGATGCACGATTGTGTTTGCCCTGAGTCTCGGTATCATTACAAATGCGAGGCGTCCAGAAATATTTGCAGCCACAGCAGCGTAAGAACAAGTGACTTTTCACTCAAATCAAGCAGATGGCAGGGCGTACTGACGAGCTTGCACATGATCTAGATACGCCGCCGTGCTGGTGGTATTCATCAGCACTCAGTGAAGGAAAGGATAAGTTTTGAAGCATTTCTAAAAAAAAAAAACCACCGCCCTGGTGTATTTGACATTCCAAACCGTCCGTGGTAAATCTCTGCTATAATGAGACGAGATGGATAACGAGAAGCTATATTGATACATGTCCATCTCGATCTGCTTTTTCTGTTTTTACAACTTGGCCTTGGCGGTGGGCTGCGAGTTGATCTCGGCGTACATGCGATCGATCTCGCCGCGGAAAGCCCTGGCCGTCTGAGGACGCTTGAGCTTGAGACTATTGGGGGTCATGGTTAGCGTTTCACTTTCTGAACCGACGCGGAAGAGCAATCAGAAAACTTACGTTGGCGTGAGAAGCTCGTTGACAATGGTGAAGGGATCAACAGCCAGGTGTGCGGCCCTGACCCTCTCGTAGCTGTTGAACCTGTGGCTCTTGCCAATGTCTTCAATGTGCTTCATGAAGGCCTTGTAGATCTTCGGCTCGGCGCAGGCGGCCCGGATGGCGTCCAGGTCCTCCTTGACGATCTTGCGCGAGCCGCCCAGCACCTTGGTGGCCCAGGGCGCAAAGTGCTCCGGGTCGACGCCGAAGACGGCCACGAGGGTCGACTCGATGCCGTCACCGTGCACGAAGGCGGTCGCGACCAGGTTCGAGCTGCCCATGTAGACGTTCTCAATGCGCTCGGGCGACACGTACTCGCCCTGCGCCAGCTTGAGCACGTTCTTCTTGCGGTCGATGATCTTGAAGCGGCCCAGCTTGTCGACCTCGACGATGTCGCCCGTGTGGAACCAGCCGTCGGGCTCGATGGTCTTGGACGTCTCGGCCTCGTTCTTGTAGTACTCCTTGAAGATGATGGGGCCTCTGACCAGGAGCTCGCCGCGCGGGTTCGGCTTGTCCGTGACGTTGTACTCCAGGTCGGGGGCCGACTCGATGCACATCTCGCACGACGGGCACGGGGCACCAATGTTGCCCACGGTGAAGTCGCCCACAGACTGCACCGTGCCGACGGCGTACGTCTCCGTCATGCCAAAGCCCTGGCTGAAGATGTTGCCAAAGGCGGCGCGCAGAAACACCTGCACGTCCGGGTCCAGCTGCGCGCTGCCGCTGATCATGAACCTGGCGCGGTCGAGTCCCACGGCGGCAAGCACCTTGGGCGTCCAGATGCGATCGTAGAGCAAGTGTTTGTTGGTGGCTTGGCCGGGAGGAAGCTTCATGTTGGCCTTTTTGGTAGCAATGATGTGCCGAGAAAGCGCGCCCTTGACGCCGTCGGCCTCGATGGTGGCAGCCTGGATCGAGGTGCTGAAGCGGTTGTACAGACGCGGGACAGACATGAAGCCTTGCGGGCGCAGGATTTTCAAGTCCTCGACCAGGCCCAGGATGTCACCATGGAAGTACCCGATGCAGCCGCCCTCGGCGATGATGGTCTGGTCCGTCATGCGACCATAGATGTGGGCCAGCGGCAGGTACGACAGGTGCGTATCGTTGGGGTGCACAAGACCGTTGCTGCGCGAGGCCGTGATGCCCGCGACGGCGTTGGCATGGGTGAGAATCACGCCCTTGGGGTCGCCAGTGGTGCCCGAGGTGTAGTTGATGGTCACGATGTCGTCCCTGTGCGGGGGCCGCATCGGGCGGCCAGACTGCAGGCCGATGGCCTCGACCTGGTCCATGGAGAAGATCTGGAGACCGGCGTTGGCGGCCATCTGCGAGAGCAGGGCCATCTTGGACGTGCCAGCCGGCTCGCCGGCGTCCAGAGGGTCGAGCGAGATGATGAACCTAAGCGAGGGGGTGCGCGGCGCCAGCTGTATTAAGGTAGGGATGTGAGGGAGGGAGGAGATGACGCAGACCAGCTCGCCATGGTTGATGATGTACTCGGAGGTTTCGGGACCAAGCGTCTCGTAGAGCGAAATGGGGTAAAGGGACTGCGACACGAGGGCGAGCTCGGTGATCTGCCACTCGGGGCGGTTCTGGGCCCAGAGGCCGACGCCGTACTTGGGGGCCGTGACGCCGAGCCTCTTGTGCAGCTCGACGATGCCAGCGCCGAGGTTCTTCCTCCGCTCGGCAACCTCGGCATAAGTCATCCAGACATACTTGGGCTCGAACGTCTGCGACTGCGGGTTCCAGGGGCGCCAGCCCAGGAGCTTCTTGCTGGCGCGCCTCTTGAGGGTATCCTCAAAGAGGTCGTGGAAAGTCTGGATGTGTTCGTCGTACGTGCTGAGCAAGGGGCCGTCGCGGAATCTCCAATGGCGGTAGACGGGCGAGCGGTTAGGGCGCTCGCTTCCAGGAACGGGCAGCGCATAGGGAGCGCCAGGCGGTGGCGGCTCGGCGATCTGCTTGATGTACGTGGCCGTATCGACGTTCTTTAGAGGAGACATGATTTCGCTCAAGGGGGCTGCCCGGCAATCGCCTTGTATCGTGTTGGTTGTCTGGGGGGGATGCGCTGGCGCAACTTTAAGGGAGAGTCGCGACTGGTCGCGTTTTCTAGCAGTCTAGGAATTTCCTAGTCGACGGCTAGAGATGAGAAAGGAACGAGAAGGGAAGCAGCATAAAAGCGAATGCGCAAAGGTTCAATGGTAAGCAGCGATTTACGAGGCCAGCCACACAAAGGGTCGCCTGAGTCCGATTTACAGTGCTTGTTGTTTGGCTGGCCAGCTTTCGCCATGGTCCAGCGGGGGAGGCAGGGATGGTGAGCGCGATGGGCCCCACAGTGCTGGACCTCGGCTCAACGTTTGGCTTTGCAGGTTAGCGTGCAGCTATTGAAGGAAGGAATGTCAGTATTCAAAAGGCGGCTGTTCTCAAGAGTACATCTTCTTTGCTGGTTTCCTGTTCACCAATCTCTCCCACACCTCGGAGCTGGCCGTAGCATCGCCTCGTGCTCGCCAATGCAAAGGCCAGACACAACATGCTGCCGACATGGATGTCAATCAATCTGCTGTGCTGCAGAAGCATTCGCCCAACGGCTCTGCGCCCGTAGCACCTTCCATTCTCTGCAGCCGGATTCTCTCCAGATGACCTCGGCCCCAGCCTTGGCGACTTCCCCAAGCTGGGGGAGCCAATCAGCACCGATTTATTGTTGTGGTCCGCCTGAAGCCGTTGGCATGTGACCGCGCCTGCTGTCAATGTTCCCTCGGCTTGACTCGAGATTACGCGCCACAGCCGGGGTCGCCAAGGGAATGAAGCCTCATCTGGATGTGGCTGAAAAGGCCCGGGGCCTGAGGCGTCAAAACAAGGATAGCATCAGGCTCTATCTGTATTCGAGTCCGTAGACAGCAAAGACAACAAGCCCTTGGTATGCGTCATGCTTAAGGCCGAGTCTCGGAGGCTATCGGCGTAGAGCGCCCGCTCTTCCATGGAGCATAAATCATTGCTAGAAAACTGTCAGTTGGAGAAAGGGAACTGATGAATGGAATGGAAATGGATGGAATAGAAATGGACGACGAACTGACATAAAGAGAGTTTCTAGTCTCTTCCCAGCGTGGATAAGCGGTGCAAGACAGTACGCTGCACTACGCCAATTCCGTTGTTATTCGGTTGCAGAACAAAGCTTCCGAGGACACACCACCAGCAGATTGTGATGAGGCCTGGTTGAGAGAAGAAACTTATCGGACGGACGGACAGCCGGACACGCCAAACGCCACCTCTGCAGCCCGCACTTGCTCACAAAACAATGGCGCCTATCTGGGCTGTCATTGAAAAGCGGCGGAATGCTTGGCGACAGCTTTGACATGGCAAGGGGTTCCTCCATTCACATGGGAAACGCGAGATTCCTCCCGGAAAAGACACCTTTTCTCGAGGCGGCATGGAGATCTGGCGGAATCCCGTATCATATTGCTGCCAAGCGCTCTAATCGGTTCCATCTCTTGGCCACGGGCGGGTCCACCGTGGCGTGGTGACGGGACTCGGGCGTTGTCATGCTCTGTTCGCCTGGGATTTCAACTCGGCCAGCAGCTCCGGCGTGGGTGGCCCACGATTGATGCTGGACCACCTACTCCGAATCACGCATCCCTAGCGGCAGGGAGACAGGTTGAGACCGGTGGCACACAAGCAACGCCGCACAAGCAACAGCACGGTTGATACAAGCGCCAACACGTGTCGGGCCACCTCCGGCCAGGAGCCGGATGGCTGCTGGGCGACTGACATGCTAGCGGTGGCTCTCGAGGTCGGACGCCGAACAGGAGCTTGTTCGGTCTGGACTGGGGGAGCATGGGATGGCTTGGGTCGCTGGCGTGAAAAACATGGGCATTTCCACGACAAATGGGCAAAAAGCCAACGGGGAAATGCTGGTTTCCCATGGCGTCTCTAGTGTCTGTTCGAGCCCCCACCGGGGATCCCTCCGCCAAACCGATCCTTTCCTAATACGGCCGTGGGAGGGTTCCGTCGCAGCCCACTCTTTTGTAGCAGCAGCAGAGACCACAAACACAAGGACCGCTGACCGCTGGCTGCCGGTCTGCGGGCCTCGAAACGGTGGGCATTGCGTAAGGGACCAGGGATCCCCCATGCCAAGGACCTGACATATTGGAGACTGCCAAGACCTCGATCGGTGTTTCTTGCCCTTGCTGCCCGCCATGGGTGGTGCGTTTTGGGCACCCGAGCGGAAACCCCGTCACGAATGTTGCCTCTGGAAATGACCGTCGTGGGCGAGGAAGATGAATGTGGCACTCGCGATATTGTGCCAGGTGACCAGAGCCCCATCTCGTCCGCAAGTAGGGACAGTCTAGCCGGCCCTCGAGCCCCCTTCCCGCCATCACGCAGATGCACCTCGCCCCTATATCGCCCCATCATCCCGCGGGAGGCGAGATGGAAGGTCGGGAACGAGGGCCGCCAAGGGCTAGACTGCCCTCCGCAGGGTCGAGACGGCTACTCCTGACTTGGTCGCAAAAAGTCTCTTGCTGCCTCGGCGACCCGGCTGGCACCTGCGTCTCTCCGTCTGTCTCTCTGTCTGCATGTCCTGACGAGCCGGGCGCTTTGTGCACGGAGCCACCCGAATCATACCCAAGAGGTGCGCGAGCCAGCAGCTCATCGGGCGGCGGTGGTTGCGGGGAAGGGCATATTCGACAGCTGCTGACGGAGAGTAAGTGCAGCCGAGGGAAGGGTATCGAGGCCTTCCAGCGCCACTTTCCTTTTCTTTCTTTCCTGGCGGGGCTTGCAGACAAATTCACAACTGATCAGCAGAATGCGCAACGTCAACCGCCGCCCGTCGCAATACCGAATATTCCATGCCAATGGGCCGCTACTGTCAGCTAACTTTTTGCGGTTCATCGGTCGAAGGTGGTGGGTGGATGCTCCCAAAAGCTTGGGTCTGGATGTCGCTAAGAAAAAAAAACCAAGCTTTTTCACTAAGCCGATGGGATCTGTAGCGGGCGGTCTCGGCGGTGGGCTCCTGCCTGGCACCCGCTGAAATGGCCCTGGAGCAGGCCCCTCACACCCTGTGGAGGGCCTGCAAGGGCCCGCGAGCCCGCGCTCGCTCATCTGCAGCGCGCTGGTGGGGTCAGCCCGCTTCCGGCGGGCGGGTGGGGACTGGTGCGAGCCTGCGAAACCGGGCTGGGCTGGAAACGCAACGTCAAAACGGCTCCTCCAGCAATGGAAATCCACCAGCGTTTGGCTCCAGCGTTCAATTATCGAATTCCATCTTTTCTATTCTAGCCCCAACGCCTCCTTTGATTGCCCGTCCGTGCAGAGCCCTCCCTTGCTCTCCAGCGCGTAGCATTCGACGCATACCACGCTGTGCGCTCTTCTGATTTGCCCCTCGACCTCCCACTCGAAGGCAACGTCTTGGCATTCTGGAGTCTGCGTACTGACAAGAGGCGAAGTCATCCGAAAATGCTTGAATAGGGGGCCTGTTAATCTCCTTTTGCCTGCGCGGTCCACGCTGCTCGCCCACAAGGCGTGCTGGGCACTCTTTGACAGGAAGCAAGACGGCGGCCATTCCGGTCCCCTTTTCTTTTGTTTTCCTCGAGTCCCAGAGCCCAAAGCCAGAGGGAAGAAAACGGGAAACGTCACTAGGGCGATCGCAACGCCAAGCGCCTCGTAAAGGTTTGCGTGATGTTTGGGGAGGAGGCGGGAAGCTGACCCAACCGCCACCCATCATCACTCTCTTTAGCCTTGGGGGCACTTCTCTATCCTCCAAAGGTTGGCATGGACAAGGCTGCCAGCCGCCAACGCCGGGCGACGGCACACAGAGCCAAGCACCAAGGCCAAGACTTTTTCGCCTTCGACGACCCCCCAAGCACAGCATGCATCCCCCTGTCGCAGCCCCCGTCGGCTGCCGCACAAACAACACCCTGGCATCCCCGTTTCAGATAGGCTTCAGAACCCAAAAATGCACGCGCGGGGCTGCATCGCGAAGGGCAAGGCATTGCGTCGCTCCACACACCACCCCAAGAACGACGGGTAACAAGGAACCATGGGAAGGAAAAGAAGGAAAGAGTGGGAAGATGGTAAGAGAGGCGTCGGCGCGAGTCGTTCGCCGGGACGGCAGATAGAAGGGCAATCCCATCCATTAATATGAAAAACCCGTCTCGGCAATAAAGCATAAACACTTTCCCTCCCGCCCCTCCCCCATCGACCGCCAGCTCACTCTTTTTTTCCTTGCTGCATGAACGAGAAGGTGCTTGGCTGTGTTTCCTTTTGCCCTCTTCTTATTTCCCCTTCCCTTTCGCTGCCCGTTACCTGCTGTGCCGGATCCCACCATTTCTTTCACCCTTCTCTTCCCCGTCACCAGAGCGCACCAGCCTGCCGCTTATTTTGTCCGTTTCTTCATCGACCGTGTTTTATACTCGATTCCGCCCGCTCGACGCCCATCAGATTACCAGCGGCAAACCTACCTGTTCCGCTCCTTCATCCTATTCCCTAATATCGGACACACAAGGACCTGTCAGGAACGAGAGATCCGAAGCCGGCCAGAGAAAAGCGTCGCTACGATGATTAGTCTTATCCTCCCGATTCGGGCCACTCAGGCCGTATTTTCCATCATAGTGATGGGATTGTCAGGATATGGTATGTGGCTTGCTCTGCAGTTTATGTATGGCCTTGGCTGGCACAGGAGGGAGATAGGGTTGACTAACACCACACCAACAACAGTTGCCAATTGGTACCATTTCAGCACCCTCACCGAGTCGCCGTCACAGGTCAACTTCCAGGTCTTCTCGGCCGTCTTCTCCATCCTCTCCGTTGCCTACCTGGAGGGCTCCCAGAGGTTCTTCCCGAGAGGTCAGTGGAACATGTCCCAGACAAATACCGCCCTGTGAGACACTCTGTACTAACACGACCCAACACACAGCTGCCAACCCCATCGCGGCGCTTGCCATCGAGGCCATCAACGTCATCTTCTTCTTCTCAGGCTTCATCGCCCTGGCCGTCTTCATTAACGGCCTCGTTTTCTGCCGCGGCACCGTGTGCGGCTCGGCCCGGGCCTCGACCGCCTTCTCGTCCTTCCTCTGGCTCCTCTGGTCGGCCTCGCTCGGGCTCACGGCCATGGCGCACCTGCGCAACAACGGTGGCGGCCTGAGTTTGGGGGGCTTCGGGCGGCGCAGCAGCGGCAGCGGCGCCATGTCTCAGACCCAGCCGCAGCAGCCGTCGCCGTCGGGGGGCGCGGGCCCGTCCCTGGAGAAGAAGACCGATTCCGTGGCCTAATGGACCCGCTCAGCGCCGCCGTCGGCATGCTGCCGCCGTCGCTGTCGTACCAGCCCACCTTCTTCGACCTGCCCTGGCGCAGGAAGAGCATCGCCTGGGCCGACACCGAGATGGGCGAGTTCATCGGCGGGGACCTGGACAAGAAGCACGCCGGCGGCGGCAATGGCGGCGGCGGTAGCGGCACCACCAAGGGCGGGGCCAGCCTGCGCTACACGGACCTGGCGGACGACGACAGCGGCAGCGAGAGCGGCGGCAGCGCCGACCCCAAAGACGCCCAGGACAAGGACAAGGGCGACAAGAAAACGTCGCCGCACAAGCTGGAGCGCGCGCTCAAGCGCAACTCGGTCCGGTCCGTGTCTCCGTACCTCGGCGGCAGCGGTTTCGACGTCAAGCGGGGATCGAGGGTGTTGATCTGAACAGAGATGTAATACCCTTCAACAGCTGTGCTGGATTTTCCGTCTTTTCGTTTTCTTCTCTACTTTTTCAGGGACTTGATTCAATCATATGATCCGGCGTACTATATCAAATTTCAAGGGCTTGGGTATACTTGTTTGTTTTTCTTCTCCTTTTCTCTTCTATTGCGTCGACTGCATCTAAATAGGTATAAATCGGTGTGGCGGGGAATATTTGGGACGAGGTCTTTGAGATAACTATGATCGATGGCGTCTTGAAGATGCTGGGGTGGGTTTGGTGACATCGTAATCCCGGATTGCTTTCACTGGGTAGTATCTGGAAGTGGCAATCACTGCATGATCGGATAAATAACAAGGCACGCGGTCTGCGTATCGGAATATATTGATCACCACTCGTGCTCCCGTCGATGTATATTACCTCTTCTTCCGACGGCTTGCAACTCTGCCTTCCTCAGGCCGCCAAAAGGTCGGGGAAACGAGGGCCATGCGGCAGTGGCTTGGATTCCTAGTGCACATTCGGTCGAATCCACAAGCCGCGCTGCCTACCTCTATCATGCAGGCGCATTAACACCAAATCTGAATGCGGCTTTAATGTGTCTCCGCCGTGAAAATTCAGGGAGGTCCTTGTGGGTTGATGCCATCTGCATCGACCAGGCCAACAACGAGGAAAATAATCACCAGGTCGGCCAGATGGGCACTGTTTACAGCTCCGCCGGAAGGGTCCTATTTTGGCTGGGCCCATCGAGCACAGAAACCCAATGTCTCTTGGGCTTAGCGGAACACCTCCACGGAAAAGCGGTGCAGAGACAACCAGCCAAGGGACAGAGCTCGCTGGAGCTTTGGCGGCTGGCGTGGGATGAGGTCTCGCAGGAGGCCGGGGAGGAGCCAACACAACTGCAGCACGCGCGGACACGGGAGCTCCAACGGCCGCTCGACCGGGCGTGGTTCCGTCGCGTTTGGGTTGTCCAAGAGGTGGCTCTTGCAAAACGGGTAGATGTCGTGTGCGGTCGACTTTCAGGCGCTGGCATCGGCCTTTTCCCTTCAGCCAGGCTTTATGGGGGTCAAGGTGCCGCTGCGGGTTCAGGCCTTATTGGGCGCGATGCCGGGGGCCTCTTCGCGAGAACGAGACATCATGGTGGAGAGAAGAGCGGGAATTCGGCACAGCCGTCACAAAATTCGCAGAAAGTAAAGCATCACTATCACCTAGGTCAAATATCCGCACCGCTTGGTGTGTCGTCCGATACAAAAGGTCCAAGGTGCTCCGGCCAAAATACCAGTGTGCTGAGGTGGAGATAGTTCAGGACGTTTTGCTCTTTCTAGTATACGAAGGCCACCCAGTGCCGGCGGATGTCCAACTGCCCAGGTAGACCGTCGACAAGCTGATAAAACGAATATCTGACGGGAACTGGGATGGCTGCTATTCTGGGCGCTGAAGGGAGAAACCGTAAGCCTCACTCTCGCCAACCATATAATGGGCACGCGGGTATCTTATTACGGCACTGCATACTCTTGTCAACCAGTGACCTACGTCTGCCAGCATTCTGAAAACTCTGTGTCGGAGATGTGGGTAAACATTGGACTTGGAGCTCGAATACAAGGTCCGCACAGGCTTAAACTGTACCGTGCGGCGGGGTCTTCCCCAAGTTGCCGAGACCCTTTAGATGCTAGGAAATACCGGGGGACCATTCACTGCTTTATTTAGCACTAAGGAAGCGATGCGTCTGTGTCGATACGACGTAGACCTCAACAGTAGCAACGTCTATGCGCCATCCATTGTGCGGGCGGCGTGGAGTGCGAGTGTCAGGATCATACAATTTTTGTTGCAGAAAGGTATGCGGGCCGATGGAACCCCAAGGAACTCCCGCCAGCATCTATACACAAGAAGGCAGCTTTTCATCTCCTCGCGGCTGGCCAGAAGATCGTCGAAAAGCAGCACACACCTAGTAGCAGAGTCTATCATCTGCTAACCAGAAGCGAATCTCTACTCATGTCTCAATGTATCTTGAGCTACATCGAGTTTATGCTGAAGTGCCACGTTCAGGCTGCTCCTCGGGTATGCCATCGAGTGGGAATCTCGACCATGTTTACGGATAGCCCCTTAGCAAGAAGTCTCGATATGACAAGGGCGGATCCGGACGGGCATCGTGTGTGCATCTCAACACCGCCGTTCGTCACGACAAGCCAGGGACACCACGAGGTGGCTAGGCCGTCTTTGCACGTATATCGAGACGACATCGTTGTGGACGGAGTATACTGCCCAGTGCCGTGTTCTACGGTGTTACTACCTTATACTGCAGCAGCCACGGATGGAAAGGACGCTGTGGACGTACTCCAAGTATCGGAGGTAGTGACTCATCGTGCCTCCTCACGTGCAGGTGCATGGCTCGTACATGCTATACATCCGGTCGTCCGCCCACAAAATTAGGCCTAGGAAAAACGGAACAATACACCCTCTTTTTTCCTAATCCGGAACAACCCAAGGTTGTGCCTCATACATATCACAAACCCTCTTTCTATCTATCACAATCAACTCGAAGCTATCCCGAGTCTCTAGAAGCTTCTGGACTTCAATTTTCGACGGATTACGCCCACGACGCGTGCACCCACGAGGGGACACGCGTTCGCTCCAATAGAGGGGAGAATTGCCCGCAGACTGGTAACTATCTCGTTCGATCCCTCTCTCCTCTCCCACCACCACAGCCGTCAAGATGGTGGACTATCGGGTGAATCCGGTCGAGATCCCAGAGTTGGAGGGATGGTCCAATTTCCGGGACTGGAAGCGCGCAGTAAGTGTTCACCTCCGCTTATCTGGCAACGCTGCCTTCATCTCCGCCAACCCTCCGACAAAGCCCGCCGGCGACGAAGACAGCGATGAAGTTATCGAGTGGCTTGCCCGCCGCACGCTGGCGTGGTGGTGTATCCGCGGCAGTATCGGCGAAGCCATAGGGTGCCTCGAGGTGGGCGGCTGGGATGGCATCAAGGACGACGAGAATCAAGATCCCAAGGCGCTTTGGGACAAGGTGGCAGCCACTTTTGGATCGTATCCGTATTAAAGCCGACGGCGCTCCCCTGTCCATGGGCCTCGTCCGCTGGTACCTCACCAGCCTCATGCGGAAGCTCGAGGAGCTGTGCATTAATCAGGGCCTGGCCGTCGCCTTCCTCGATGCCCGCCGGATCCACACCAGCGGCGCCATCCTCCCCCGGACCCAAAGTCATCTTCTCAACATCACCTTCACCGGCCGGCCACTCCCCTCCACCGCCCTGACGCTACCTGAGCTCCGCCATCACCCACTTCTGGATTCCGTGGAGTAATAGTCTTTAGGAAAGGGCTTGGTGTACAACTCATCAAGCTGTGACGGGGATACACTGGTCGTTTGTCATACGAATTACATTCATGTGGTTATTGGAATCGTAATGCTCTTTTTCTTGACTGTTCGCATATGGCAAGAGAAGGCGATATTGTTTCGGCAATAGACCGGACAGCGGTGACATCTCCACGGTTACATGTGCCAGTCATAATGTGGGTGATTCCCGCAACCTCTTGGCGCCACAGCTTGTAGAGCAGATCCATACAGTACATCCCTGCAGAAGTCCGCAATGCGAGAGCATTTTCCAGGAGAGTTCATGGAAGAGCATGTGGGAGTGATCATTCTGAGATGCCTTCAGCTGAGAAGCTTTGCCAGGCCTGTTCTGCAATGGTCCTGCTCAATTGAGTGCTGATTGCTGCTTATTGGGCAGACAGCTAGACGACCAACACAAGAACGTCAGCACCCCAGCGCCAACCTTCAATCGTCTCCTTCCTCCAAAACCAAACACCAAATCTTTCTTCCCCGCACAGCTAATAGACCAAACCTTACTAGATCCTAATCATGGCTACCGCGACGACCATGGAAAGGACCAACAAGCCCTCAGTCGAGGAGATCGAAAGCATCCGCCTCTCGACCCGCAACCTCGCCGTGCCTGAATATTACACGGAGCTCTTCACCAAGATGGGCGTGGCCTACTACTGCCAGCACCAGACCCGGACGACCTCGTACCTGCACCCAGCCAAATTCCGGGCCCTCCAGGCCGCCGGCGTCCTGCACCCAGCCACCTCGGACCTGCCCGCGTACGCGTTGCGGCTCTATTGCGACGATTACACCGTGCCCAGGCACCGGGAGCGGCGGCGCGACGACAAGGGCCGCGCCTACTACCTCAACCACGAGGCCAAAAAGACACAATGGGAGCACCCCGAGGCCGAGGCCGTGCTAGCGAAGGCGCGCGGGGAGGGCCGCGAAGGCGAGCCGTCGTGGTCGCTGTCGGCGGCGGTGGCGGGGGATGGCGACGCTCCGGTCACTGGCCACCGCAGGCTCCTGCGCAAGTGGGAGGAGGACTACACGGCCGAGGGGGTCCTGCCACCGTGGATCCTCGAGGAGACGGCGGCGCCGCCCGAGGGAGCGGGCTGGAGCCGCGTAAGTACTGGGTCAACTATAAAACGGGCAGCAAGAGCGAGACCCAAAGCCCGTTTGACGCTCGTGAGGCGCGCGCGCGCATCCGTAAGAGGAAGCAGCAGGGGCTGCCGGTGCACTGCACGCCCAAAGTCAAGATGTGAAGGCTGTATAGGGAGGCTTGTGATGAACAGCACAAGCCACTACCTCGATGCAGAAACCACTGGGCTGCTAGCCTAGCAAAATCCTATGTTACTAATACACAACAGAATTATTGCATGGGTATAGAAACGCTGGATACTGTAAAGCGTCCACACAACACAGCCTACCTACATGTATGCCGTAACTGGCCTTACAATGCCTCGCTCGCCCAGAGCAAAAAGAAATGGCAAAACGTACGACACCGAGGATTCCCCAGTGGTTACCCACATGAATACTAGTTCGGCCCTCATATGTTTTAGAACTGGGAGATTTTGAGAGCAAATGGGATCCCAGGCGTCTAGAAACGGGGTTTTCGCCTCCGAAAAAAGATGCCTCTGCTCTCCTTTGCTCCTAGCTAAGCGGCCGTTTGCTGCGCCCCACGTTACACACCGACTTGTATCCCCCCCCTAGACAGTGATACTAGTCAAAGTATGCCTTCTCAGAATGCAAACCAAGCACGTGGGTCCAAACCAGGGCGTTGGAGCTTAGTGTATAAAGCGGTCCCTCCTCCGAACCTTCGGTCCATTGCCTCACCATGTCCATGTTGCGGCACCCAATACCCTCACCAGACTGGATAGCTCCTTGTGGATGGACCCCCGTGAACTTGGCGCCCGAGTTGAGACGGATGCACCGTATGGCAGGGCCCGTATCGCTTTGGACCTTTACGAAGAAGCAGCCAGCCATGTTGAGCGCCTCAGTCCCGATGGGGATGTCAATGGCAAAGCCATTTTCGTCCCTGCGCGAAAAGATGGCCTCGAAAGGCCCGCGTTTGTTGAGCAACATGATGGGCTCTAGTCGCAGGAGGATGGCCAGCAACAGCTGCGGCTTGATCCAGCTGACAGCCACCACCTCGGAGACGGACTTGCACACGACGCGGCCGAGGAAGAAGTCGCGCCACGGCCACTCTTGCACGCGGATGGCCTTGAAAAAGAGGATCAGGAAGCCAGCTAGAGCCCAGCAGAAGACCGAGATGTTGAACGGGTCAACACCTTGGATTCGCTGCTCGATCGTGAAGCCCATCACCAGGCCTCCGACAACGAGCACGGCGCAGAAGCCGATAGTGCCCCAGCAATACCAACGGTACGGGATGATGATGGACTTCTCGTCGATAATCCAGCTGTCAAGCAGCCTGAGGCCGGCAGCGATCTCTTCGTTCGCCAACGACAGCTTGTGGCGCAGCGGGCTGTCGTCGGCGTCTTCGGCATCGCCGCCATCACTCACAGCCTCCTGGGCGCCGCCGCCGCCGTCGCCGCGGCGCACGGGCGTGTCGCGCGAGGCCGGCCATTTCGTCAGGGCCCTCTCCTGCGCGGTGGTGCTGTTGCAAACAGTCGTGATGGTGTCATCCCCAGCGAAGTGGTAGCTGCTGGTGCGCACCATGAAGGAGGCAAGCAGGCGTGTTTTCTCGCAGCTCATGATGGGCTTCCCCGGCGGCGCTATGAATTTTGTGATGTGGATCATGCTGCCCAGCTGGCTCGGGAAATCACCGCAGATCATGAGAAACGGGACTAGGGCGGTGATGACGGGCTTCATGGACGACAGATAGACGCGCCGGGCCCTCGACGTGCCCAAACGAATGGGAGGCGGCTCTTTCATGGAGCTGGCCGAGCTGGCCGAACCATCATCTTCAAGGGGGAGTATCTCGGTCCACTTCCAGTGGACCGCGGTGTATGACGCTGACGCTGGCTTCGTGGCTCCGTGTTCCGCCCTCAGCTTCGCCAGGACCTGCATAACGACCTCGACGGCGATGTCGGCGGAATGCAGCTCACTGTGGTGCGTGCTCCCGCAGATGGCACCCGACCGCTCCTGACAAAGCATGGCGCGCTGCTGCCGGAAGCCCGTGTCGTAGATTATGGAGCTTGCCTCAAAAGCGTCCGCCGCGGCTGTGGTGTCTGGGTCCGACATCAAGCCTCTACAAACGTGCAGCATCAAGACGCCGATGCACTGGTGGAAGCCGTCGAAAAGCCGGAAGTACTGATGTCCTTCATGTCCCATGTGCCTCTGGGCGGCTTCGAGCTGCCTGTCTCTGGGGGACTCGGATCCCTTGTTTGGCGGCGGAAAGTCCCGCTCTAGCGTCCGTCGCAGACGGCCCTCCCACCCCCCAGCCGTTGCGAGGCAGACCGCGGCCGACTTGGTGAGGTCGAGACCCACGACCTTGAGCTTTGCGGCCAGCTTCGCCAAAGAGATGATGACGTTCTGGTCCCAGAACTCACCGTCCATGGCACGCAAAAGGACCTGCGCGAGGGTTCCCGTGATGTAGTTCACCAGGGCCTGGTAACATCTGTCGTTCTCTTGTCCCAAACGGATAGAGCCCTTGGCTGTATGGATGGCGCCTTGAGGGCCGAAGTTGTCGAGTAGTCGACCGCTGGAAGCCCGGAAGTTGGCCGGGTTCGATACGATTGGGTAGTATTCCAGCAATATCAGCTCGTTATCCATGTAAGAGATTTCGGTAGCAAAGACAAGCTGCTGTGCCAGCTTGTTCAGTCGGCGGTATCCATCACCATCGGCTTCCCCGAACCATGCTTCGAGTCCTTCGAGCTCGATTGGTTGTCCGAGGTTTACAATGTCGACCAGTCGACGGGTTTCGAAGGCCCACAACTCGAGCTGCTCAGCGTCCGTGACCTGATACTGTCCCATATCGCTGAACCGGGGCAAGCGGGTAAGCTCGAAGTCATCCAGGATGGGAAATGACTCGTGAAAGCTAAGCTTCGGAATGATGTCGTCGGCTTTGAGAGCCCATGTTTTCCTTCCTGGCGCGAAGCCTTCCCGGCCCTTTGGTGTAGCTTCGGTGTTTTGTTCGTAACCCAATAGGGTCGACCGACGTCTGGGCTTTCCCTTAGCTTGGTCAGTGCTCCTTGACTTCCAGGACATGGTCAAATGCTTAGGCAGGTAGGTATCGAGCGCAGTTCAGAGGTTCGGGGTCGGGGTGGTTGGGGAGGGTCGATGCTAGACTGTGTCGGAACAACCATCGGAAGCCTTGGAAGGGCAGAACCAAACGGGACATAGGTAGCTCTTCTGTGTGAGAGTAAAGGTCCCTAGGCCACCATTATTGATGTCGGCCGCGACGGCCGCAGTGTTACCACGGAGGCCTCGTACTTCCAAATGTGGCCGAGAAAGCCTAGAATCTAGCCTGCTGGTGAACACGTCAGCATTGCCAACCAATATCGGCTGATCCGGACCAATATTGGGATGCCGAAAACGCCATGCAGCTATCACCGCAGCGCATCACGCCTGCGGGCAGGCAGACAGCCTTGGCACTGTGATATTGAACAGCCTGACCTGTGAGCCTGACTGCCTTGGACCCAGCCTTGGTCTAATACCTGCATTAGCGTTAGGCACCCAAATCGGGCATTCCGGAGCAATTTTGGCATACCGAAAACGCCATGCAGCTGTCTCCCACAGCACGATAGGTACCTATGCAGGCGGGCATGCAGGCAGCTTTGGTACCGTCACATTCTTAAAGGAAAGGCTACCTCACTGGCGCTGGGGCTTTCGGGGATTCACCATGGCATGCTGGTAACATGCTGGACCATCATTGCCTGTTTCTTGCGGCCTAGTGAACCTCGCTCACTCCAAGAACTACCTAACTCATCAGAAGTGGTTGATCCTTTGATTCGTTTCCCGACATCGCCCAACGACCAGCAAAAAATAGCAGCAACATCGAGTTAGCCAAAAATGGCCGAGTCTCCGGCTGGGTATGAGAGGTACATGAAAGCGGTCATCCGCGATGCTTCCGAGGACAAAGCTTCGGGTTCGGCAGACAAATCCTTCAATGGCAGATTCTTCGATGTGACGGAGCACTGGCTCTCGCCTAGCGAACCCGGCGAATGCGTCCCTACCGGCCAGCTCCCTGACACGGCCGTCTCGAGAAGCCGCTATGGAGAGAACTCCCTATTACTACGACGGATCCTGGTACCTCAGAATCAGCCAAAGCTCCAGCTCGAAATCCAGTCAACTTCGCTTCAGAAGGCCTTTAGCGACATCACCGACGATCTCGCGACTCTCAACGTCCATGCGAACCCCATTGTGATCCAGGCACCGTATCACGAGCTCTATCACTTCCGCAAGGAGCTCAAGGCTGCGTGTCACTCCGCGAAGTCTGAGAATCTAAGGCAGGAGCTGCAGCTTTTTCTCAACTTCGAGGACGAGCATATGGCTCGGGCATCAAATCTGAAAGAGATCGATAATCACTTACAGCTGTCGCACCCAACTATCCGGTTCGAGTATCTTTGGGCCCTGTTTAAGCCCCATGAACTCGTCCTCCTGAAAACGGTAGCCGCGGCGAGCTCGACCGTTCAGTCCTGCGCGGTGCTCGAAAGGTATTGGGTCGAGCAAGGGGGAGCCGGCTTTACCTGGCTCATCCAGGTCCGGCATATGGAATTTGACGGTGAAGGTTTTGGCGTTGTTCAGGAAACGTTCAGGTTCCCCGCGTTCAACGGGGTCCTCAACGTTGACTCTCTGCCGGCGTACCCGTTGTCTTTCTGCACTGACCAACACGGAGTGAGGAAGGCCCTCGCTGAGACGAGCAAGGCCTACATCAAGCTTTGTAAAGCGGATCCTGTCGGCTCATCCAAGACCCAAACCAAGGGCTGCCTCCGTGATTACCGCGGACCAGTGTGGGTCTCAAGGCCGAATGCTAGGTACAGCGGCGACTACAGGGAAGGCATGCGGCTTTTTGACTCACCCGAAGAAATGGTTAGTAGACCATCCTCAGACGCCAATGGACCGCGTCCTCGATTCTAGAGGTAGTAACCTAATTATTCGCTACCCCCTCTAGATATCTGGGCGCGTTCTCGTAGATCCGGCGGGCTTCATCCGCGAGAACCCCCACCTCCGCGTCCGCATCGTCGCCAGGATGTTGAAGAAAGTCGCGGGAGGCAAGGGCAAAGCCGCAGATTCGGTTACGAGCTTGGAAGAGCACCAACCCATACTTGACCCCGAGGCTCTCGAAGGAGAGGATTCAATCTGCTTCCCAGCCACGATTGCGGGCTACTCCCTCAGTACCAAGCACTGCGGAAATTTCCACGTTGGAAGCTTTCATGACGTCGCTTGGGAGGACGATGAATCCAAAAGCCTCCTAGACAGCTCGGAGAGGATGCGGCATGTGCACAGAATCGCCGCAAATTTCTCCTATCACTCCCACTCTTTCGGTTACTCCATCGGAGGGAAGGGGAGGGGGCTGGTCTACTTGTTTTATGGTCCATCTGGGACGGGCAAGACTTTGACTGCTGGTCAGGCTCCCAACAAACATCGAGCATCAAGATGAGAAGACGAATGCTGACAACTTCGCGGTCTAGAGTGCGTCGCGGAGCATCTTCACCGGCCACTGTACCGAGTGAGCGGTTCGGACCTGGGCTCAGACACATCCGACATCGAGGCCAGCCTGCAGCGAGCCTTCAACCGGATCGCCCGCTGGGAAGCCATCCTTCTCCTCGACGAGGCCGATGCCTTTATGGCGGAGCGTGGAGACGACAGCCTAGAGAGGAACTCGTTGGTTTCAAGTACTACTCGCCTCCCTGGATGGTCTCCAACTTCCAGAGCTGACATGCTGACAAAATTCCACGGCCAGTCTTACTTAGGCTGTTGGAATATCAGTCCGGCATCGTCATGTTGACGACGAACCGGGAGGATAAGTTCGACAAGGCTTTCCGCACGCGCATCCACGTCACAATCAGCTTCCCGCCAATCACCCAGAAAGACCGAGAAATCATCTGGCGCAGCCAACCGAAGAAGATGGGCGCCAGGGCCGCGGCCCTCTCTGACGAGGAATGGCTCTCGCTGAGTGAGCTGGAGCTCGATGGGCGAAGCATCAAGAACGTGTTCCACGTGGCAGGGCTGTGGGCGAGGTCAGATGGCGGCGAGGATAACCCGGTTTTGTTGGACGACATCAAGTCGGTGCTTCAGATCGCGCTTGGAAACGCATCTAAGGATGTCAAGCGACAGCTGGAAGATTTCGTGGGCCGTAAACTTTTGTCCTAAATAACTCAGCTCCTCCCTGATACCCAGTACCTAGATTGTGGAGAGAAAGCAAGGGCGAGGCAAATGCACAATGAGCCATACCCCGGAATTTAATGCCGAGATATTCAACAAGCAGCGCTATGGCTTGAGGAGCTCGCTCCCCGCATCCTGGCTGCAGAGTTTTGTCTGCTGACCAGACACCAGCCTCTAGCCTCCCAGATATAAAACGACACTCCTTTCCGCTCCTATTTGTGTGCCCCTACGTATCTTCAGAATAAGTAGGATTTCGAGGAAGCTAGAAGAACGGCTTAGGAGTCCTTAAAACTGCCTACCACCGATCCGCCTGTTTATTGTCTCTGCGAACAGCGCGTCCAGCTGGGCTACCCCCTACTACTATTCCCCTCAAGCACAAAAGCATCCAGGGAGCCCCTTCCATCATCCCCCAGGCCAGCAAAGGACAGCGACATCAACCGTACTTTCCTCACTGCACCAGGGAGCACAATCTGATCCTAACCATCAATCGTTACCATGGAGCTCTCGGCCGAGGAATGGCGGCTCTACTGCCAGCCCATCCCCAAAAAGTTCAAGCGGTGGCGTCTGTCCAACCCCGCTGCCGTGCTTGAGCGACTCTCCCGCACCACCGAGCAGTTCTGCTTGAGCGAGTTCAACGCAAGGGCCAACCTTCACAAGAATTTTTCTTCCATTTGCAGCCCCGACAAAACACTCACCGAGGCCTCCCTCATCTCCTGGATCGCTGCCAACCTCCCCGCCGACGTCGACATCGAAACCGTCCCGGGCCTCGCCGCTGCCATCCCGCTGCTATTTCGGGCCATCCAGAACCTTTCCACCTACCCTTTCACCCCTACCCAGTCTGACGCACCTACCGGCGTCACTTACGACGGCTTTTTGCGCGTAATTGCCTGGGTTGCCCTTGCCCTGGACGGCCCCAATGACCACCCAATGGCCCACGCGCGTAGGCGCTCACCCGCCGACCAACGCCGCGCCTTGTTTCAAGCCTTTGCTACACCAGCTCCGGGAAACGAGCTCCCATTCGATGAGGGTCGCTAGCGGCAAGAGGCGCGGCGCCGTGCCCTAGCTTTCTCCGCGCACGACATTGAGTTTCGAGGCGCCCGCGCGCGGTTGCAGAAGCTATCCCCATTAACCACGACGACGATGGAGACAAGATTTTTCACGATTTGGTGGATATGATTTATATATCTCAAGATCCGGTCGAAGTGGGGTCTGGACAAGTGCCACGAGCTGAATTTAAAGTGCCCGCCAGGGAGCTGATGAAAAAAGCAACTCCGCTCCGGGATTATGTAATAGGAGAGAAGGAGCTGAGGGTGTTAATCGCCGGGCTAGTACCGCTGCAGGGATGTTTTTGGTGCCCGGGGAGAACCTCCCGGTTTTCGTGGCCGATGGTGAAGGCGATAACACCCTGGCGCGTGCGTTCGAGCTGGGCGACAGCGAAGGCGAAAAACCGGGGCTTAACTACGAGATGTTTGACCGGGCTTTCGCCAAGGTCGCGGTAAGTCCCCCGTTCCTTCTTATCGCTATCCGCGAGCAAACAACCACGACTGCTGCTGACCCCTCCCTTATCAACAGCCGGCTCTTTTTGCGCCGGTTGAGCACCTCCTTGCACTTTTTATTAAGGAGCCCACCCAACAACAGAACCCGCCACCCGCCGAGGCTCTGGACAGTCGCCCCAAAGATGGTCTCCTCTCCCGGCGACGCCTGGCACAGCTTCGTACGCTGCTTCTAGCCAACGCTTGCGAACCCACTGAGGACCTAGAGCTCGGGTTCGAGTGGGTTCGGGCCGCCGTCGCTGGAGACAAAACCACGGCCGCTCTTATCGAAGCCTTGCGCGCTGAGGTCGGAGACTTTCACCAAGGCCTCCTTCTGATTCAAGGCCAGGCCGCCAACATGGAAAAGCCATACATATTCGGCTTCTACTCGTGTTGTCTTCCGACAGACGAGCATGGGATCCAGCATCCAAACCCCACCGGCAACGATCTCGTTCCCGCGCATCTTTTCCAACTCGGGCCGGTGCAGGACGGGTTCCCCGGCGTGCCGGGGCGGCCGGCGTGGGTGACCGAGGGTGAGGTTGGGGACGAGGCTGTCACGCTCCGGTTCGGCGACCCCCGGGCCGGCGCCTCGCTGTGCCTCGACCTGGCGGCCGGGCGGGCGACGTTCCGCCACAACGTTTTCCCCGCGGCGGACGGCAGCAGCGTAAGGCCGGAGCACGCCGTCGTTTACCAGTCCCCGGTTTGGCGGGGGAGCTGGGAGGTGGAGATGGAGGTTGAAAATGTTGAGCTGTGGCTCACAGATTTGTTGTGAACTGCAAGCATAACCCCGTGATATGGGCACTAGCCATGGGGGCTGATGTAATGAAGGGGAAGCACGTGCGTTGGACACGTCCGTGGTATTTGGGCGTATTTAGCCTACTTCCTTAACCTTTGGAGTACTTGATCCGGACAACAGATAAGCATAGGAGATCACAGTAGCAATTGGAGCACTGTTAGTGTTACAATCAGGCCTCTGCTCCTAAGGTAGGGCGCCTAGGGAGGTGTCTAGGAGTAGCACGTGACTTGAACAACTTAGGTAACTCGCAGGGATCTTAAGTGCGGTCTGAATGCTTGCTCTAAGGGATACTTGGAAGCTAGCTTAGGTTGACCAACGCCAAAGCCTCAGTCAAGAACTATCTAGGACAGTAGGAAGTCCTCCTTTTTATATCCTGGCCGGTTTGCTCCGAGGTACGTACACTAAGTCCTTGCTACGTTTGCTCACTTGGTAATCAAGGTAATTTGTTGTTGGAACAGGCTGGTGTGCGTGTTTAAGACTGGAGGAGGAAGGCCGGAAGGGGAGCACGTGGGTGCGGTCCCACAGCGCCCAACGATGACGGGATCGGTGGGATAGCCAAGCACCACCTGCTTTACCCCTGTCAGATGGATCTCTTCCTCCCTTGCACACGAATCAACGGTTTCCCCTCCCTACTAGAGACGATCGTCGTTTGCCATTTGACAGGCCTTCTCCGAGCTTACAAACAGGAGTACCAAGCTCCTAACAACATCTGTCTTGTTTTGTTCAAGATTGTGCTTGGCGCTTTAGCCAAGCTCGGAAAAAAATAGCAGAATCAGGAGAACGAACAGTAAGTAGGTAGGTTGCCAGCAGCCTGTGCTAGAATACTGCCAAGTATCTACCGAGTATTTTCCATCTCGGCCATCGCCAGGAACGGATGAGCCCACAGCTCATCGAGAGTCGGCCGTTCGTCGCTGCTTACGGTAAGGCACTGCTGCACAGGATCCAGCGCCTGCGGATCCTCAGGAAGGACGTCGCTGTAGTCGGGCAGTAGGAGCTCCAGCCCGGATCCGGTCCGGCCCTGCTTCAAAATCCTAGCCGCAACCGCCGCGGCCGCGGAAAAGTCAGGGACTAGCGGATCGAGCCTTTTCGACGACAAGATCTGAGCGGCAACGACGCCAAGTAGCCAAATGTCGGCCTTGCGCAGATCGCCGCCGACGGCCCGGCCAAAGATGATTTCGGGCACCGTCAAAGCGCTGGGCCGGAATGGCTGCTGGCCCGTGACGGCGGGATCGAGATAGGTAACGCCGATGCTGGCGACGGTGCGCATGTCTATCCAAATCTCTTCGGCATCGAGATAGACAACCGAAAGGCCCAGGTCGGTATACGATTCGCGAAGGCCTCGAACGACATCGCGAAGGACCTTTCGTGCCTCGGGAACTCTAAAATGTTCCCCAAAAATGCGCAGGACATCCTTTATCGGCTCATCGCTGATATACCGCGTGAGCAGGTAGGTGTGGCCCTCGTAGCGCCCTAGCCGACATAGTCCACGACGGCGTACGAACTCTGCCCGGTGCTAGGCCTCTAGTCTAGCACCGAGAGGGCCCTCTGCAGTGCCGGCTCTTCGAGATCGAGGCGCTCCGCCACCAGGTAGCTGCTGGAGGTCGCTGTACCTGACATGTCCCGAGCTCGGAAGACCGGGCCGTTGACGTCCATCCCAGAGTTTTTCGAAGCAGCTGAGTGCGAAAGTGGGGCCACTGCTTTTCTCCGTCGTTGATGGTGCTGGGGACATGTTGGCGAGTGGGTAGGTAGTGGATTGATGTTTGTTTCAATGCCTGATGTTGCCTTTGACAGCCGCCGCTCGGGAGATTGCCATGTCAGGAGTCAGAATTGGCTGCCACTTGGGATGGCCTGGGATGCCGCGGTAGGCAGGCAGATACATAGATTCATCGGTAGATAGAGTAACTTTTCACGCGTAGGCTGTTTTTGAGTTTTTGATGTTCAACGATGGAGACACAAGTCCAGGGATTAGAATTGTTAGTGCCATGGGTCGTGCTTCTTTTCCCTTCTTGATTTGTACCAAAAAGCGTCTTCCACTATGGAAAAACTGGCTCTAGATAAATGTACTACTTCTCTTCCTATTATTGTTGGTATTCAGACGAAGGACTATCCCACCGGACTAACAATACAATTTTGATTCCTGGGACCTGCATACGATGTGGGGGTGTTGAGCTTCGGTAGGACGCACCAGGAATCGAACAGAATTCGAACAACAACCGAATACGAATCGAACAAGAACATGACCAAGGCAGGGCTCGAGGTAGAAGCGCCACAGCCGCCGGTGCCGACAGAATGCTGGCCTCGACCCGGCCGCCATGGATCAGTTCAACAGCGCCGAGGCGCGGGCGCTCCTCGACACCATATACACCATCCGCGAGCTGCAGGCTGACGGCACTGCGGGCCTATCCCTGCCCCGGATCGTCGTTGTCGGCGACCGGTCGGCCGGCAAGAGCTCCGTGCTCGAGGCCATCTCGCGGGTGCGCTTTGGCCCCGTCGAGTCGGGGCATTCCACTCGCTTCGCCACAGAGCTGGTGCTTCGCAAGGCTGCGCACAGCAAGGTGTCTGTCCGCATCAGGTGGGCCGATGAGTTTTCGCCCGGTAGCAAGCCGCAGCCCAACCAGGACCGGACCAGGTTCGATAAGGACTCGCTGCCCAAAATCATCTCGCAGGCCGAGGAGATCATGAGGGTGGGCTCCGAGCCCGAGGACTTTCCAAAGAATATCCTTTGTGTTTAGATCGCAGGGCCCGACATTTACCCCCTCACGCTTGTCGACCTCCCGGGCTTTACCACAGCGAGACAGAGGGCCAGACGCTCGAGGAGAAGGCGATAGTGGACCAGCTGGCCGCGAGCTATATGGAGCGGAAAAGCAACATCGTCTTGGCTGTCGTGTCAGCCAACGAGCTGGCGAGCCAGACGGTACTCGAGCGCGCCAAGCCACGACCCGGCCGGAAAGCGTACCATCGACGTCGTTACCAAGCCCGACCTGGCCGGCCCGGGCACCACGGATAAAAAAAAACTGTCTGAGGCTCGTAAACGGCTACGACAAAACCTACAAGCTGGCTCTTGGCTGGCACGTCCTGCACAACCTCCCGCAGCAGGGTCAGAAGACCTCTGCCGACGACCGGGACGCCAAAAAAGACGCCTTCTTTAGAGAGGGCAGGTGGGGGTCCATCTCTCCCCCGCGCAGGGGCGCCGAAGAGCTGCGGAAAAAGCTTAGCAAGGTTTTGCTGGAACATATCCGACTGGGCCTGCCCAATGTCGTGTCCAAAATCGAAGAGAGCCTGCGCGACCGCGAAAAGCGGCTCGAGCGCGTGGGTAAAAGCTCGCGCGAAACCACGGACGAGGTTCGGTCCTACCTGCTCGACATCCCCGACCGGTTCCAAAGGCTGGGACGCGACGGTATCGAAGGCCGGTACGCCGATTCCTTCTTTGGCGACCTTTACGACGGCGGCCGCAAAATCAGGGCCCAGCTTCGGAATCTCAATTCCGCGTTCGGCGAGACGCTTTCGGGCAAGGGCGCCAAGTACAGCATCCTGTCGGACGCCGGCGGCCTGTTCGCGGCCCGGGAGAACGGCAGGCTCCCCGAAATGCTCCAGCCGTTTCTTGGTCTTTACTCGCGCTTTCCAGACCCCGAGCCCATCGCCGAGGAGGAACTTTGCCGCAGGCTCAACCTCCTGGCATCCATCAACGGCGGCATGGAGCTCCCCGGCGCTCCCAACTCGGGTCTTGTGGCGCAGCTCTTCAAAGAACAGGCCCAGCCATGGCGTGACATAGCTGCCCTTCATCTGGAGCTTGTTTCCAACTACACCAAGTCCTTTGTGGAGCAGCTGATTGGGCACGTCATCGCCGGCAGTTCCGGTTCCGAGCCGGCACTAGCGGATGGCGGCCCTGCTACCAACAGAACCGTCGTCGCCGTCCTGTGCGGGCTTGTTGATCCTTTTTTCGAAGCTAAAGCAGAGGTTCTTCGCGCTAAGCTCGACGAGCTGCTGAGGCCTTATACGACGGGATTTAATATCCCGCTTGAACTTAAGCCGGAAATGAGCGGGCAATATGGGATAGGTTGAATTTCATGTCCTATTACATACTATCGTCCAAGTTATTTTTTAAATACATAGCAGGTGATATAAGCCGTTGAACTCTACCAAAAGACAGCGTTAAATACGACGGAGGCCACGTAATGTAACGGTGGAATATAGCACGACTTAGGACACGGGAAAAAAAACCCTTAAACGTGGTGGTGGGAGAAATAAAGAGAAATTCAAAGTAAAAACCAATGGTTTAATGTAATAATGAAAATAAAAAAGCACAGTACGCCCGAAACGCTAATAAACAATGACAAAAACAAACCCAACGCTTAAAAACAAGCCGTTTAAAAAACAAAACAAACGAAAATGCAAAAAAAGAAAAAAAAAAAGAAAAAAAAAAAGAAAAAAAAAAGGGCAAACCAAAAGATGGGTTGAAAGAAAGCGATAAAAGCAAAGACTCCACGCTCCTACAAATTCCAACGCTAATAAAAATGAGAAAGCCGGGCAGCTTTATACGCCGCCGGCACGGAGGGCAGCGGCCGTCCGTTTAGCAGCCCGACCACATGCCCGTACCGCACACGGCGGCGGAAACCATGCCCCCACCGGCGCCCGTCGGATTCCCGACGGTGCGCCCGCCGGTGCGCCCGCCGGTGCGCCCGCCGGTGCGCCGGGCGGTCAGCCTCGGGGCGGTTTGCTCGGGCTCTTCGTCGGCGGCGGGGGCCTCGTCGGCCACCTCGTCGGCCACCTCGTCGCGGGCAACGAGCGGCTGCGCGGCGGCGCCCGCGGCGGACGCGGAGACGTCCCGATTGGCGATGCGGACGGCGGCCGCGTCGCTCCCGGTGACGGCCAGGGGCGCGGCGGCGACCTGGGTGGCGGCCAGGAGGGTGATAAGGGTAGCGGCGGAGAAGTGCATTTTTGCTTTGGTGATGTTTGATATGTGGGAGAGTGTTGATGGGCAACGCCTAGGTTATCGAGAAGGTGGGAGGCAATGCGAAACGCTGTAGCTAACAGATTCGAGTGGTTGGTGGTTTGTGGAGGAGAGGCTGGAAGGATCAGTAGTGGATGATGATGGAGAGGAGAAATTACAAAACTTGTTGAGGTTGGAGAGCAGCGCATTTATACTGTCGTTTTCGTCCTTTGAGTCTGTAGGTGCTTTTATTTCCGGGCTGGGGGAGCGTTCTCGATTGCTAAAAATGGACATCTGAGCTCGGGGCTTTGTGAGGGTAGCGTTAATGGCATCACCCGCGGCCACGAGTCGTGGCGTTGCTGCGGGTGGCCAGAGCGCTGGGATCGGCACATGGGTTGCGCGTGGAGAAACGCGTCAAAATAGAAACCAATGACGAGATTGGTCCCGATTTAGTGCTGTCAAAAGGAAAGAATGATGAAACCGCTGTGGCTGCGTTGGAAACAAAACATGCACGTGCGGAGTGCTACCGAAGGCTTGTTCCTAAAGGTCGATAGCAATTTATGCACGACGATACTCGGAGCCAGGAATGGGGGGTTATTTGGGCCCGTCCTCACCTGGATGCCCAGGAAGAGAACATGGAACCGACAAACTTTTTAGTGTTGGGTGCTTCCAGCGCACCTGGCTCATGCTTCCTCGGCCCACTCCCTTTCTTGAATTAACTTCTCTTCTTTTATAGCTTTCCCGGCGCCGTGCTCGCGCCCCTGTCTCTCGTCCCCGCCGCCTGGTCACTGAGGGGAGCACCGTCCCCGGGATGCCTGAAGGCTGCACGCCTCGGGCTATCCCGTGTGATGGTTACGTCCGTTCGTACCTCACGGGGTACCGTGAGCTCTGCTCCGACCGTCCGATACGCCGTAAGCGCACGGATGGCAAAGCCCCTCGGTGTTGGTAGTGCTCGGGGGGTTACTGTTGTGAGCCTCTTCCTACGGACGAGGTTTTCCGTAGCCGGGCTGTTCAGCTCGGGGAGGCTCTCGCCCGTGGCGGCGAGTTGGAGTGTCGGAGGCTCCGGACCGTCGTCCGTAACTTGCTCCGCGAGTATCCGCGCCAGCGGAATACTAGTCGGGTGGTCGCGAGGGAAAAGAGCGACGATGAGGAGGGGTCGGTGCGCAGGAAACGTCCTCGCAAATCCGGGGATGCTCCTCCTCCTCACGAGAAGGGGAGGAGGCGGGACGATGACGAGGACGATAAAGGAGGCGCGGTAGGGGATATGATGCTGGCCAGATATCGTCGTTTTGGCGACGATTTTCTGGCTGGCATCGCCTCCATGGGAGCTAACTACCGCAGCGAGCGCGGCTGTTAGTCCTCCGCGCTTCCAGCAGCTCGAGAAGGAGAAGGAGAGGGAGGATGATAACGAGGGGGACGACGAGGAGGATGGGGAGGAGGATAACAAGGAGGGCCCCGCCATTGCCCCTGCCCTTGTGTGGGCCGTGGTTGTTGGTCGTAACACATACCCGACGGCCAAATACTTTGTACCGTCCTGGTAAGTAATTGTTTGATCGGCCGCCTTGTAGTGCGTGGGAAAAGGGTTGGTTAGGTGCTTGGAAAAAGCTGCGGCTGCGCGTGCGACGTTTGGCCGGATTGTTACGGGGTGAGCCGAAGTCCGCAGAATGACACGCCGCTCCCGACTTCCCGCAAATTGGCCTACCAGGTGTCGAGTCGATGCTGTGCCCCTAGAGTGACGTTGAACATGTCGAGCCGACCAGGGTGGTTTGGGCTTCTCACCAATCAGAACAATCCAGTTTCTGGTGCCTTTGCTTCAGTGGGCTGCACACCACAAAACAGGTACATCGACAAACAACGGTGAGGTGCCGCCCGAGACCCTCTCTGCAGTCCGCGGGCCCCTGCTCACATTCTACCGGCAGCGTGGTTTCCGGGTGATACGATCCGTTAGCGTTGAGAGCGGATCCACAAGCGGGTCTTGGCAGCTAGTGCCATTGGCTGTAATTCCAGGGGGGCAACGGACCAACACAAGACACGCTGGATCGTGTAGATATTTACATGAGCCCAGCCTGCACCTGGATGGACCACGCCTGGCGCTCTTGGGCTTACGACCAACCCCGATCAAAAAGATCAATTGCCTCTGGGCCCGGCCGCTACATCTCGCATCATGCCGCTCGTGCAAGCCGGCCTCGTGCTCATCCCCCTGCTATGGATCGCCGCGTGGCTCCGAGTGCTCGCGCGCAACTACCGCGCAGCCCGCGCCACCGGCCTGCCCTTTGTCGTGTGCCCCTATGATCCGGAAGGCGTGAGTGGCTCATTCTCTCCCCGCCGTCACAGACAGGTCTCTAACCATTCGCCCCCATCCAGTTTGTTTTCGCCCTCATCCAGGAGCCCCTCCGCCCCGTGCTGCGCCGGCTCCTCCCTGCCGCTGCCTTTGACGTGTACGAACTCAGCCTGTGGGGATGGGAGTTCCGTGCAAAGGCCGCCGTCCACAAGCGCTACGGCCCGGCCTTCGTCGTCGTCACCACGGGCCTCAACCGGCTCGTCTGCGCCGACCCGGCCATGGCGCATGCCATCCTGGCCAGGCGGAAGGACTTTGTGCATCCGGACATCAACCTCAAAACCATGGGCTTCCTGGGAAGCAACATCATAACGGCACGTTACTGCCCCCTGTCTGTTTTGGTTTCTTGCTCTTCATGGTGTGCTAACTGTGGCCCGTTGCTCGAAGAATAACGACGAAGCCTGGTCCCGCCAGCGCCGCATCGTCGCCCCGGCTCTTAACGAGCGCGTTAGCCCAGACGTCTGGAAGGAGAGCATCGACCAGGCGTCATCTCTCGCTGGCCTTCTGTGCGCCTCCGACTCGACAGTCGAGACGATCGCTGGTCTGCGCGTGATAGCCATCGACGTGCTCACTCGTATCGCCTACGGCCGCCACAAGCCCCTCACCTTAGCCCTCCCGTCCCGCGACCCGTCCGCGGACATGTCCTACGTAGACGCTATACACCTCTGCACCGAGCAGATTCTTCTGGCTTCCTTTGTGCCCTCCTGGTTTCTGAGGTTGCCCTTCATGCCGCGGCTGCTGCGGACGGTGGGCGTCGCGCTGGAGCGGCTCCCCGGCCTTACGAGGGACATGCTCGACCAGGAGCGCCGGAGAAGCTCCTCCGCAGCTCTTGTCGCTGACGAGACAACGACCGCGGGTCTGAACAACAGCCCGGAAATTATCATGAGCACGCTCATCCGCCTCTCGGACCAGGAGAAGGAGCTGACCGAGAAGGGCACCCCCGACGAGAAGACGTCCATAGCCGGCGGCAACAGAACCAGCAAGTCCTACCTGACAGAGGAGGAGATCGCAGGGAACCTCTTCATCTTCACCGCCGCCGGCTTCGACACGACCGCGAACACGATGGCCTACGCCGTGACCCTCCTGGCGGCGTGCCCGGAGTGGCAGGCCTGGATCCAGGCCGAGATCGACGCCGTGCTGGGGGCTCCTACGCCGGGAGCTCCGGGACACGAGCTTCCTGTACCGGACTATGCGACCGCTTTTCCAAAACTGACGCGGTGCATGGCCGTCATGGTAAGCTAGCGCACTACCCTTGCCTACATATTAGGCATGTTCTGAAGGACAGCTCGTGATATGCGTGTGTGTGCGCGCGTGCGTGTGTGGCACAGAACCATGGCAAGCTGACAACTCGGGGACCATAGCTCGAAACCCTCCGCCTCTACCCGGCGGCGACCATGGTGATGCGCGCCACCGCGGCGACCCAGGTCGTGCCGCTTGGGCACTCGTCGTCACCGGCCTCCTCCTTCACCCTGCGCGGCCCGTGCGCCGTCCATGTCAACGTAATGGCCCTGCATACATCCCCCGCGAGCTGGGGGTCGGACGCGCTCGAGTTCAACCCGGCGCGCTGGATCCGCTCCGTCTCGGGCGCGCAAGGAGAGCCGGTAGAGGAGCTCGTGACCCCGCCGCGTGGCGTCTTCATGCCCTGGTCCGCCGGCCCTCGCGTGTGCCCCGGCCAGAAAATGTCGCAGGTGGAGTTTGTGGCCGTGATATCGACACTGTTCCGCAGCTACAGCGCCCAGCCGGTGCAAGTGGCCGGCGAGAGCGCGCAGCAAGCGAGGCGGCGGCTGTTGGACCTGACGCAGGACAGCCATGCCGTGCTGACGTTGCAGATAAGTAAGCCGAGAGATGCGCGTCTGAGGTGGACGAGGCGCGCCTGAGGTGGCGATACGGCGATACGCTTGTAGGAGGCGTGGCCCTAGGACCCAGATCGTTGTTCTCTAGACGACTGTGCCACCAGGGGGAAAAGAAGATGCGAACGCTTCCAATCGATATCCAACAAGCCCAACTGCCGAGGACGCCTCCAATGCAAGGCCCGGCCACGACACAATTGACATGGACGAAGCGAAAAGCAAAAGGCTGTAATAGTTGCTAAGAGCTAGGTAGAGTTCATCGAAGCCAGCCGAGCTTTGCAAGCTCCTGAGACCCCTGCCGCATGGCACCGCGTCAACTGCCACCCAACGCTGCGCTGAAGCATGGAAAGTAGTGCTCAGGCCCACTGTGTATTGCAAGGGCGAGGCCGAGATAGCAGAGACGTCGAGCTATCGTTTGACGACGGCCTGGTTCTGCTGTGTGCCCCGTTATCCACCCACCGACTCGACGTGCAGTTTCAAACGCAAAATCAGCTCGAGGCCAGTCAGGATGCCTTCCAAAAAGCCATCTCTCAAGCAACACCAGCAACAGCCGCCTTCCTCCGCCGGACCCGCACCGTCGCCTTCATTCCTGTTTTTGTTCCTGTTTTTGTTTTATTCTTTTTCTTTTCTTGTTATGCCGTTTGTGAAAAGGGCTGCCCCGCCGCATTACCAATTCTGATCCCTGGAACACATCCGTTTTGTGGGGAATCGGGGCTCTTCCCCGTGACTTCATTTCAAGATGCTGACGGCGACGGCGACGGCAACCGTAGATGTCCCTTTAGACCTTTATTGACAACGTCGTCAACCTAGCGGTTGAGAACTGCCTGGTGTGCGATCCCAAACATCCTAACCCCCAGCAGAGCGGATCGCATGAATGAGAAGGCTCCGAGGGATCTGGCCCAAGAGCCGGACGAGACCCGAGAGGAGCGCGGAAGGCTGCGCCGGGAGACGGAGCTCCTCCGACAAGCCCTTCAGAAATGCCGCCTGTATCAGCCCCGTGAGATCAGCGGTACGTGGCCCCCCTAGAGCTAAGCACCCCTTGCACAAAGAAGATGGCAGTTTTGTAGGGTTTAAATTTTTCTTCCTGATGGTGGACGTGCGAGGATGGAAACAAGACAAGCCATCTTACTATGGCTTATATCTACTAACATTCCCACGAAACTGCCAGTCTTGCCCGCCGAATTCCCCAGGGTGTCCGCCGTCGCGATGCCTCCATCGTCTCGTATGTCCCAGCCATGCAACGAACTGAAGCTTCTGTATGACTGACACTCGCACGGCGTACAGAACAAGCCTCGAGGGCGATCAAATCCGCCAAGAAGATAGTGGTGAGGCTCCCCACCGCTGAATTTAACTTTAGTGTCACGCCCACGCCACCTTTAAACCTCGGGTCCCAGTCAACCGATCCTGTCGCTGTCTCCCACGCAACCACTCCCAACTCGAGCTACAATTCTTCCGAAGTTTCGGCAATTGGGGGATCAAAGACTGCGGGAGCGGCAACGCCTCCGGCACCATGCTTGATTACCCCTCCCCGTCTCCCCGAGCCTGCTAGCAACCCTCCCGGAAATCCTCCCCCGGTGCCGAGTGCTGGGGCCCCCGGCGGTGGCTCCGGTTCGGCGGCCCCGAAAAGCACAGGTCTTTTTGGCTCCTCGCCCCTAAGTGGCAACAGTTCAGCGAGCGCAGCAACGGCGCCCAGCCTCCTTGGCGGTAAATCCGGCACCACCACAACCGCGCCTACGCCTTCCGGTGGCGGCCTTTTCAGCAGCGGAATCACCACAACCACCACAGCCACGCCTCTTGATAGCGGGCTCTTCGGTAGCGTGCCGGCGACCACAGCCGCGCCTTCTAGCAGCGGGGTTTTCGGCAGTAGAACCACCACGGCCACCACGACCGCGCCTGTTAGTGGCGGGCTTTTCGGCAGTTGAGGACGCTTGCGGCCGCAACGGCTTACACTGCCTGGCCGAGGTAATCCTCGGCGAGGATACGTTGCAGGAACGCCACAACTCCTTGAACTCGCGCAGACCGCCTAAGCGCAAGTACGACCAGCGAAGCGGGAACAAGACGGAAGGCGACAGTGGAACGAACGAGAACGACGGTGACGCCAGTGCCAATGTCCCCAGTGAAGAAGGGCAGCTGGCGCGCCGCCTCAACTTCCTCCGTGGTTTGTTGGCGTGCCCCGGTATGGACGCGAACCACTACGATCGGCGCGGCAGCACGGTGCTGATAGCCTTCATCGAGCACCTGACAGACCAGGACGAGGACCGGCACCGGAACCTGGCGGCCATCCTGCAGCTCCTGGTGTCAGACGGGCCCGGCGGCGGACGGGCGCGCGTGGGGGCGCGAAATCGCGAGGGCGAGACGGCGCGGCTGGGCCGCAAGACGGCGCTCAAGGTACTGCTGGAGCGGGGCGGCGCCAGCGTGCACGTGCGTGACACCAAGGGCAGGGGCGTGCTCGAAATCATCGACGAGCGGTGCTCGCGCGCGCGACACGACATCGCACTATACGGCCGGCTAGAGGCCTACAGGGTCCTGCTCACGGGCAGATACAAGGACGACTGGGTCGGCGGCGACCAGGTCTGCCAGAACCCTCGCGTTCTGGACGAGTGGCGGGTCCGGTCGACAAGTACCAGGCCGGTGGTGTTTCAGTAGACGTGGGCTCCGTCGAAGCGGAGCCTTTTTGGTCCTGCGCAGTTTCCCTGTTCTCACTGGCTACCTTTATAACCCTTCGCTTTCCTTTTCACATTTTCTCTATTACCTGTCAACCGCTCGCAGAAGGCGACGGCGTTTAGGCCACAGTTCCAAAAAAGAAAAAAAGAAAAAAAAAGAAACGCAAAGGCGGCCTACCAAAGGGGCGAGGTACTGGCTTGTCCGTACTGGAAGAAGGATCCGTCTGCCTATTCGCGATGCTACAAGCTGGACCTCACGGAGACCGAGCGCGTCAAGCAGCACTTGTACAGGAGCCACGGCGAACTGATCCGCTGCCCGCAATATCAGGAAGTATTTCCTGGTCCGTGTTCCTGCGACAGTCACATGACGGTTGTTAATTGCGCCCGCCAGATGGATGCCATCGAGGACATACATGGCGACCGGATGACCGAGCTGGCCAGGCCCGACCAAGTAGAGCAGTGGTACACCATTTGGTGCATCATCTTTCCCGGGGTTAGAGAGCCCCCATCCCCGTATATCGACGACAGTCTCTCAGAGGACATGAATCATACAGATACCCCTGCTTCTTAGGACAGTCTGCCCGACCCTCAGCAAACGCTACCGCTAACCTAAACCACCGTGACATCCCGCACGCTGAGCTTGTGCATCAAGACGCGCAGCATCGGGTTCTCTGTCTCCCGCTCATGCTCGATGCTGCCGATGCAGTCCAGTATCGCGGCCTCGAGTTCCCGAAGCCTGGCGAGCGTCGCCTCCATGACCCCGGCCTCCTTCAAGCATTTGACGACGTGCTTCTTGGCCTCCCGGGATAGAGCCGGGGGAGCAGAGCCAGAGGGGCCATGTGACATTGCGGCCTGCTGTCGGCGCAAGATGCCCATGGCCTGGTCTCTCAGTGTGCCCTGGTGCTTACTGCAAAGTTCCACTATCAGAAATGACACCTTTCCCTCGTCCAGGTCCTCGCAGAAACCCTTCTGGTTCGAGTAGTCGGCCGAGTTGAGGTTCATAAAGTCGTCGCGGACCTGGAAGAAGCGCCCAAACAGCTGACAGAGCCGCCCTAGGCTGCTAGCATCCACGGCCTTGGCGGACGTCCAGCCGCTCTGGCTTCGCTCGCTCATCAGCAGCCGCGCCAGCAGCCGGAACATGGCGCCCGTCTTGTTGTCTACCATTTCCATATACTGAGCCTCGGTCGGCATCTGGAGGTTGTGGCGCCAGTAGAGGTCCCAGCTCTGGCCGAGGAAGAGGCATTCGAGCTCCTCAAGCAGCAAGTCGAGCGATGAGTCGTTGCGTAGCCGCCGCACCAACTGCACCGCTTGCACAAACATGTACGTGGCGCTGTTGATTGCCTGCGCCTCCCCGTACACGACGTGGGTGGCGGGAAAGCTTCGTCGCAGCCCGGAGCCGTCCTCAATATCGTCCAGAATCAGAGAAGAGTTATGCAGCAGATCCACGATGCGCTGGATATGCGCGACCGACTCTTCCGACGTAGGAAACCACACCCGTAGACTTTGGATGAGCAGTGACCGGACACCCTTGGACGGCATCGAGCAGATGTAGTTGCACGGGTCCATAAGTGCTCGGCTGTCCGGTTTCTTGAAGCCGTCCGCGTCGACGGCAGCTCTGTCGCTCGTCGCGCATGTGTCTGCGGCCAAAGCCATATCTCGGCCCGTCTCCGCAGACTCACTAGCAGCAGTGGAATCCTGGAGGTCAGAAGTGGCTGTGGAGGAGGTCTGCGAAGCCGACCGAGTTTTGCTCGTGGGATCTCCGGATCCCGCAGAAGGTAGGCAAGAACTTGTGGCGCTGGTCCAGGAATCCAGCTCATTTTCGTGCTTTTGTGGGCTGCCCGGGAGCGCCAGCGCTTCCTGGCATTTGAAGGCCACTAGGCGCTCTCCGTAGCGTTCACCGTCCACCTGCTGGTGTTGATCCCGCACACTGCGGCGCCAGCCGTGGTGACGCGGGCAGTTGGCGCACCAGTAGTGGTTGCCGGCGATGATCAAGCCGCAGACATCCACGTAGGCCCGCAAGTGGTCAGGCACAGTTCGGTTCGTCGCGTAAAAGGCCTCGCGCCTGGCCGCATACTCACGCTCAAAGGCAATGATGTGCTCGCGGACGGTGGCCCGGGCATCTGCCATGGCGAGGCCGCGCGTGCGCATGAAGAGCTCGACGGCGTTCACGATTCTGCCGCATTTGCTCTGCTGCGCTGCGGCCCATTCGCGCTCCCAGCTCCAGTAGTCGTTGGTCAGCACGAGCGCCGCCTCGGCCGCGCGGAAGACGGGCCGGATCAGCTCCTCCTCCGCATCGGAGACGTCGATGGCCATGCCGTACTGGACCATGTGCCAGAAGGGCCTAGCGCCGACAGGTTCCCGTTAGACCGTGGGTAACCAGCCACCAAGCACGAGCCGGGAGGGCCTCCAACTGACCTCATGCCCCCGTTCAGGTTGCGGAAGACGAGATAGTCGTCAAGCGTCTGGATCTTCTGCGGGTCCCTGCTCTCCATGACATCGAGCCACTTCTCGCGGTACGAGTCCAGCATGCGGAGAGCCCGGGCCCGGTCCAGGTCGAGCGCCTCAAGCATACACTTGGCGAGAGAGAGCTGCAGCTTGTCTTTGCGGTCGCTCGACTTCTCCGAGTGATGGCGCTCCGGAGGCTCCACGTTCATGGCGTGGCTGAGCGTAGCATGCTCGGTGACGGCCTCGTCATAGTCCAGCTCATCACAGAGATCTGGAACATCATATTCACCGCTGTCAGACCACGGGCGATCCCACAGAGAGCCTGCGTGGCTTGAGCTCACCGTCATGGATATTGCCCATGTTGGCCAGGTACGTCAGTACGCCCAAGCGCTCGGGCACAGTCTCGGGAAAGATGAAGGCGCCCCAGTTGCCCACGGGGCTCCAGCATGACCCGGACTTTTGCTCCCATCCGTCTCCCACGTGGGAGCCCCAGTCGGCAATGGACCGGGCTGTGGCCTCGTCGGCTATGTCGTTGCGGCTGTGGATGCGGATGGGCAGCGAGGTGAAGCAGCCGGTCGAATGCGCCACATCCTCGTCCACCGGGACGGAGTAAATCCAATTCGACGTCATGTCTTAGAGCCGTAGTGCGTGGTGAGGAAGGCTCTCTGGCAGGGCACTTAGGCCCAGGTGTTCCCTCGGGATCGCGTTCCTAGCCTGATTTAAAATATCTATCCGACATACCTTCCCGACCAGCGCGTCATGAATCGCACGCTAAACTCTCTTACCTAGCTTGCTACCGATATTTCGTCGCCGTTCGTTTCCAGTTTGATCCTGGGCGTCCCAAACCTCGTTCCGCTATACCTTTTTACCTTTCTAGCCACATGCAACCAAGCTCGACCTCTTCGAACATAGCCATCAAAAAGCCAATGCAACGACCTGGTTACCCCTATCCGCAATTTTTTTCCGGGGTTACATTTTCCATGGTTCTGCGGGGAAGGTTTTGCGGGATATGCAGTTGAGTAAATGCGAGAACTTTCGATTTGAAATGTTCCCTTAAACACACCCCAAGGGGTTGGTTGATATTAGCTTTCCCCAGTTTAGGTAGTATCCCTTTCTTGAACTCTGACCTGACCCAAGCTCCTGGCAGCCGTCGGGTGAAGTTAAACTTTGCTTATGCTTGGAACCATGATCCATCGCCCTCGCTTTTATCCTGCTGCAAAAACCTGAATTTGACGACTTCGGCATTTGATATTAGCTTTCCGCAGTTTAGGTAGTATCCCTTTCTTGAACTCTGACTTGACCCAAACCCCTGGCAGCCGTCCGGTGAAGTTAACTTTGGGGCCAGTAAAAACTTGATACCATAACCGAACCTTTCGCTTAATCCTGTTGCAGAAACTTGAATTTTTCTCCTTTGGCATCCTTGTAGCGGCAGTTTCTATCTTCACTGACTCTCCGCTTACATACAACCACCCTTCTTTATGAAGCGACCTCAGAAACCCCGCATCCTATCCCAGAAAGCCGAATCCACGGGAAAGACCTGGGAGCAGAGCGGCAGCAGTAGCAGCACGTCCGCGGAGATCATGGTGATGGAAAGCTTCGAGATGGCGAAAGAGCCGATATCGGCCGGCAAGACCAGCTCGGCCAAACTTGTCGTTTTGGCGCTCCCTCTGGCCGGGTACGTCGGTTGCCCACTGGCGTATGTGCCACCATGGCCAAGGGAAAAGACCGGCTGACGTGATGAGAAGACTGCAAGCCTTTTTTGCCATCCTGACGTCCTATGGCACGGTAAGTAGGCTAGAGAAATACCCCTTCCCCCTTTCGTTATCCGGCCCTCGATGCTAATCAACAACTGGGCAAGCCGTATCTGCAAACCCTCGGCGTTAGCAAAACCGCGGCGGGGCTGCTCTGGCTCTCCGGGCCACTATTCGGCACCCTGCTGCAGCCGTGCGTTGGCCTCTGGAGCGATGCGAGTCGGACGCGCTGGGGCCGGCGCAAGCCGTTCATGGTTGTCGGCGCCTTCGGCTGTGCTCTGTCGCTGATGGCGCTCGTGCATGCCGACACGTTATCGGTATGGCTCACCAACAGCACAGGCAGGGCCGGGGCCGGTACTAGAACCGTCGCCCTGCTCGCCCTGTCCTTCCTCAACGCCTCGATCCAGCCGCTGCAGGGGGCGTCGCGCGCCTTTTTATTCGACAACACCTGCCCCAGCCGCCAGTCGGTTGCTGCGGCCTGGGCGTCGAGGGCGACCAGCTTCGTCAACATTTTGTTTTACTTTGTCGGAAACGTGGACCTGCCCCGTCTCCTGCCTTTCCTTGGTAATACTCAAGCGAAGGTCCTGGCTTTGCTGGCTGTGGCTGTCAACTTTGTCACCTTGGTCGTTGCATGCGTCGCTGTTAGCGAGCCTCCGAGTCCGGCCCTGGATGACCGGCCGGGCAAACGCCTCGCAGACGTAGTGCGGGACCTGGTCGACACGGCTCGAAATTTGCCTTGGCGGATCAAAGAGGTTATGGTGGTCCAGGCCTTGTCTTGGGTCGGCTGGACACCCTTTCTCTTTTATATGTCCATGTGGGTGTGCATATATCGATCGGGCCATATGGAAGAAAAGCTGCTAACAAGAGATGAGGCAGCCACATCAGCGAGATATGTGAGGATCCGGAATATCGTACGCTCCTTTGGAAATCCTCCGTTTGCTGACATAACTCCAGATATCGAACAGGAGCGCGCCCGGCTTCCCTCGTCACCCATTCCAAGCCCGTCGGACAAAGAAGCATTTGCGCAACTGACGGCAGCAAGTCACCGGAAGGCGTCGCTGGGCTTCCTCCTCTTTGCGCTGAGCACGGCCAGCTGGGTGCTGCTGCTGCCGCGACTGACGAGGCGGCTCAGCAAGGCTCAATCTGCACGTCAGGCGGGCTGCCCCCGCGCGGGTCCCGCCGAGGCGGTATTGCTGTCCCGCGTCTGGCTGGGGTCCCAGCTTTTGTTCTCGGTGTGCATGGTTTGTTTCGTTCTCGCCTCGACTCATCTGTTCGCACTGGCCCTGATGGCGCTGGTCGGGTGTCCCTGGGCTGTGACGGTGTGGGTCCCATTCGCGCTGATCGGCATGGACCTCAAGAGTGAAGCGAACGAACACAGCTGTTGGGCCGCCGGATCTGACGTGAATCGTGGCCTGGAGCGGCACGGGCTGCTCGAGGACGAGAATGGAGCGGAGATTGGCTATAACAGCTCGAGTGAAGATGATGAGGACGCTGTCCCTTCGGGTGCTCGTGCGCATGGCGGCGACACTTCTCGGGACCGTGGTGGCGCTGTGTTTGGGCTCCACAACATTGCCATGGCGGCGCCGCAGATCCTAGGCATCGCCGCTTGCAGCTTTGTGTTCGGCATGCTTGTTCCGCTCGACGAGGCGAATTCGGGTCCGGTCTTTGCTATCGGCGTCGTGTCTGGAATCCTAGCCGCTGGGCAGTTGCTGCGAGGAGGACTGTGCAAAGCATCGACGGAGATATGTGCCTCTTAGAAACCAGTGTTTACTGCCAGTCTGAGCTACAGGATAAGATACGAGCGACATAAAACCGCAACCACAGATGGGGAAACAAAACCTTGCGAATCTTGCTGCCACCCGCTAGCAGGTATCCAATGAGCTCGGTCACCATTTACACATCCTTCTCGTGCTCGGCGTATCCGATGTGTAGCGGAGACCCCTTCCACAGTCCCAGCAGCTTGGCATCGCGCACGAAGTCCTCAGCTGGATCCACCTGATGCCAGTCGAAGTTCCAGGCCAGCTTCGCCACGCAGATGCGGATCTCCATGTACGACAGGTTGATGCCGATGCAGGAGCGTGATCCGATAGAGAAGGGCTTGGAGGCGTCCTTGCGGTCGCCCTCGTAGACTGGATCATAGGCGGGGTGCTCGCGTGGCAACCACCGCTCCGGGCGGAACTCGCGCGCCTTGTAAAACCAGCGTGGGTCGCGCGACGTCACGTGGCCCGCCGCGGCCAAGATTGTCTTCCAAGCGGCCAAGTGCTGTCAGCGGGAGCGTTACAGTGTTAAAACTGGAACCGTAAGGAGAAACTCACTCCCTCGGGGACCCAGTGCCCCTGCACATGCGTGCCCGGACTCACGCGGGGCAGCCCAAACGCAGCCGGATTGAAGATGCGCAGGCCCTCTTCAACGACGGCACACAGGTACGGGCAGCCTCGCGTCGACTCGTCCGTGATCTCGGCGCTGGTGCCAAAGCGGGCCCGGACCTCGGCCTGCATCCGGGCCAGCTTTTCGGGGTTCTTGAGCAGGTAAAACGTTAGGCCCGTTAGGAACGTGGCCGTTGTCTCGGTGCCGGCCGCGACAAGAGTGCTGCCCTGGGCAGCGAGGAAGCCGACAGTGGCGTCGGGCGACTTCTCGCCCACCAGCGGGGTGAAAAAGTCGAAGCGGGACACGTCGGCGCCGCGGGCCAGCCGCTGGGCAGCCATGTTGCGTGCGTTGCTGACGTAGCTGTTGCGCATGCGCTTGCTCTTTTCGTTGGTGAGACAGAATCTGACAGCCTGCTGGAACAGCCGGGCGCGGCGGCGGACCACGAAGCCCAGGGCCACCTGGAAGCCGCTGTTGACCAACATCTCAAGCCACTCGTTGGAGCAGCCTGCGCGCGTGTGGAGTCAGCTTTGATGCTGGGGGTGAGATACCGACGGTAGGCGACGCACCATTCTCGACGCTCTGGAACGAGTCGCCAAAGGCCAGGTCCACGACGACGTCAAAGGCCAGCCAGGTGAACCAGTCGGTCATGTCCATACCACCGGGCTTGCTGCCGTGGACCTTGATCTGCTCTACCAGGAGGTCGATGTAGTGGAGAACCACATCCTCCTGCCGCTTCAGGGCCGAAGCGCTAAAGCCGGGTGCCAGCAGCTTGCGGATCTTCTGGTGGATGACTGGGTCGACCTCGGTGCCGACTGAGCGGCCAACGTCTGTCTGCTGGTAAAAGGTGCGGGACTTGGGGATGAACTTGGGGTGGTTGATGTTGACCTGGCCGTAGATGTCCTTCATGGAGTCAGGATGAGAGAAGGAGAGCTCGTTTGGTGCGATCCTGACGACGTCGCCTGACAGCAGTCAGGTCAGCACGGCTGACCAGAGCCCTGCGTGGTTTTGGGCAGAAAGGGCTGCACCCACCGTACTTCTCGTGCAGCTTCTCGACCTCGTGGGGCCACCTGCCGCCGACCCTGTGTCGTGTCTTTGTTAAATCCGTCTTTGCAATGCAGAGGCTTGTGCTGCCTTACCATTTGCGCGAAACCCAGATATCCTGGATGGCGCCGCTCAACGGGCCAGGGAAGCGCGCCAACGGGTGGAAATAGAGGTTGTATATGGAGGATGCAACGAAGTACACCAGGCCCTGCTTGCGATATTGGCCTTATTAATGTTGCTCGTGGCGTGTGTCCGAGAAAGGGAGGCGTGCTTACCGCAATGACACACAGACCTAGAGAGATCTGGATGAAGCTAGCAAGAATATAAAGTGCCATAGCTGCTGTTCCGTGCTCGTACCGGTGATGGCCTCAATGCTTCTTCCGCTGCTAATGCTGCCTCTGCTGGCGAGGTAAAGAGAAAAAGACAAAGGATGTAGCTCTGTACCTAGGCAAGCTGCGAACACGCTGGAGGTGCCATGAACACCAGGTAGCAACGGAGCCGGTAGCGGAAGCGGAGCCGGGCACTCGCCAACGGCAACCTGTTATCACCGCGTCAGAAGCAGGACCAATGGGTTTCCTTTTTGCGTTGCTGTTAAAAAGCCACCCAGACAGCTACCAAGGCACAGATAACTTTAATAAGGTTTCCGCGGTCGACGGCTGCAACGCTCAAGGTTGGAACCAAGGCACGCCTTGGCACCTCCTTGGCGAGCTGGGATCATTGACTCAGGTCCGGTCCAGGGTATTACACCGGTCTTACATGTGTATGCATCTCTGGATTTCCTAAACCGGCCCCATGCTATTTGCCGACGGAGTTTGTTCTGTGCGCGACGGGCAGCAGCCATCGGCCAGGCCGGTCCCGGGACCGAGGCCTAGCCGGTGAAGCAAACGGCCAGCAGGCACGTGTCGGGATCTCGCTGGAAAAGCAGATATAAAGTGAGACGGCCACCGAGCCAGAGCGCTCCTGGCTGATCCACTTGGCTCATCGCCTCCAGCGGTCTCAGACACCCAACTGGCGGCAAGTCCAGCACACCACCAGCCGCCATGTCATCCTTTCCACAGCAGCTCGCTTCCCATTTCAAGCGGGACCGGGTTTACATGCCAGTCGGCGGCTCCAAGTCCAGGTCCGAAATGCTCGACGAGCAGGACAGGGCCGGGAGCATTGACTCCGATATCCCTCTGATGGAAAGCCCCCATAGTATGCCGCGGCCGCAGTCCTGGTTCAAGCGCATGCTGGCCCGGCTGCGTGCTATCACCATGCCCTCGCGGCCTGTCATGATCAACTTGGTGCTCTCGCAGCTGCTGATTGCCTGCCTGTACCACGTGTGGCAGGAGAAGCACGAGATGAACGGCCGCCTCAAGGCCGTCTCTCTCCATTGTAAGCAGCACTCACCGCTAAGCTTCGCAGACTCGTGGTGAACGGCGACGCTAACTGCCGACGCGAACAAGCACCCCTGCTGGATCGTGTTAACGTTCCCCTCGTCCTTCGCCAGAGCTTTGCCCAGTACGGCATGGGCGGCAACGAGATCTGGCGCGCGGAGCCGAGCGAGGAAGTCGACAAGGCCTGGGAGGCGGTAACTGCCGAGCACATCATCCCGGTCAAGCATTCCGACATTGTGGCCATGCGCAAAGACCCCTCCGAGGTCGTACCCATGCCGCCCGGCTACGAGGTGGACGGGGAGCAGACCTATATGGCCAAGGCGGCGGCCTTCCACAACATCCACTGCCTGGACTGGCTGCGCAAGGCAGTGTACCGGCGGCACTACTATCCCAACGGCACCGACGAGGTCCCCTTTTACGACTACCACACGGCGCACTGCATCATGATTCTGTTTGAACATCTGACCTGCTACGGCGACTCGGGCGTCTACCTGTACCGCTGGATGGAGCGCTTCGACCGTCCCATCGCCGACACCAACATTTGGCGCAAGTGCTGGGATTTTGAAACCGTCCTGCAGGAGCACAACAACGCGGCGGTCAAGGACATGGTGGAGACTGACGTCAAGAAGCCTAAGGGCGCCAAGGAGGTCGAGGCGCCTTGGCAGATACTCAAAATCATCAGCGACTTCCAGCGGGACCACGACGCGAACTTCGACCCGCACTAAATTCGAGGGGTTCACATGTAAAAACGGGGTGGTCAAATCTAGGGAGAGGATGCTTGGTTATCCATAGTTGCTCGTGAAGTGCCAGAGTGGGTTTATCCTTTTCATGTCGAAGGCAACACGTTGGCATATAAAGATTGTACTGGTAAACATGCGAATAAATGCTCTCTACACTGTCTCAAGCTCCGACAGGGTCGCCTGGACGCGGTATCCAATCCACAAGTACGAGCTCTGCACATGCCTCTCCCACAGATACTCGGGCTCTGCGTCTGCGAGCTCGAAGGCGTAGACGACCTTGGCGATGGCGATCCGGAGCGCCTGCATGGCGACGGCCCGCCCGACGCACATGCGCGAGCCGAGAAGGAAAGGCCGCTGCGCCGACTTGTTGTCGCCGTCGAACTCGCCACCTTCGAACCAGCGCTCGGGCCGGTACTCGTCCGGGTGTCGCCAGTAGTCGGCGCTGCGCTGGATCGTGTACATGTCGGCGCTCACAAGGACGCCCGCCGGCACCTGCACACCGGCGATGGCGGCGCCTGGGCTGGTTCGGTTGGTGCCCTTGCCGTTGGCCGGAGGCAGCAGCCGCAGCGTCTCCTGTATGCAGCCGTTCAGCAGCGGCAACGTCGAGAGGCGTGAGTTGGTCATGTCGGCCGAGCAGCCAAACCGCGTGCGGAGCTCATCGCGCAGCCGAGAAAGGTACTCCGGATGCCGTAGCAAGAGGTGGAATGCGGCCGACAGGCTCGTTGCCGTCGTATCATAGCCGACCATTCTCCAGCCCGGTTAGCATTATTCCGCCGCCAGCCACAAAACACACATATACCCCGCTGCCTTGGCACACTTACACGAGTAGGGAGGCGTTGCTCTTCATCTCGAGATCGCTCAGCTGGACTCCCTTCTCTGCGCACTCGAGGATGGCGGTAATAAAGTCACGCTGGTTATCCTGGCGCTGGATGCGGCTGCATAAGGCACAGGGACATGATGCGATGTCAACATCTGGGCAATGCCTCTGGCCGCTAATCTGTCTGATCGCGACTCACTCTCGCAGCCGTGACGACGGAAGGACGTCTGAAGGCATCCACAGCACCTTGCAGAGGAGCACGACTGTGGTCCGCAGAATGAAGCCCAGCACAGGTATGGCAAGGACGCACTGCAGGCCTTCCAGGATGGGGCTCAACTTGCAAAACACGGTCTTGAGGAGCTCGAATTTTTCTGGTTTGAGAAACAGTGCTTCTTGTTAGCAGTGGCCGCAGCACAGTCCGACTCCGGGGTCATCTGAGGGCAAGCGAAGAGGTATCTCTGCCTGCGTACGTACCAAGCTGGTCTTGCAACATAGGCTCTCCGAACGAAAGGTCGCTAATGATGTGCCAAATTGCCCGCGACAGAAACGGACTCAGGTCGAGTGTGGTGCTGGCCCTCGCGGAGATCTCGTGCCGCAGCCGAGCCACCATATCGTCCACGTGCCGCTGCTGGATGGCTTCCTGGTCCGCGAGCGCGCGCTGCGTGAAGGCCGGCTGCAGCGCTCGTTTCAGCCGCGCGTGCTCTGCCGGGGCGGTCGTGGTGAGCAGGTTCGGTGCCGGCCAAACAATATCGCCCATTAGGGACTCGAGCGTCTCTGCCTTTGTAAAGTGGCGCCGCTGGCTGCTTTGGTGGCAGTGGATGTCCTCCTGGGCCCTGATGCTGGCGAACGAGAGCTCGCTGGGAGACAGGCGGACGACAGGCCCGTAGCGGTCGTGCAGGGATTTGATATCTTGGTTCAGGCGCCGCCTCCAGACCGCTCTCATCAGCCAGAGCTAGCACGGCGGAGGAGAAGCGGTCAGCTGGAAGGCATCGATACACGCACATCACCCGGGCATGGCAGCGCTCCGTATAGGCTTACCGGCGAGATTTTGGCCAGGAACGGACCCGGGATATTGGCCAGGGGCGACAGGAAACAGTTGTATACGACGCTAAAAGCCACTATGGCAGCCTACGCAGAATATCAGCAGCTGTTGCAAGTCCAAGGGGCACATCGCGGGGCCTCTTACAGCTCCAAGTACTACGGAAGTCATCCAATGCCATGGGCGAGGAGTTGCATACAACCCTGCCACCGAGTTTGGTGACATCTCGCTCCAGTTCACTTCCAACTGGACACGCTGGCTTCCAGCCCAGACCGGAAACTTGGGGAAGCTAAGGGTAGGCATGGTGTGCTGATGGTGGTTAGCTGCAGCTCTCCTGTTCAATGCGGCTCCAGCAATGATGGCCCCGAAACAGAGCACCTTGATATAGCAGCGGAGAACTCTCAAGAGCCCGTTTTAACTAGGTTACCACTTCGGCGCTTAGCTCGTCAGCTACCAGGGCACATTCGAAGTATACAAGCCGTCACAGCATATCGAGGTGCAGGGCCACCTAGCCAGGTGCCTGGATGAACTTAAACTTGGTGCCGTCGGCTCGCGGCTGCTGCCATGTTGAGGTAGGTTCAAAATCACCCTGAACATGATTCATGGTCCGTAACCTGTTGCATTGGGCCTGCATAGAGTTGATTGCTGCTGTACATAGATCCACCGAGCAGGGCTAAGGGCATCTGCACCAGGCGACTGCCCTTTGGTATCTGTTTTTTTTTTTTTTGGTCAAATGCCGAAGCGCGATGTCGGCAGCAAAGATGCGGCGACGTCGAGGAATGCCGCCATGCGAGCCTGGGAGTAAAAGGCTGCATTGTAGGAAAGGGAGTAGGTCATGCGGCCCCGGAGTGCGTGGCAGGAGACTATCATTGCCGCAGAGCATTTGTGCAGCGCGAACCAAACGTCCTCGACTCTCACACTGCTATCCTCGAAGCCGGCCGTTGCCGCAAGGACGGAGTCTAATACACCCACTCCACCGTACATGACTGGCCCGCCCGCCGCACCACCAGGGCCAGCGGCAGCCGCTCCCTCGCCACCCCCTCTCGCCGCGTTCCGCTCTGGATCCCTCTGTGGGCTAAGGAGCGCGGCCATGGGCTTGACAAATCCGAGATCCGACTCGCGCAAAAGCGCCTGGTTCTGTGCCCGTAGCTGAAATGCTGCGTCCCAAACGTCTTGGGGGTCCTCGACGCAGGCCAACATTGAGACAAAGTAGGCTGTAGCGGCGTGCGCGGGCGAGCCGAAGGGCGGGCGGCACAGGGGACGCACGTTGAGAGCGAGGCCGCCCAGCCAGGTGCCGTGAGCACTTGCCGAGTGCAGCTTGATGGCACAGACGATGGCGGCATGCGTGAGGTCGCGCATCGAGACGCCATGCTGCTTTGCCGCTCGGGCCATCTGCGCCGTCTCCCCGACGCTGAAGCGGCGTATCATCACGGCTGGCGACAGGGCCGGCAAGGACCTGTCTGGGAACAGGACAAGCGGGGTAGTGCGAGTGGCCTTGGCCTCCCATGCTTCGAGCTTGCTCCGTGCTTGCTTGATCGAGGCGTCTGTGGGGTCCGGAAGGTTGACGGCAAGCTCCAACGGCGGCGACAGGTTCTTGACATGGTTTCCCCACTGCAGCTCGCCCTCGGGCGGATGGTTAAGCCGTCGGCAGAAGTTGCCCACCAGAGTGGAGGCGCCGATACCATCCAGGATGGCGTGGCTGCCCCGCAGCAGGACCTCGTTGGTGTGGGAGAAGTATTCGAGCAGCACCCGTCGCGTCCCCGGCAGCTTCGTGTACCAGTCAAGGGCGGTACCTGAGTCATGGACGGTGAAGGTCTCGTCGGCCCAGGCCTCGACGGAGCGGCAGTCGACGGCTCGGTAGACCATGTTCTCGCCGACGGCCGTCATGGCCATGGAGGGATGGTCGTGGTGCAGAGCGATCCAGGCCTGGCGTAGCGCCAAGGCTGCGTCCGGGAAGTGGCGCGAATCGAGCAACAGCTTGGCGTGGATGCAGATGCATTCGTTGACCATATCGGTTCCAGGCGGCGTCTTGGCCTCCTGGAGCAGAATCATGCGCTCTCGGACGTCCTGGCGCCTTTGGTAGACTCCGGGGCTTGTCTGCCGCCAGCGGAGTTCCATCTCGGGAATGCCTCCGGTCATGGTAGTTGTTGGATTTGGCGTGGTTAACGGGAAATCGGCATGCGATAACATGTATTCAGTTGATGATCGGCTACAAGCTCTCAGGGTTACCGCAGGGATTATCAAGGCCATATGTTTATATGAGGGCAGCCGCCAGGGGTAGGCACTGACTGGGTGTGTGAATAGCGAGGGCGTGCAATCGACCATTTTGCCTTTATGCGATGCGACCTTCACAAAACCAAGGCTGCGGCCCCGCGGCCGTCTATCTGGCAAGGGCCGGGTCGTGGATCGTCCCCTCGCCGATCTGGCGGTTTAAACTTTAACATTCGTAAGCAGCCAAATCAAGGCAGCTCTGAACCTAATATGCGTTCCAGCATAAGGATCCCGGCTTATACGCGCCGGCAGAGGCGAGGCGAACTGGTGTTGCCTGTGGTGTTAAGGGTCCCCTCCCACTTCTGGCGACGACGGCGCAACTGTCATCCAACATACGTATTTGTAATGTCAGTGACAAATACGGCCTGAATCGCTACCCCTGCACCATCTAGCCAAAGGCTAGAGTTTTTGTATTGTGACATGGTAGCTCCTTAGCGTTAGTCATCGCCGGGTACGAGTATGCCCTAACCGGAAGCTTCATGGCTCTGCCGCGCTGTACAGGGGACTAGGATATTAAACGTTAAAAGTGCGGGGCCCTTCAGGGATCTCCAACTATACTTTTTCCCACAGAAAATCCTGCCAAATCAATGTATCGCAGACCCCCCTGGAGGGCTCCTGTAAAACGAACCAAACTTTCAAGCCTTCCGACTTGGACGGTGGAGGGCTAGCGGACGATGGTCAAGGCACCGAGGTAGGATTCACCTTTGCGAAGCTCAATACAACAGAGGGCTAGGCGAGACCTGATTCATGCGTGCACACCTGAAGATTTGGGTTTCGACAATCCAGGTCGAGCTCGTGGTTGCTGAGGCACTTCTGCGCGGCATTGCCATCGTCCCCGTCATAGGCCGGCTGGCAGCCGTCTTGGGGAGGGACGCGCTGCTGATCGTGAGCGGCACGGGTCACCCTCGGTACCGATATGGCTCTCTCGCTGCTGCGAGGGTGATTTCGACTAGCTGCCAACTGACACAGACCTGTGTCTGGCCTTGCTACCTAATGCTGGGCCAAATGTTCTGCTTCAATCCTTCGAGTCTTACAGCTTGGCGCGATTCCGCGTCCGCACAAACCAAGAGGGCGAGGGCTTTTATCGCCACATAAGGCAGACCATCGCTAGCCGTCCCATCAACTCCAGCTGGAAGTCGGGGCCATTCTCATCGGCACCTGCTGCCCTGTCCTCGTTTTGGGGCTGAGCCACCCACGCCAGCGACCCGCGGACGTATCGGCATACACTTCCATGGCCCAGCTGGAGCACCAGGAGATGTGTCAGGCCGTTGAGCGCGAGCGAGCTGGAAGCCTGGCCAACTGACTCCTGCTGGTCGGCGCACGGGCTGAGGTCCGGCGCATCCTCGCCATCGTCACCTCGGCCCTCACCAGGACCTGGGGCGGTGGCAGCGGTGGTCAACTTCTGCTTTGCGTCAGCCATACGCGGGGTCGACCTCGCGCAGCCGCTGCAGCAGATCGGCGTGGGTCTGGGCTTCGCGTCGCTGTCGCAGATGTACATCGCTGAACTTGGACCCTACCACGCGCTTGCCAGGAGCGCCTCGCTCTTGGAAGGCAGATTACAGGCCACCTCGACGATGGAGGCACAGGAGGAGCGAGCGGCAGCTGCTGCAGCGACGAATCTCGCTCGCCTGGGAAATGCAAGGAGCGAACAGCCTAACAGAAGCGATGGACTGGACAGCATAGCTGGAGACCACAGAGACTGATAGCTACCTACCAAGTAATTCAGAAATTCAGGTACCTAGTCCTGCTATTGGACTGACTGCTAGCACACAACCCCAATTATCACATGTGCCCGTACACATTGATGGGCTTGTAGAGCGCCTGCAGGTACTTCTCCTCCGTCTCGTCCAGCACGATTCCCACGGCGAGGATGGCCTCGTCGACGTGCTTTATTTTGGTCGCCCCGACGATGGGGCTAGTGGCGCGCCCGTTAAGCAGCCAGGCCAGCGCGACTTCCGCCATGCTGCACCCGTGACGCTGCGCGATCTCGTGCACCCGCTCCAGGATCCTGTCGTCGTTGTCGCCCTTGGGGCGGCCCCACGAAACGCTGGCGCGGTTGGTCTTTGTCCTCGCCGTGTCTTCTGCCTCGGTCGCGGCCGGAAGCCTGGCCAGGCGGCCTCCATCGAGCGGAGACCAGGGGATGATGGCGACGCCGGTTTCGCGACAGAACCGGTTCATCTCGCGCTCCTCCTCGCGGTAGAGCAGGTTGTAAAAGTTCTGCATGCTCACAAACCTGGTCCAGCCGTGCTTGTCGGCCACTGCCTGCAGGCGAGCAAACTGCGTCGCCCACATGCTGCTGGCGCCGATGTAGCGAACTTTGCCGCCGCGCACGAGGTCCTCCAGCGCCCGCATCGTCTCCTCGGGCGCCACCGCGGGATCGTACCGGTGGATCTGCAGCAGGTCGATATAGGACGTGTCGAGGCGGCGCAGCGAAGCGTCCACCTGGTTGAAAATGGCGGCGCGCGAGAGCCCAGCCTGGTTTTGGTACTCCAAGGCGGCCTCCGCGGCCGCCAGGCGTTCCCGGACAACGGGGCCGCCGCGCTCCTCGTCGACGTGCATGAAGCACTTTGTCATGATGACGACGCGGTGTCTCTGGATGCCGTACGTCTTGAGCGCCTTGCCGACGAGCTCCTCGGACATGCCATTGGAGTAGTTGTTGGCCGTGTCCCAGGTGTTGATGCCCCGGTCAAAGGCGGCCTTGAGGAGCGGCAGGGCCTGTAGTGGGCCTCACTAATCAGCGCCCATCGCTCTTGTTTCCCATCGGCCGCTTGCCTCTCTAACCACTAACCTTGTCTTCTGGCAGTGCCCAGGGCAGGAAGCCGGGATCGCCAAAACCCAGGCAGCCCAGGATCGGGACCGAGACCCGCAGCCCGCTCCGCCCCAGCTGCCGGTACTGGCATTTTGTCTCGGTCGTTGGTGCCATCTTATCTAGGAATAACCTAGTCCGTCGAGCTGGTTGCTGCTGGCTTTGAGGAAGAGATGTCAAGGCAGACGTGCTGGGGCCGGCCGAGCTGGACAGGCACTTCTGAACCGATTTTTCTACGCCTGCTTTCGCCGGTAGCGAGCCCTTGCCGGATGGACAAGCCGCCATCCGTGTCGTTGAAACTGAGGTAATTTACTTGATTAACTCAATTCGGCGTGTCCCATCGGATGGCCTCCCTGCTTGCCGGCCGTCTGCAAACCTAGAGAGTCTGCAAACCTAGAGACCGTTGAATTTACTGGAGCCAGGCTGCCCCTCACAGACACCCACCAACAGGCCCCTGATCCGCAGCAGTTAACTTTCCAGTTGTATGCACCTCCTGAGTTTAAACTGCCTGCTTATGTAGTTCTTCACCGGCAGCCAAGATCCCGTCGGGTTTGGGCAACCAGGGATGGACTTCCTCCTCCTCGTCTTGCTTCGCCGAGAGGCTGCCAACGGTATTTCGCAGTCGAAACTCTACGCTGTTTGCTAGCTGCAACTGCTGTAACCGTAGCAGCGGCAACATATTATAAAGCGCCCGTTTCCCTATGGGTACACGCTATCTCGGCCGAAACAAAGCAACGAGCTAGAGCTGCAGGAGTATTTGCCATGACCCCCCTTTCTGGCAACTGTCTGTTCTCATCATGAACCCCATTCCAGTCTTTTTCAGCACCATTTCGTTGTCCGGGAAATAGTTCGGAGGCTGCAACTGAGGCGTAACAGCGTCCGGTTTTCGGCTCCCAGTGCGCCTGCAGACGCCTGAAGAATTCTGTGCCCTGAACCTGCATCAGCAAAGATGGATGGGCAACGGTGGATGCCATCGTCCTCATGGCTGGCGGTGCCTGCAAATGTCCCTTCCCTTCTCCTCGGTATATCAGTGATCGCTGCCGTCCTTCTCCTTTCCCTTGCCAGGCTCCTCCACAGCAGGTCTGACAGCGCCCACATTCCGGTCCTGGGTTCTTTCAAGGACCCAGACTTTCGCAAGGCCCTAGAGGAGGCACACCTCACCGTGAGTAATCTACCGAGGCTTTCGGAAATGCATAGCCTGGAGTGCCATAAGCTTACTCGGGCTGAGCGACGCAGCATGGCGCGCAAGCCTACGCGCTTCCCACTGAGCCTCGTGTCGTAGCCTTGTCGGACTGCCTCCTCAACCGACTCAAGAGTGCGCCCGAAAGTCAACTCTCGGCTGGGCTCGAGGTCCAGAGGCGCGGGCTGGGCCAGTACACTGACCTAGGTACCCCCATGCCAGAGCTCTTCGCGGCCATCAAGGTCGACCTCACGCGGCACCTGCGAGATCTCGTGCCGCTCCTGCGGGAGGAGGTTGAGTATGCGTGCAACCTGCACCTGCCCGAGCGGCTGTCAGCAGCGGCTTCGGATGATGGCTGGCACGAGGTGACGGCGTTTGACTTTGTCAAACGTATCGTCATCGTCCTCAACGCGCTAGCCCTCGTTGGCAGGCGGCTGAGTCGAGACCGCGCCTGGCAGGACGCTTCGTTCGGGTACTCGGCCAGTCTGCGTGCAGCCTTTGACGCCCTTCACCGCTGGCCTCCGTGGCTACGCCCGCTAGTGCACCCCTTCATCTTTGAGCGGATTGGGCTCAGCAGCCGGCGCCGGGCCGTAGCCGACATGCTCACTCCGCTTCTGGCAGGGGAATCAGACGGGCAAGTGCGCGACAGCAGTCCGACGTTGCTCGGATACCTGCGCCAGCGGCTCGGTGCGAAACAAGGGAGCGACCCCAGGCGTATGGCCCGGATACAGCTTCGGGCAACCCTGGCCGGCGCCGACACGGTTTCGCATGTGGCCACAAACGCGCTCCTGGACCTGGCCGCGCGCCCCGAATGCGTAGCGGCGATCCGCGAGGAGCTCAAGCAGCTCGCGGCGCCCGGGTGTGGAGAACCAGTCTGGACCATGGCCATGGTACGCAGGATGAGCCGGCTCGACAGCTTTATCAAGGAGTCGGCAAGGCTGCATCCTATGTTTCTACGTATGGCCGGTACTCCCCTCGATCGATGCCGCTCGTTGAGCCCAGTGCTGACATGGCGGACGTTTTAACAGTGGCCATGGGACGCATGACGACATCTCCGCTGGTGCTGGACGACGGGACGGTGGTGCCCAAGGATGCAACCGTCTACTTCGACATGCACAACTCCAACAACTCGCCCGAGATGCAACCTGGCGGCGACCCGGCCTTGTTCGACGGCTTCCGGTACAGCCAGGCGCGCGAGGAAGAGGGGCTGTCCAACAAGTACCTGCTTGCGACCACGGGCGCAGACCACCTGCTGTTTGGGCACGGCAAGGAATCGTGTCCGGGCAGATTCTTTGCCGCGGCCGAGATCAAGGTGTTGCTGGCGTATTTACTGCTCAATTTCGACCTCGCCCTGCCTGGCCCGCGGCCGCAGCACCGATGGGTCGGGTTTGCCGGTGTTATGGACCGTGGCGCCACCGTATTAATGCAGAGGCGAAAAGGAGAGATCGGCATGTAGTTGTCTTTAACAGTGTTTGCAGCCTATGATATGAATAAGTTGATGTAAATGACAAAAATAATTAACTAACGTAGTTCATCAGTGAGTGGGCCACATTAGTCAGTGGGCCACAACACCCCGACCTCCAATTAATTGACGCGCATGCCAACCACCAACGCCAGGAATTCATTCAAACTACTCGGAACTGTATATATCGGACGTTTTTACTTCCTTTTGGCAAATGCGCGCATTGTATCCGGTTTTGCCGCAGGTGCCACATTGCCGACGAGTTATCGTTGCTTTCCTTTTTTAACCCCCATGGTTGCGCATTTTTTGCTGTAGCTGCTTATTTAGGTTTTGTTGGTTTAAACCATTTTATGTTTTTTTAATAATATATAACCCTTTTTATTGGAAACGTATTTTTTTTGGCTTTCCGGCGTTTATTTAATGCTTTGTTCGTTTTGCGTAACGAAATAATTTTAGCTTTAAAAAGAGCCATTTAATGCATTATCGAATTCGTTCCTTTTGCAAGCTGGTTTATAACCGTTCGTATGGGTAACGAAAAGCTACTTTAATAATTGGAAATCCGAATTTTAATGTATTTGGATTGCAAAGTTGCGTTTTTGGCTATTTGGGGCGTTTTGGAGGTTTAAAATTCGGCGTTGCTTAAAAGCTTTTTCGGGGGAGTTAAAGTTCGTAACTTTACATTTAGCTTTTCCAACCAAATTTGAATTAAAAGGAGCAAAGCTAGCCCTTTAAAACCCTGTTACAAAGTGGACAGTGTATACTGTTATAAAGAGGTTTCAAGCGTAAATATCAGCTGCTTAAGCTATCGAAAAAGCGGTTTGTCACGGCACAATCGCTTATAAGGACCTCGCATGAGTTGTAGCCCCAGCTACAACAACGTTCCTCTTTTGCCTTGGTGTAACGGGTACTACCTTGGTTTGGTCCCGTAACACGGTCCCTTTGCTTAAAAGCTTATAGCGCATCCAAGCATTAGGAAGGAAGCTTAATAAGCAAAAAGGATAAGGCATTACGTATATATAAAGGGCAAAGTTCCCTTCGGAACCTTGCACTTTATATCCTTTCTTCCTTAAAGCAAACTAACCAAAATAACCTCACACCGTGCTTATCCCATTTTTTTCTTTTAACAATTATAAGCCAGGCGATTTTTAAACCCTTTTACGTAAAGTAAAAGGCTTAGCAGTACGGTGTTAGGTTTAATCCTAAAAGCAATGAACGCCGTTGTAAGAAAACGAAGTTATTAATAAAGGTACAGAAAGGATCCAAATGGGACCCTTTTGTTGCAGTCAGGCCCCTGCTCTTAAGGCAAGGCACCAAAGGAGTATCGAACAGTAGCACGTGACTTGACAGATTGAGGGGATTCACCAGGTAACTTGGGTGCGGTCTAAATGCTTGCTCCAAGGGTTACTTGGAAGCTAACTAGAGTTTGACTGATGCCAGTGCATCTATCAAGAACTACCTAATTCAATGCACACCCTGTCGACGCACCCCCCCTGTCGACGCACTTTGTAGGCCCACAACATGGAATCTTCTAAAGTACTCCCGCCCTCATATTTCTGTCAATTCTGGTCCGTTTTCCTTACTTTTTTCTGCATTCTAATGCCCAAATGCCGGAAAAGCAATATACAAAAGAAGACGTCGAGCGAGCCTTTGCTGCGGTGCGCACAAGGGGCGGGATCCGAAGGGCTGCCTAACTTTATGGGATCCCAAAGGCTACCCTTAGGAAACGTATAAAAAGCGCCTTACCTATCCGATAATTACAAAAAAAATATCAGCGGATACCCTTTAAGCAAAAAAAGCGCTTGGCTAATTGGATTTTACTACAGGATTCCCTAAGCCTTTTACCAACGCATGCGGAAATCCGGTTTTTTGCAAAGGAAATATTCCGGTTTGGGGGTAATTCCCAGCCCTTCGGGAAGCACTGGATTCGTGCTTTTTTAAGCCAATATCCGGAAATCCGAACCGGAAAATTAAAGCGCATAAAAAACGCACGCGTTTAAAGGGTTACAATTGCAACGATAACGGAGTGGTAGCAGCGCTTGCAAATACTGGAAATGGCCCGGATTAAGCCGGAAAACACGTACAACGCCAACGAGGGAGGCCTGCAAGAGGGTAAAACCGGTAACGGGCTTGTTTTAAGCCTTGCTAGCACCCGGCCTTTACAACGTAAAGAGCTTGGTGTTAGGGGTTAATCGGTGCAGAAGCGGGTGGTTACCGGGTTACGGGCCGGATGCGGTGTTTTTTTTGTTAAGCTTCCGTAAATTTCTTACCAAAAGTGCTATTTCCAACAAAAATTGTTCTTTTTTTAACTTTCCCTTTTTTCGTACTTTTCCGGGCACGCGGGGTCGGTTTTATAAATTTTCCGCGCTTTATGCGCTTTTGTACAATTTAAACTTTATTTTATTTTTTAACTTTGCCGTTATGCTTTGGCCGCAATACCGGTAATTTGCCAGTATATTTCCGAAAAAGTTCGTGCCCGGTTAGTTATTAGCGCTTTTTTTTTTTTTTGCCGGGCGGTTTTGTTTATGCATTTAACGCTTCCCGCTTTTTACCGGGCGGTTTTGCCCGTGCTTTTAACATATTGCCCTTTCCCGATATGGCTTATTTTAAACCGCGTACGCCGCATAAAAGTATTTCGTAAATAACCGGTAATTAACGGTATTTCGTTAAACCGCCCCAATGCCCGGCAACGCTTAAAAAAACCAATTATAAAATTTTATAGCATTTGGAAAAGTAAGTTCGTACCGGTATATAAAAAGCTTTTTTTCCCGTTTAAAGCTGCAAACCCTTTTTTTTCCTTTTTATGCATTTAATAACCATTTCAAAAACTTTAATAACCGCAACCGTAAGTAATTGGTATTTAACCGCTTTTTTTAAATACTTAAATTTAACCGGTAATTGCAAATGTTATTTTTTATACCCAATTACGTAAAAAAGGTATTGTTTTTTCGGGTATTTGCTTTGGGTTTTTCGGTTTAAACCAACCCGTTAGCCCCCGTTAATTCCCCGGTTCCAGCCAGCCCGTTAACCCTTTTTAATTTTTTGGCCCTTTATAGCTAACTTAATATTTCGATCCGCCAAACCCCTTTTAACCTTTCGTTTTTTTATGCCCCGGCTTAACGTTTTATTATTAACCCCCCTGTATTTTTCCCGGCTATCGTAATGCCGTTAAATTCGAATTCGTTTAAATTTCCAATTTTTTAAATCCTTTACAATTGCTTTGCCGGTAACCTTCCGGTGGGCCTTTCGAATGCCGCGGGTTCATCGAACCCTTTTGCGCTTGTAACCCTTTAAACCTTTTACAAGCGTGCTGCCGATAACCCTCCGGCGGGCTTTAACCGTTGCGGCAAAAAAACCGCCGCCAAAAAAAAGCGTAAAGCGCGCAACGAGCGCCGCCGCGGCGCTTTCAACTTTTATAAATTTACCTTTAAAACGGATACCGCTTTTTTTTCGCTTTATATAAGTATTTGCAACGCGTTCCCGTTGCAAAAAATTTTTAATTTCCAATAAAATAATAAATATAACCTTATTTATTTGCTTTTTTTTAAAAATAATTATACGAAACGTACGGTATTTTATAGCCGCTATTTTAGTTATTAAGCATATTAAAATTATACCGTTAACCCCCGTATACCGATATGCTTTAATAACATTACGGAATTTTCCAAATGCATTTATTGCAAAAACGTGGTTAGCAACAAAATTTATATCGAATTTCCCAAATGGTTTTAAAAAATGGCCCAAAATTTTAACAAAATTTTAAACGTTATTTACAAGCGGTTTTTTAAAATAATACCGGAACTTTTCGAAAAATTTACTAAAATTTAATTTCGCGCTTGCAAAATTATCCAAAAAGCCAAATCCTTCCATACCATATCGGCCAAATAGCTTACGCGCTACAAGCGTTAAGCCGTTATTTAAAAGCGCATCGAATGCAAAATTGCCCGCATTGCAATATTAAAAATTACCCAAAAAATGTTTTAATACTTTCGTACCATTTCTTTTTAAACGAAAAAGCAAATTTAAGCTTTAATTGCTATTAAAACCCGTTTTAACAAAATAAAAGCGTTTTTTAAACGTTTTAAAAAAAGTATAGTTATTTTTTTGGTAACATTGCCGTTAATTTTGTTACGATTGCGGCTTATTTAAATATTTAAGCTTATAACCGTACGGTTTCCCGTAAAAATGCGGCGTTCGTATTAGCGCCGGAAAATGCCGCTTTCGGCGCTAACGATTTTAGCGGTAACAATTTTAGCGCTGGCAAAAAAAACGTGGTTTTCGAAAGTTTTGGTTCTTTTAAATACGGCATTTAATCGATTTTCCTTACATATTTTCTTAATTAATTATTAATATCCCCTTTTTAAAAAGTAATTAGTTTTAAGCTTTTTTCGTTAATTTATTACAATTAAAATTACAATTTCCTTTCGTTATATTGTTTTTACAGCATTGTAAAATTCCGGTATCCATATTTACTAGCTAAGCTTTAATGCTTTAATAAATAATTTTAAAATGCTTTTTTTTGCCCCCCAATGGGTTTAAATACCGTTAATATGCATTTACCGCTACCCAAACGTTTAAGCCCGTTTGCCGTACCATTTGGAAATTTTCCCATTTCCTTTTCGGGCAAGCAATAATGTTTTTTACCATAACGTACGTTTAAAATGCGGTAATTGCTTTGGCGTATTGCGCCAAGCATACCTTTTTAAAACTTTCCGAAATGTATTACATTTTGCATGTTTTTTGGGATTTAAATGTATTGCATTATTAATTTGGGGCGTTTCCCGTACTATACCGTTTTTATTTAACTTTTTATTTATAAAGCACAATATTTTACGGTTATTACAAACCGCTTACGGGTTTTTTTACGTTTTTTTCCGGTAACCAACCGGTTCGGCACGTTTAAAACATTTTTTTGGGCCATTTTTTTAATCCTTATTATTTTTTCCTATAATATTCCCGTCCTTTCCGGGTATTTACCCGCTAAAATCCAATATTTTCCTTATTTTATAAGCTCGTTTCCAATAAATTTGTTTTATACGCTTAAACAATTTTTTTCGTAATATCCTTTTTTGGAATTTACAAATTTTCCAATTCGTTGTAACTTATTTATTTAATTAAATATTTTCGTTTTTGCAAAAGCCTTTTGTATTTTAGCAAAGCTTTTACCTTAAAGCAATTTTTTTTTTTTTTCGTATTTT